AGACGGAGAATCGCGTGGGAATGTTCAATCTCCTCGCCGGTTCTTCCAGGGGAGAGAACCGAGGCCCAGGGAGCGGGCATTCCGAAGAATGACCAATTACCCTGCGAATGACCAAAATTACTCAGGGCCCGCTCCTCGAGCGCCGGAGATGCACCCGAGGTGCACCCGAGGTGCACCCGAGGTGCACCCGAGGTGGCAGGGGCATCGCGCCCCCGAGCTCGGACTTTTTCCGGCGCTTGCTCCTTTCCCATCGGAAAAATACCTCTGTTCCGTTCCGAGATAAATGGAAAGTGTCTTTGAAATTTGAAATTTCAGGAGCGTCGCGCGCTTTTTAGGTTTCATAAATATTTCGGTGCTTACTCTCGAGGAGCCGCTTTCGTCTCGCCTTAATCGAGCACGGACTCGTCGTTTAACGGGTTGGCTGCCTCCTGTTGGCAACGCGAGGTGCATCGGAGGTGCATCGGAGGTGCATCGGAGGTGCATCGGAGGTGCATCGGAGGTGCATCGGAGGGGCATCGGAGGGGCATCGGGGGGGCATCGGAGGGGCATCCGACAGGAAAAGCGCCTCCGGGCCTCGGTTGGGTCAATTACGCAACATTGTAAGAAAGCGATGGTTAGTCCCTATAAGAGAGGCCGTGCAACCGTATCGGGCCCGATGGCCCCTCGATATCCGAAGGGATGGTAATCCCGCCGAGGGTAATATCATCGCACCGGTGATGACTGCCATTCGGGCCTTCCCGTATGCAAAGTCTCGCAGGCCGCTATTATTTTGGCGAACCGCCGGCCACATCGAAAACACGGCCCTTGCGGGAAAGGGCCGAAAGAGCTTGCGCCTTGCGTACCGTGCGAGTAAACGCCAAAGCTATTTCGGCGCCGAGGTGCCCATTACCTTAAATGAGGGTGCTACCTCGACCGGCGAGCCCTCCGATCGGAGAAAACGCGTGTCCCCGGCCTCGGGACGCGGGTCCATCGGTGCACCTTGCGCCTCGACGTCCGAGGGGTCGCGGGATGCGGTACAAGTGCGGAGGAGAAACGGAAAGAGGGGATTTCTTCTTTTGGGAAACGTCGACGAGGAGCGACGGGGCGCGTCGGAGCGCGGATCCCTCCCAGCGTGGCGACGCCTCCGACGCCCGGCGTCGACTCGCCGAAATATCCGCTTGTGGCGGACGCGGCGCCGGGCCGGGCGCATGTGCCGTGGCCGCGAAAAGGGGCGAAGGCGGCCTCGGCCTCGGACGAGCATCGACTCCGGCGAGTTCCTTCGCGCTCCCGTCCTTCGAGAGCGGACGAAGGGCGGGAGAGAAATGATTTTTGACCCGGTTCTCCCTCGGCCCGTTACAATTACGTAATTACTCGCAAGGGGAAAAAGGGAGAGAAATGCCTCGGTTTATTATTCGCGGGGCGGCCCGCGTTTTTCCTATCGGCGGTCGATAATAATTACGTCGTCAGATGCATGACCAATTTTGACGAACGCGCCCGGCCGGATCCGGTCGGTCCGGTCCTTATCCGCCCTCTTGGCGCAATTGCCTAAATCGGCGCTCGGTCCCTCCGCGAGTTTTTGCCTTCCGGAGATTGGCGGCAGCCTACCATATTAAGTGGTCAGGTTCCCGACGCTGCATGAATGGAGCGGCTGATACCAATGCCCGAAGATCACTGTTTTGCTCTACCGTCGAGTCGAACGGCAGCCTGCGCCACCCTTCGCCCCTTCTCGCCGCGATTTTGCCGGGAAAAACCTCCCCGAAAAGGTTCTGCACCTTCGTATCGAGACCTCCGGTACTTTAAACTTCCCATTTGAGGATAATTACCCTACGAACGAAAGCTCGATTAAGATGTCCAGGATCTTTCTTCGCGTGGATATTTCGCGATACGTATCCAAGCGAACCGTAACGAATTATTTTGGAGGGCTATGAAATAAGTTTGCACCCTGGCGGTCGAGGCGAGGTGCGTCGGTGCACCCCGATGGCCGCGGTAAATCAAGCCGGTCGAAAGAAGCGCGTCTCCCTCGCGGCTTAGTATTCCGGACGGTGGGTCGTATATCCTAATGCGACCAATGCGCTCAAATGGGCCTGATTGCGACAAAAACGGGAGAGTCGGGGCCCGGTCCGTAGGGCCTCCCTAGCCGAATATCTGCACGCGGGCCCTTCATTCACGAAGAATCCGAGAGGAGACAATGCCCGCTTTCGATCCTTTGTTTTACCGCGGGATGCACCTCCTTCTCGGCGTGCGATCGGTTTCGGGACGGGGGAGCAGCCGTTGGACCCGACTCGCGTAAACGCATCCGCGACGATTCAACGCCGTCCATTGAAGTCTAGCCGTGGAACCGTCCGAGCCGTATAAAGGGAGAGACGGTTCTTGCCACTCCGCGGAAGGCAATCGAAGGCGAGATTGCGTTTGAAGGGAGGAACACTTTTTTGCCCCCCGGCGGCGCACCTTGGCCGCATCTGCCCGTTCTCGGCACCGAGATCTCCTGGCCGGACTGGATTCACTCCGGATCCACGAGGAGACCTCCGCCGAGGAAGCTCCCCGGGAACTCGTAAAGCCCGTCCAGAGCCCCGTCCAAGCCGGGTCCAAACCGCTCTCCTCCCTGTCGACTCTGCCGACGCGATTTTCGGAGCTGTCGGGACCCGAGCTATTTTTCCGGCACGAAATCAATGGCAATCGGTTATCAAAGGATATCCGTTCACCTAATTGCCGGGCAAATACCGCCTCGCTCCGAGACGTTTTTTCGAGGAACGGAAATTTCGGCGCGCGCCCTCGCGTAACGAGGCATTTGTCCGTGCACTTGCACGTGCACGTGCGGGCTCGTTAGCGGTACGCAGTATCGATGAAATCGGATACTCGGCTAATATTGGCCGAGGTAACGCGCGGCGGGACGGATGTATCGATCTGCCCATAGGTGCGGGCATTCCGTCGACGGTGCGGAGGTTCCGCCGCGGTTCTTCCGAAATCCCGGGGAAATCGGCGGAAAGGTTGCGGATAAATAGCGGAAAAATCGCGGAATCGCGCCGTCGACCGCAGACGGTCTCCAATCGGAACGTTCCGATGGAGCGCAGGAATGCACTAGGGTATCGGTGTCACCGGACCGCATAATCGATAAATCGATAAATCGATAAATCGGCAATGCCGTGCCCGGAATCCGGAACGATGACATCAGACAGAAATCCAGGAAAAAATGAATCTCGAGGACCCTCCGGGGGCCTTTGACGAGTAACCTCTCGATAAGAGGCAAGCATCCTCGGATATCGCGAAATGGGCGGAACGATCGAGCGGACGATTAACGCGGATAACGACGAGACTCGTTGGGAAGTATTTCGCGTGGAAGTCGATAAAGGTGGTCGATTCTTTGACCCGATCGATTATCGAGGGGGATCATCGGGCCATTTCGCCCATGCCCATTCATAAAAAAGTGAAACTAGGTGGGGCTCGACGAGGTGAACGGTACGTGGCCCCCTTCGGTCGCGAAGCGGCCGACGAAGGAATTTCCGTATAACGAAACGACCGGCGACGACCGCCATGAGTCAGTCGTCTCGGACGAGAACTCTCTCGCCCGGTGGCGGAGAAAAAAATCGCGGCTCTAATTTTATGCACCGAGACGGCGGTAACTGGTTTCGAGTGGCCTTCCGAGGCCCGTTCCTATCGCGTCCCGAATTTCATCGTCTCCATCGGAAGCATTTTCGCCGGACGATCCTCCTACTTGGAAGAAAATATTTTCTTTGTCAAAAATTGAGAGGTCGAAGGTGGTTCCTCGGCGAGGGTGGACCCGGTGACCCCGGTCAAGTGGGGGTGGCGGCGGGCGGGACCTCGTAAAATTCGGGGGCGGCGGTGGCGGCGGCGGCGGCGGCGGCCGGAATGCATCTCTCGGCACAAGGAAGGGCACAATGGTGGTGGGGGGCGAAACACCCCTTTTGGGGGGTGTTGCCGGGAGCATGGCATCCCCGTAGGTCCGGTGCCCGGAGCGGCGTCACGCGCCAGGGGGCGGTACCACTTTGTCGCTGCGAGTATAAAAGAGAGGCGAACCCCTGGTGCATCCCCCTATTAGAATCGTACTTTACCGCTCGAAAGAGCCCCGTCGCGACGCCGCTTTTCGGGATCCACCGGCCTGACGTCTTGCGCGAGGCGCCCACCCCGAAACAAGGTACTTGTTGCGCTCGGTTCTCGCTCTCTCGCTCTCTTCTTTCGTCTTTCCGTCGCCGGTGCTCCCCCTCGGGCCGAACCGCAAATTTTCCTCATTTTTGCCGATTGAAAGAGTCCACGGGTCGAGACGGCTTTCAAAGCGATTTCCAAAAACGTCCTCGTGACGTATCTCGGGCTTTTTCGCGGACCGCGCGCGGTTTGACGTCACTCTCCGCGCTATTCGGAGATCGCCGACCGACCCGCAACGTTTTTCCTGTTGACCGCGTTTTCTCCGCCGGCGTCTCCCCGCGAGTCCGTCGGCACGAAAAACCGAGATCGGTCGAAAAAATTGTCTTACGGAGCGATAGTCCGAGGGACGAGAGGCGGAGCTCCCCGGATACCGGGCCCTAACGCGCGTTTTCTCTTCCGAAATCCGCAGGGCGGAAGTCCCCGGGACTCTCGGCCCGGTCGAGCCGAGCCGGACCGCGGCCGGAAGTCGGGAGGCGGAATATTCCTCCGCGCGGAAATAGCGCGAGCGGCCTCCCCTCCCTCGGGCCGAGGGCGCCCGCTCGCGGGGTGATAGGGCCTCGCTCGGCCCGCCGTCCGGAGTCTCTCGCGGTCCGCGCGCGGCAGAAGGAGAGGAGAGAGCGGAGAGAGACAGGGCGCGAGAAGACCCTCTCGGAGAGAGCCAAAACGCGGAGTCTCGGGAGTCTCCGGGGAAGGGGGGAGACTAGCTCTTGCCTCGCCGCTCCGGCCGGCTCGCAGTCCGTCGGGCGGCCCCGAGCGCGAGCGCACGCGCCCGAGCACCGATGCCGCGCGCCCACCCCTGGCCCCGAGCCCGCGTCTAGACCCCGCGACTCGGCAGTGCTCGCCCGGCTGGCGCGTGGCCGGCGCCCGGACCCGCGACGTCGCCGGGCCCGGGCCCGCGGCCCCCCCAGGTCTCGGCTCCTGCGCCTCCACCCGTGGGCAGATGAGATGTGAAACTCGAGGACGCGTTCCGGGGCCGGCCGGGCCTGAGATGACGGCCGCCCGACCCGAGCTCGCCGTCATCGTGCTCCCGCTGCTCCTGCTGTCCCTGCACGCAAGCCCCGCAACAGGTAAGAAGGGCCGAGGGCTCGAGTTACCCGGGGTAGGAAAGGTCCTCGTTTATCTCGAGTTTTATCGAAGGCAAGAAAGATCTCTCCTCGCGCCCGGACTTCTTACGGAAGGCTTCCCCGTCGCGACGGAGCACGTGCTTCCGCCTTCGGGTCCGTCGTACCCGTTGTAAGGAGATCTTCCGCCGGCTAGGTTCCTCGAGGATGTCGGGAAGTTACGTCATCGATTGAACCCGGACGCTCGCGCGTGGCGTCGTTATTTATAGGACGCCCGGTAAAAACGGAGGGTTTGGATTTTACGGCCCGGTTATCCGATCGCGGAATCGTTTACCCGCGGCATAATCGAGGATCCCGAGAGCAAAGAATCCGTATGTATGTACGTAACCCGGGAGGATGACGATCGGCCGAGGGGCCAAGGCAAATATTTAACTCTTTCCGCGCGGCGAGAGTTTCCCCGGGTTAAAACCGACGGTGGACTCGTCATCGTTTCGTTACGCTTTTAAAGAGTTCCGTAAGCTCGCCGGCGATTTGCGGCTATTTTAAATACCGGCGCGGGCATTCCTGGGGAATGTTTATGCCTTGCTCGCCGCCGATTTGCGGAAACTCGGGTAAATAGCAGCGGACGCCCGTGGACGGTTCTCACCTTACGAATTCCTTCTCCGCGAGTGTGTACGTTTGAGAGTTCTTTTCGGCGGGATTTCTTTATTTTAACCCCCCCGCGGCGAACCTGGCAAATTCTCGATTTTACAAATTTCGGACTCACCGGGAGCCTCGCTTCCGAACAGTTTGCGAATCGTTATGATTTCAATGGGAAACTTTAAATCGCGACCGTTGACCCTCGCGAAAGGGCTTCTTTATCGCCTTCTCGATGAGAAGACTTCGCGTTATTCGCGATTCCGACACGGAGGACTCGTCCGTGTTTTTCGCGCGAAACACGGAATAAACGAGGAAACGCAATTGGAATTTTTTCGACCGAACGTGCGATCAATTTCCCAGGAAGAAACGTGGTAAACAGGGGAACGAAACGAGAAAGAAGGAAAGAGGAAGGATAAGTACAAATGAACTTGTCCGATTTCCGAAAAATAACGCCATCGGAGATTTCATTACTTTCGAGAGACCGCGTGGGAGGGAAAAATTCCGGTTCTAAGAAGAATTTGGTGACGTCAAAGTGCCGCATGGAAAAGCAATTACCGAGAGAAAAAGTGAACGCCGGGCTGCGTTTGAGCGATAAATCGAGATAAATCGCGATAAACCAGTTAATTAATGGTTTACCGGCACAATGGTCGGTCGGCTCGCGAAATTAGAATCGAAATCGGCCGCTTCTTCGGTTAAATCCAAGCCGGACGGGAATAAATAATTGGCGGTAATTAGATCGACGCATTCCGCGACTCGCTGAATGGACATGCTTGCATTCGAAAGCGGACCTGGAAGAATGCCTGGGCTGGCGCATGGAAATGCACATGGAAATGCACATGGAAATGCACATGCATATTTATAGCCGAGCCGCGCGTAAACGCGACGGGGGTATTCCGGGCATAAACACGTAATATGCCGTTTTTGCATAATTCCAGGTACGCACCTCTTGTCAAAGAATTGCTCCTCCAAAGAATCGAGCGGGTCAAAATATGAAAAGATGTTTTGACCTACTCCAATCGAAATTTGGATTATTTTCCCCGCAGTTGCCCGTCGTATCCCTTTCAGGGATCGGCACCTTCCCAGCGCTTGGGGGCAATTTATCGTCTTCTCTCCTCGGGAGTCCGCGGTCGACCGCGTTCTCCATCTCGAAAGGTTTTGGAAAGACGAGCGAAGGCAAAATAAAATGGGACGGTTAATTGGAAAGGTTGGACGAGATCCTTGGCTCGGTATCGACTAAGTGGCATTATCGTTAAAGTCGAGTAGAGGGTACGGCTGCATTTCCCCCGGGTCGAAAGTGCAATCGATTAAAGCAATCGCAAAGCGCGGGGACGCGAGTCCATCGGCGGCGCGGAAGGTATTCGTTAAACCGGGGAGCTAACTACGCGGACCGACACCCGAGGGATCCGGTAACCGGAATCGGAAATCGAAAGGGGGCGAAATTACGCCCGACACGCGGCCCGAAGGCCGTCGTTTCGCGTCCTGGAAAGCGTCCCCGACGTTCATCCCCGATTGGCGCCCCTCTTCGAGGGTCCCGTCGAGAAAAAGAGAGACTCGTCCTTAGAAGCACGACTCGGCGGCGGCGCGGAGGCGCGGAGGCTCCTCCCTCGTGGGCCTCAGGGCCCCGAGTCGAGACGTCGGCGGCGGGGGGAGCCCTCTCCATCCTCCCCACCGCCCCCGCCGCCTCCGCCGCCCCCGCCGCCCCCGGCGCCCCCGGCGTCGCCGTCTTCCTTCTCGGTGATGCGGAGCACTGACCCGCAAACTGGTTCCTCCATTACACCGTGCCCTCTGCCACCCCCTACCGCCTGCCACCCCCAGGGTCCGAGGAGACCGAGGCAACCGAGGCGAAAGGGTTGCCTCCGCCTTCCGTGCTCCGGCGCGGGGCCCGACGGGCCCGCTGCGGTGGAGCGGTCGGGCTCGCGTTTCAACGACGAAGACTACTCGCTCCGCGTCCCCGCGCGCCGGAGGTACCGGGCCCTTCGGTATTTACTGCCTTGCCACTTTTCGCCACTTATTGCCGGCCCTTACCCCCTGGGGACGTTGCCCTCTCCCGTTCAAGATTTTCGCTCGGGGCCGGGGAGCCCAAGGGTCGTCCGGGCCCGGCAAGAACTGGCCCCGGCCTTTTTGCAACGACGGGCCAACCTGTCCGGCACCCAAAGGACCGCCGTCCAGTCGGGGCCCGGCGGGTCAGCCCTGTGCCCTCTCTCGACATTTTTTCATTTTCCGGGCAGTCGTGGGTAACGACTTCTAAACCACCCAGCCGAAGCCCCGACCTCGTTCCGGGTCGGCAGAGGCGCAAATGGGTGCATAGGTGCCCGGGGGGTGCCCGGAGGGTGCCTACCGGACTCCTCTATCAATGGGTCTCATCGGCGTCGGGACGGCATATTTCCTGGAAAGCACAATAATCGCGGGACAATTGAAATCAAGATAGGTCTCTTCCGGCGGAGCCTATACACCGAGGAATACCTAAATGCACGGGCACGGGCACGGGCACGGGCACGAGCGAAAACAATAAGGCACGATGTACATTGTCCCGCCGCGAGAACAATCGTGCACGCCGGGTGTCACGGGAAGGGTGGCTGCGAGCTCCCGTCGACCGTCTCTTCTCTGGATTCGCTCAAATTTTTCCCAGTTAAACGAGCCTCGATTTCACCCCGGAAAATAGAATTTCGCTCCGTTCACCCCGACTCCGCCTGGTTGGCCAAAGGATCCCTCGAATATCTGCAATATTTCGATATCTCGCATCGAAGAGGGTCAACGCGCTCCTTTGGTGGACATACTTTTTTCCTTTTTCTCCGAAAGTCCGAGTATCGAAGAGGGACGCGAAATCGGACATCCAGACTCGTAAGTCTCGTGCAATTTTTCCGCGATTCGCGTTAACCTTGTATTTATGATAAAAGTCCCGACGCGGTGCTCAACCGAGGATCGGAGAATCGAGTCCTCGCCGTAATCGAGGCCCGGAAGAGACGACGAGCGCGGTTTGTCAAATTTCGACGAAATCGGGACACCCGTCACAAAATGACCGAAATTTCTTTAATTCTCTATCTCGAAGGTACTCGTGCCCCGAAATCGCACGGATCGTCGGAACGTTTTTCGCCGGTGCGGGTTATTCCGGATATTTATGAAATCGATCTCCGATAAGGCGATAGCTTCGCGACAATCGTTTCGGGCCCCGACCACGTGTCTCGCCGGACGATGTAAACAGAGTTGAGAACCTTTTCTCGGAGGATCGTAAGTCAAACGCGCGTCTCGGGCCGCCTCTTAGTCGAAGATAGCGAGCCAAGAGCATCGAGAACCCGCCGAGATACAACACCAGGACTGTACTTAAAGGCGCGAGATGATAATCTACGAGCCTAAGGCTCGGATTACGCGGGCCGGTGCTCGCCTCGCGTCTCCACCGTCTCCACCGTCAGCGGCGAGAAAGACTTTGCGAAACCTCCCCGTTGATTGCGCGAACGAAAACGGCCGATTACGTCGACCGGGGCGATTCGCGAGTCCTTTCCGACAAGGGATCGTCCAATGGGAATTATCGACTCGAAACGAGTCCGCGAACCTCGGGTGGCGGTCGTTGGTTAAGTATCGTTAACCATCCGGAGCGAGTCAACGACCCGGCTCGCTATCTCGTATCTCGGGGACAATCGGGGACAATCGGGGACAATCGGGGACAATGGAACAACCGAATACAATGCGCGAGAGGTCTCCATCGTCACGGTTAACTACGCTTTCGATTCGTTTTTCCGGGTCCGTAGAATCGCGCCAGTTTCCCGATCGAAAGGGTATCCGTCCGTCTTGAAAAATCGACGGCGGCAAAGTCCGGCGCAGCTCTCCTTACGCAATCGGTTAACCGTTAAACCTTAACAAGCCGCGACGCGGCGTGAATCAGCCGTAAACGACTCGCGTCGTTTACGGGCCGGCCGCGGTCCGTAGGTGGCGACAAACGAACGAGTTAAGGGAGGTCAGTGGCAATCCCGGCCACTCACCGGCTAAATTTATTCTCCCTTTTTGTCCCGCTCCATCTGGCGCGACCACCCCTTCGAATCCACGACTCCCTTTGGAATTGCCCCCGTTGGACTTACGATTCCGACTCGGGAGAAGTCGAACGGCCGGACTTCTCGCATTTTATCCCACCCGCGATGTCGGCAAACTTTCGACCTGTTGCTCACGCCCGCGCCGCGCCACGCCACGCCACGCCACGCCACGCCCGGAAGGTGCGTCAAGGGGAGGGCGGGGGAAACTCCGAAATCCTTTCATTTTCCATCCCTCCTCGAGAACCTTCGAACGAATAATGCTCCTCCCTCCGAGAAAGAAAATTCTCCTTCTCGGGGAAGGTCAAGCAACGGACTTCGGACGAGCGAATTCCGAACGTCGCGACTCGTCTTCGCGGTGAATAATCTACCCACTCGATTTTTTATATTCTTACGTTCGATAAGAATTAATATCGACGGCGTGAAATTTATTCCGGTATTTTCCGAGACGCGTACATATAAGTTCGCGTTTATTTTCGCCGGTGTTCCAGGAGAAATCTCCTCCCTGGCGGAGTTGAATTTTCTTCCCTCCTTCGATTTTTCTCTCCGATCTTTGAAAGCGCGTCCTGCCTCTCCAAGGAGGCTCGAGAGCTCCGTAAACACCGACTCGGTGAGCTCGAGCAAGAAGTGAAGCACTTATGCTCGGCATACTTGGGCAAAGCTTGCGTAAGCTGCGCCGGGCACAGTCGGTACGGCGTGAACCTAATACGTGACCCAGCGGACGACGAGGACGTGCAAGATCCCCCGTGAGATTCGACTCACGGACGAGAGCCGCTTCTTTGCTACAAGAAAAATGACGAATTATTGCCCGGGATTAAACCGGGAGTAAACGTAATCTTTGATCGACCACTCGCGCTCTTCGAAAATGCTCGTGCCCATAAAGTATGGAAAGTCCCGATTACTCTTTTCTCATGAAACACGAAGAAAGAAAAAACCGCTCAACGAGGCACCTAAGGAAGAACGTGCTTTTCCGAAATCCAAAGGGAAGGGAATCGGATTCTCGGAACGAGACGTTCGTTAAATCTTAAGTACGGGCGAAATCGCGATCGGGGCATCTGGACTTCCTTCGCGAAGTGCGTGGCCTCGATCCAATCCGCGAGACGCGGCGTTACCGATTCCGCCGCCGCCACCGCCGCGGGCTGAAATCAGCGGGAGGAAGAGAAGAAAAGGGAGGGAACGAGGGGATGCGCATTGCCGCGGGCGTCTTGCACGTACGGCACACGTCGGATGGTTCCCACCCGCCGTGAAACCGAGACGTCGTCGATGAGAATTCCGCGAAAATCGAACGTCCACTCTTTTCCTATTTTACCGCGGTAACTCGGGGATCGAATAACCGCATCACGGTTAGCCATAAAGCCATCCGGGCGCTCAAGAGACGCAGGGTGGCCAACGATCCGAAATAATTGAAGAGCGAACCGAAATTCCGGAGCGTGGGCGAAAACGAAGGAACCCACGGGGTGGACGGGACAAACGGTGTCCGGCTCCTCCGCGGGGTGATCGTTGGAGGTGGAAGGGGAAAGACGCCGTGCTCGGGGAAATTTCCTGGGGGAGGGAATAACGAGGACACGAGAGGAAAGGGATCCGGTTAAGCGTATGCTTTCTCGCTCGGGGCACCGCGCCCCGTTAGGTTTTCTAGCCCGACAAAACACGGAGCACCGTTTGCCCGAGTGCACATTGTGCGCGTTGTGCGCGTTGTGCGCGTTCACGTGCACATCGAGGCCCGCTTTATTCCTTGTCAGTCATTTCGCGACGGCCGCGAGATAATGGTTTCGCCGTTCCCACGGCATTCCGTCGCAGGAACGCCGTCCCGGCCGCCCCGGCCGCCCCGGCCGCCCCGGCACCTGGACCTCGTTCCACTTTTCCTCTAGCTCCTTCCAGGCTAATCGTCTCTTTCGCTCCGCCATTAATCGAGCAGCCGCGGCTTTTCCGCGCGAAACTACGCCGGGGTTTCTAATTCTCCCAAGACCGACGGGAATTCTCGAGCGAACGCTCCGCGCGACCGTAGCTCGCGGCTGCGGGGCGAAACCTTCCGTTGGAAAAAATTCCAAGTATGGAAAATCAAAGGTAGAACGTCATTTCGAGGGGAGAGGAACCTCGCGTTAATTCGACTCTCCGGGGAATGGAAATAAAATATTTCTTTTTTTCACTGAAATTTGATCGAGCATCGCGGTCTACCTTGGGGTCTTTCGAATATACGGAGCCGAGTTTTTCAATTCCAGGTGGACTCTGCTGGTCCTCCATCAGCAACGGGCGGTGCAGGGAGCTGTTATCGCTGGAGGTCTCGCGAGAGGAGTGCTGCGCCTCGAACGCGGCCGCGGAGACGGCCTACTCCGACGACGACCTGGACAGCGGGAGCCTCTTCTTCTGGAGGGTCCTCGGCGGTGGAGTGCACTGTCGACCTTGCAGAGGTGAGCCCGACCCCTTGCTCGTTCCAGCTTGCCTAGGAGAGACTTCGAAGCTACGCGAAAGTGGAAGGTCTCATTTTTCTAGGAAATTCGTAAAGCGTCGACCGGGAGAGGGAGGATCGCGTCGTTGTCGCAAAACTATAGATACGGGGATGATTAGGGTGAAATTTGCCTTCTCAGAGAGCTGCGCCGAGGTGCGGTGCGAGGAGGGGAAAAAGTGCGTGGTTCGCAAGGGGAGGCCCCGGTGCGTGTGCAGCCCGGAGTGCAAGGCCCCGCGGGGCGGGGGCCCGGTCTGCGGGACCGACGGGCGCAGCTACAAGAGCCTCTGCCGACTGAAGAAGAGGGCCTGCAAGAAGGGCAGCCACGAGCTCGCGGTCGCCTACAACGGCTACTGCCAAAGTGAGTATCGCCCCTCCTCGACTCCGATTCGGTATCGCGGGCCGCATCCGGGCCGCATCCGGGCCGCGTCCGGGCGGAGCGCGGCCTTTCGGGGGCGGTTATCACCTCGAGTAATAACGTGTAAAGTGTCGAGCAGGTTCGTGCGCTCGGGTGCGGTGCGGCCAGGGGCGAAGCTGCCTGCTGGACCAGAACCTGAGCCCGCACTGCGTGAGGTGCGCCCGCAGGTGCCCGCAGCAGCCGCACCAGGTCGCCGGCGCGCGTCCTGTCTGCGGTGCCGACGGAAACACCTACAAGAGCGCCTGCCACCTGCGCCTCGCCGCCTGCCGCGCGGGCCGCGCCATTCCGGTCGCCTATAAGGGCCACTGCAAGCGTGAGTCTCTCTTCTCCCTTCTCGACCTCGCGCGCGCGCGCACACGTACGCCGAGTTATACGGTAGCGGGGAATTAATATCAATATATTTCGACTCGTAACCGCAGCGCGGATCCCGCGTTATTTATTTGGCCGGCCGGCCCCGGGGCTAGGGCCCAGGGGCCCGCCTCGGGGTCCGCCTCGGGACCCGGGCCTGGCCGGTTGGGCCTGGCCGACCGAACGGTGTCATTAAAAACGAATAACATCCCGGCACTCTCGGGCGCACCGCGACCCGCCAGTATAAGAAAAAGAAATTCATGTTAAATCGCAGGGACTCTCATCCACGGCTCGGGTCGGAGGTCGCGGCCTTTTCGAGAGGATCTCGGGGACGGCCCGGGGATCCGCTCCGGATGCGTAAACGCAAATGCCGCGGTTAAATATAGCTTTGCCAAGTGTGCGCGTACGGGACCCGTAAGGCCCAAAATAAACCCGACGGAGCCCCCGGAATAGCGCGTTGCGATCGCGGGTGCCCCTCGGAATCCACCCGAGGGCCTCGGGGCCCTTCCACCCCCGGGACGAAATAAAGGAATTAATTTATCGACGATAGCCCCGATAGGGCATGCAGCCGGTCGCTGCTTTGCATCGGAATGGGCCTTATTGTTGCGGCTCGCGCATGCCCGAATCCTGGCAGGTGCAATAAAGTCCCGAAGAGATGGTGTTCTTAGACGGGAGTTCGCGAGGAATAATAAAATTTTAGGCGGGCCCCTTTGCCGCCCTAATGCCTCCTGACCCGAGAGGCCGTCTCCGTCGCGTTTATTCCCCGCGAAACGGCCGCGGGGACTCATCGAGAGAATTTCACGTTTCGTCGAAGGAAAGTTTCTCGCGACGGGGCCGGAGCTGGTTTCGGGCCCTCGTCCGATGAAAAATTCCCCGTCCTAGGGCCCCCTTTTCCGGGCCGACTCCGGGCCGACTCCGGGCCGACTCCGGGCCCCTCGGCTCGCGCGCATTGTATTTAAATGATCCGCATGCTTACGCGGGGCCGCGTTAACGTTTTTACCCGCGGCGTCCCCGCCGGGGCCCGACGCGTTCGTTTTAAGGAACGAACATCCGCTCGATTCGCGGATGTCCAGCCGCCCGAATCCTCGACTTTTCCGACGCCGGAAATTACGCCGCGGGTACCAAAATGGCCGCTCCCGGGATTCGACTCACCTAACCTAAATTTATATCGACCGAACCAACAGAAGACGGAATTTCCTGGGAGCGCTCGGAAATGAAATCCCGACCCGGGGCGTTTAAGACGCGCGGCCGTTTCCCCGACGCTCCCCTGGAAACCGCAGCGGTTCTTTTTCTCCTCCGCCTTTTTTTCCCGCAATTCTTCCTTTTGGTCCGCCGGACTCGACGGCCCCGTCGCGCACGCACGCCGAGAATCGGGCATACGATTACTCCGGAGAGAAGCCGCCATCTTGCCTCGAATTACCCGAGTTTGGTTTCGATTTAACGATTTTCCCGAGAGCCCGAAAGTGCAGGAAGCGGGGCCACCCGGGGCCACCCGGGGCCGCATTGCAATTCTCGGTCGCGGTGGGTGCGCGCGCGCACGCGCGGGCGCGTACACGTACGCATGTCCTTGTGGCGTCCTTGCCCTCCGGTCGTTCACCGGGCGCGGGCAGCGCCCACGCGACCTGCACGTTCGAGTTTCGCAGCCAAGACCCGTGGCCATTTATGTTTACGATCCTTACGCGCGGCCCGGGCCAAAAATAACTCCTCCCCGATCGCCGGATCGATCTAGACCCACCACCACTTGCCCGAACCTCCTCCGACCTAACCTAACGAACCGTCCGCGTAATATAGGACATTCTCACTACTTTTTTTCCTACGAATCGCCATCGCGGGAGCGATTTGCCCATTTTGAGCCCAGCTCGGGATTCCGGTCTCAATCCGAGATAGCCCGGTCTCGGGGGCTGCGAGCGGAAATAAAACGAGAGCCGGGGAGTATCGCGTCTCGCTCCTAAGCGGAGCTCCGGAGCTCCGGAGCTCCGGAGCTCGCTTAAATGTAGACCGATTCGACCGGGGAAACCGCAGAAGACCAATGGTTGCGGTGAAACGGCCGGACAGTTATATCCTATCGTGCGCATACGCGCGATTTCGCCGAATGGAAAGCCGAGAAGCCGAGAAGCCCGATTCCGACCGATCTCTCGAGCTGGCGCAACGGACGTTGCCATCGCGATTCTCGGACCACGCCGGCGGGTCCCCGGGAAATAAGTAAACAACCGGCCGGTTCTCGACATAGGTGTCGCAGTGCAAACACCCCGAGAGGTGCGAAAGTCGCCGCGTCTGCAAACACGGTAAGCTTTTAACGCCGCCAGCCCGTCGAGGGTCTCCTTCTTTCTTTTTACCAAAGGCAAGCCGAGACCCGGAAAATTCCAATTTCTCCGGCCGGAAAGGTGGAAAAGGGAGGCGGTCCTGGTGGGAGAAACGGCGCGGAAAGGTCGGATAAGGGATTCGGAAGCGGTGCCGGAATGTCGCGAAATCGCGTTTAGTCCGTACTTGGAGGTTAATCCGGGAAATGGAAAAGGAAGCACCTGGAAAATCATGTTATGCGATTTTGATAGCGTTCATTTGTGCGGAATGCACTTTTTGCCCCCGAGGGGTCCCTTTTTCTAAGGACCCTTCACCCGTGTGGGCGGTCAGCGAGATGGACATCCTCTCGACGTCCATTTTGGCGTCGCTAAACCGGAGACCCCTCGGTAAACTTGTTTACATACTCCCGAAGACCTCGTGCACTTTCCTCCCCCGTCTCTTCTGGTGCCTCGTCGGGATCGCGAGGCATTTGCCGTGGCAGCGACGCGTTAAGTAATTTGCCGGTGCCTCTTGTGCCCTCGAGTTCACGGGGGCAGATGAGCGCCCTCGACCCTCGAATTTAACCCTTCCTCTTTGTCCTACGGTCGAGGCCTTGTGCAAAAACTATCCCGGCGAGGCGATGTTATTTTCAAAATCGGGATCCACGGAACGAATCTAAGTAGGACCAGCAATTTGCACGCAATTTGCCCGCGATGTGCAGATAAGGATAGGAAGCGAGGTTCGGTGACTCGTCGGCGAGCGGAACAACCTCCGATACGGAAAACGCATGCGGAATGGGTCGCGGGCCTCGAGCCAAACGCAGATCGCTTCGGTAGACCGCTTGTCAATGATCTCACGAACGCCTGACGCTGCGAATGACACATTTCTTACATTGTCGCGACCGCTAGCAGATTCCTGACGACACTTCGCTCCGATCGACCTCCGACATTGTCGTCTTTCCTCGACTTTACGACACCCACGACTCTTGCATAGCTGACGCGACGCGTACTCTACTCTACGACAAACCCTAAGGAGGATTCACGCGTAAAACCGAATCGTAGCGATAAATCTATGCAACCCAGTTTTTTCTCGTCGGTGCGTGGCCACAATTTCGGCACGAATCATCCCCCGTATGAAAAATACCCTGAACAAAAGTTACGCCCCAAGATACGCTCTACGACTTTCGTTGGGCACGTTCCTCTCTATCGGCCGTCGGAAAGGCTCTAGCCAAAAGCCCCGCCTCGGTCCCCTGGGTACACCCCGAACCTCGATCCGCTTCTCGGGGAGCAGGGGGGGGGGGGGGGGGTAAAAAAGACGTTTCCGTCATTCCGGGAAGAAGAACCGTCGAATTATAAGCCCAAAAACGAGGAGAGCCCCCGATCACGCGATCGTAATTCGCGTCGCCGGAGATAACGACGCGTCATCGCGTGCCGCGGAGACGAGCGGATCTCGGCTTCGAGGAAGCTGACCAGGAGCCCTGGACCGTCGTTATCCGGCTGCCCGGCTGCCGGTCTCTCCCTGAATCACGACCAGGGCCCGTTCAATTATTTCTGGCCTAGCTGCGGCAATCACCGCGATAGGGAGTCGATAGGGAGTCGATAGGGAGTCGATAGGGAGCCGATAGGGAGCCGATAGGGTCCCTCGTTGCAGGCGCGCCCGTTGTCGAGCGGTTCGGCCTCGGATGCTGCGCCCTCGCTAAGCACCGGGTCGGATCTTATCCTGGATCGTTAATTACAAGGGCCGCTCGCGAGCACTCGCCACCGCTAACGTATCTATTTAATGTCAATGCTAATTAATATCCCCTGCAAACGCCACTTCCGCGCTTTGTCCCGGACCCGTTCCCGATCGGGCCGAGGCTTCGGTGCTTCCACCGTTAAAAGACCTCGTCGAGTCGTCGCGACGTATGTTTAGTGGAGTGCCTTCTTTTTTAACCGTGGAAGGGCAACTCGAGGGTCGAGATTTTCGGTCGTCGCGTAGAGTGCAATTTTTTGAGGCAACGCGTCGTTATTTCAGGAGTTTCGGGGAACGTTTGGAAAAGGTGCTATGACTTTTCGAAGCGTAAGGGTTAAGTTTGCTTCGAAGGTAACGTCAAAAGTGGAAGAGGGCAAAGGAAATGACGCCAACCCCGAGCAGACTTCGTCCAAGGGATTAGATCGCGAGCGCTCCTTTCGGTCGACGAGAATACGGGCGAGCGAGCGCACACCCTGAGTTCCTTTCACCAGGAGTGCCTTGGAAAACGGACACCCCGCTCCCGATGCAAATACCTAATAACCGTTTCGCCTCCTCGACTTCCTCGACTCGGTCGACCCGACCAAGTAGGTTTGCGGTCGAGAGTCTCGCGTTAAATGTCTCGTTGCGAACCAGATCGAAAGCTTTTCCTGGATAATGGTCCCATTTAAGTTTTCTCGTCGTCGGCCGGAGGTCGGCCGGACGTCGGCCGGACGTCGGCCGGACGTAGGCCGATCGAACTCGCGGCCGGCATACCACCGAGGGCAGGTCTCGTCGGTTATCGCGCTCGCGTAAAGAAGGTTCGCAGGGATCGCACGTAGATCTAGGGGGTTAGGGACCCGTCGCCATAGCCGGACCCTGGGAAAGGGAACCCCCGGTCGGCGAGCGACGCCCTGACAAGGGCCCCCTTATCCGACCCCTCCTGGAATAGCGACTCGTGGCCGTTGCGTAAGTCGCAGGTGTTCCCCGATCGAGACGCGCCATCTCGCAAATTTAGTTGTTGGCAGGTCTCGCTGCCACCCCCCGGCTGTTTTTCGCTTGGCGGAGTGTGGCCGGATTCGCGCGGTCAGGGCGGCGGGCCGATCCCTCGTCCTCGCGGAGATCGAGACAGGGGCCACTTTCGCGACACCTCGAAGGAAGGAGGGAGGGAAGGAGTCGCGAGCGCGACTTAAAAGCGAGGTGCATCGCCATCGTCCGGCGTGCCGTCCCGAGTTTTCAATGGTATGTACGCGTATATACGCGGACCTCTCGGTGCCCGTTCCTCGACCGCAGCATGCGATAAGTCCTACGCATTCCGCGCGTTCGCCTTCGCCATCTACGAGTCGTAAATCATAAGTGGAGACGACGCGTGCGCAACGCTAAGCGAGGTGGTATTCGTAAAGGGACTCCTTCCGAGGAACATCCGACGACGGGGACGTAGGGCCGGGACGTCGGAACGGCGCCAATGGACCAAGTCGCGTCCTCGGTTTACTATTCGAGTTCCGATTTACCTACGTTTCGACCGGTTCCCCTTTGCTACGACCTAAAATTCCCCAAACCTCCACGACTCCAAGATTTCCATCCATCGGTTTTGCGATACCCGTGGCGGAACGAGCGCAAGAAAATTCACGGGGTCAACGACGGGAATGAAATAAATATCGCGACGAAGCTCGCGTTTCTTTCTTTCGATAACCGAGAGGCTGGCCCGCCATGTTGGATTTCCAGGGCGACAAAGAAAAATATGTCAACGAGCCCCTCTCTCGCGGGGTAAGCGAGAGAGGGGCGGATAAGCCCCGACGAAATCAGCCGCTTCTTGATCCTCGAGGGGCGTTTCAATGCCCGCTCGACGAGGATCAGCGTCCTTCATCGTTGAATCAGCATTGTGACGACCTAATTACGAGTTATATCCTCGCCAAGTGCAAGGATGCACCCTCCACTTGACTCGCGCACGCGGTCTGCGCATCGGCCGCGATAATTCACGGACCTGGAGGGCCGGTAATGCGCGCCATTGTACGTCCCCGAATAATTCGGATCACTCGGATCACTCGGATCACTCGGTCTAATGGAAACGAGGGCTCTCGAAATCCCGACTCCTCCTCGGCCGTCGCGTGACCCTCCTCCCGTGAAAAAGGCGAGACGAGCAAACCGCGGTCACGTTGCTTCGATTCTACGTCTTTTTTTATCCGGAACTTCGGTAATAGGTTGCGGAACGCGTTCCATCGATTTTTCTCTCTTTCGCGACCATTTCCCGGAAAGAGAGTTGCAGAGCGAAGAAATCTGCTCAATTTTGACCGCCTTCGTTCTCGTATCCGTGGACGTATCTCGTATCCGTATTCCACGTTTATGGCGGATTTAGCTTCGTTTAAACCGCGGACGTCTAGATCCCAGAGACGAGAGGGCTCTCGCGCTATGTACCAACGGATTCGTACGCGCGATTAACTATAATAAAGTCGCTCCTCGAGGTCCTTGACATCGTGACATCATCGTTGTGTCAATGCCTCGTGAGATCTTCGAACGAACGACGACCCACGTACCGAGTTGGCACCGCAATTTCGCCCGCTGCCATTCCGTTCGGGTTCCCTAAACGCCGCAACGACCGCGATGCGTCACCGTTGCCTTTTCCGATCCCAACGCGTTTTCTTTCGCGGCCGACGATGTCCCGGCCCAGCAGGAAGTTACGGCCAATGGCCTAGTTCCATTGCGAGGTCTCGCGACGTTTGCCCGTCCCGATCTATTGCGTCTGCCGTTACCGCGCCTCGTTCGTGGACCCTGCGTTACGCAACGCGTATTACGCGCGGCTTAAATCAGCGCACGGTCAATGGGCTTTGCTCGAGAAATTCGACGCTCCGGCCGGTTTGCCGCCCTCGATCGAAGACCGCCGGAAACGACCTCCGCGGACTTACTACCTCCTAAATAATTGCTCGTTATTTCGCGAATTAAGACCCGAAACGAGGTCGGACGCCCGAGTTTTGTCATTTTATTCAGGGGGTTCTTCGTTCCGTTTCTTTTTTCATTCGATTCACGACGAATCACGCCCGTTATCGGATGCGAATGTTGCAGCGACCGCGGACTGCACGACGATCCAGTGTCGCGAGGGTCAAACCTGCCTGACGGAGATGACGTCGGGCCGGCCGCGGTGCGTCACGTGCACGTACCGATGCCCCCGGAAGCGGGAGCGCGTCCGGGACCGGGACCGGAAGCGGGACCGGGACCGGGACCGGGACCGGGACCGGGACCGGGACCGGGACCGGGACCGGGACCGGGACCGGGACCGGGACCCCTCGATCTCGCTGCTCTGCGCCTCCAACAACATCACCTACCCCAGCTGGTGCCACATCGTCAAGGACGCCTGCGTGACCGGCTTCGTCCTGGAGACACGGCACGCCGGGCCCTGCGACGCCTACGACGCGTCCTTTTACGTCGGTGAGTTACCCGACACCGGAAAAAAGCCCGAAAATAAACAGCGCGCCGAAAGAATTCCGCGAGCGGGGGCCGGGGGTGTTACACCCTTTGAGATTTATCCCACCTCGCGGATTTCTCAACCTTTTATACGTGGCGAAGCCTCGGCGCGGCGGAATCGCTCGAAAATAATTTTTCCGGATTTTTCGAGGCGAAAATTTGTCGTTTTTTTGCGGGAATCTCGACCGCGGCGTGCTCCTCGAAATACGCTCGACGACGGGGACGGGAATATAGGCGCGTCGCCCTCGTGGTCGTTACACTTCTCTCGGAGTTCATGGCGCTCTCGCGTCCCAGTTGGCCGGGATATTTACGTTGATGGGGTGTCCGGGCGCCGATAAACATGTCAGTGGGTCGGTCTTACACGTAGTTACGCATCCATTCGGCAGACGTACGACCGGTGGCGCGATCGTTCCAGCCCGGGGACGGGGCGCGAGGAATCGCCGACGATAACGCCGAGCCCAGTCGAAGATGCGCGGGAGGAGTCCCGTTGTCCGAAGAAATCTATTTTGCATACGATATGTTAACGGGACGTTCTCGTTTTCGTTTCCAGAGGAGAACAACACGTCGACCGGTTACGGCGTGGACCTAGCCGACGAAGTCGCCAGGACGGAGGACGCCGAGGAGCCGGGGACGCCGCGGACGCCGCGGACGCGCCGCTCTTCGACGTAGCGCATCCCCTGGGCCGCCCGGCGTCGCCCGGCGTCGCCCCTCGATTCGCGGTTTAGCGAATTTTAGATAGGCAAGGGCGAGTTGGCACCGAGTCAGTATTCATGCGCGGCTTCGCTCGCGGGACTGCCGCTTCCCACGGGGCGCGGTCGAAAGTGCCGTCGAAGACCGAAGTCGAATCCGAAACCAAGAGCACCCGAACGCGGGCGTCGGCGACCAACGAAATCGATCTCGGTCTTCTTCGCAAGGAAAGCGCATCCGACGTATCTTGCGGTACGTCGCAAAATGCAAGACACGTTTTTCTTTATACGTGCCAATAACTCGCGAGTCTACGGGGTGAAGACCTTCCTTTAAATCGATCAACGGTTCTTTTAACATTTTCGCGCGAACCACCTAGGATTTGTTCGATCTCGCATGGTCCGATTCTGGCCTGAGCCTTGCAAAACGTAAGAAAAAGTGCATAGCTGCGAGTCCAAGACCGAGACCGAATTTCTTCGTCACCGGCAGAGATCCCGCAAAAGTCAGAAACCTGCACCGAAAAGACCGGACCTCGCGGTGTTTCGCAAAATTGCACGAATCACGAAAGTCGAACATCGCGATTAGTCGACTCAAGGAGAGACGCAACGTGGGGAGAGAGAGAGAGAAAGAGAGAAAACGCGAGTTTAGAATTCCGTAAGGTGTTGCGAAAGGGCCATTTTACGTGAAAACCTTGACACATTTTTTCCCCAAACTCGATGCACCGAATCATTTGATAGTTCGGTTCGGAGTTATAATTGTCTCGATACGAGCGGAATGACCCGGTTAGGGTATGATCGTTGTACTTAATTTATTTGAACGCTTCCCGCTTCGAGGCGTCGCGGCGGAGGTGCAGGTGCGAGGGCGCAGCGAGGGTCGGTTCTCGGCGGCGGCCGAGAATCCTCCAGTGGAATTCTACGTTAACGATACTCCCGGTCTTTCCCGGACAAAACGAGGAGCGTCTCCGCCTAAGACGGGGGACGCGGTTTGCGGAATGCGCAAACTCCTTCCGAGGACCGCGAGGAACGATCGACGCTCGCGCGCCGGGGGACGCGAAACGGCACGCGGAGGGCTAAAAAGAAAGACGTTACGACACTGGACGTCGCAGACGTTCAAGAATTTACAGGGGGAATAATAATCTCCGCCAGGGAGACCCGGAGCTTCGGGGAAAGGTTTTATCGCCGGGGACGACCGGAGCGAAGGGGACTCGCTCTCCGTCTCTCTCTCCCTCTCTCCGCCTTGCGACTCGACTCCTCCCGCAAGGCTTGCGGAATTTTCGCAATTGCGCTAAGTAATCTCCTAGGGGGCCTCTTCTCGGGAACGGCGCAGGGCACCGAAATACCATCCATCCCCTCGGATCGACCCCGAAGACCGATTCGGACGGGTCCGCACCGCGTCCGTGCAGCTACGTGCACCGGAACGACGTCTCGGACGTCACGGGTTCCTTTGAATCGATGTTTACCCGAGGCCTCGCGCGCTGTTAGAATCTGGCCTTGTAAAAGAAAAGGTATCGAAAAATTTGGAAAATTATCCCTGTCGAAAAGTCGTCCTGTAGGATGCACGGTCTCGGTCGTGGGACTTTCCATTACGACATCCGGAGATGTCGGCGACGCGGACAAAGCCCTATGCAAGTGGATCGATTTAGAGCCTACTCCATGTTACTAAACATTTACATATCGTATACCGGTTTCGACCTTGCGTGTTTTTCGTGTCTATAGGGTATTATTGCGTAGACGTTTAAACATGTCATATCGATACGTGAAGCCGAGGCGGCCGAGAACGAAAATCGACCTCGAGATCGATGCCCTATCGATTATCGAACCGACCGACGCATCTGCGGGCGGATGGCCGCTTCGCCCTTAAACCTTAATATACCCTCGAGATGGGGAAGGGAGGAAACGTTAACGAAAAACGAAAAAAAGAGGATGTAGTCGGGCCACGTGAATAGCGCGACATGCGAGTAGATACGACCATAGTTCCTGTACAATACGGTATAGAAATTTAATATAAAATTATTAATGGTAGCGCCGCACGAAACGTTATATATATAACATGCATATGCATACTGTATATGTAAGGTTCGTCGTCGCGCGGAATCGTAAAGAGCTCGGAAGTTGACGTGGACGAAGAAGGTAGAAAAGGAGATCGAACGAAGCTTTTCGGGGACGACATTCGCGGGAAACTTCAAATCGGCGAATTACGGCCGATCCGTAAGGCGGACATACCCATGGCGAGGTCACGCGATTCTCGTCCAAAACGAAAAGGATACCGGTTCGACACCCTGAAGGAAACTCGAAGGAACCGCACTAACGAGACAATAAAAGGAAGGGAACGAATAAATCGGCAGATGGCTCTCTTCCTTTCGGCAAATTGCGCGGTCCACGCGTGTCTCGTTCTCTCTCTCTCTCTCTCTCTTTCTCTCGCCCGCCTTCCTCGGGCCCCCCTCTTCCGTCTCGCTCTTCGGACTCGTCCTCTTGCCTCTTCCTCTTTTTTAATTATTATTTTCTCTCCGTCTGCCAGCTCGTTCATCCGTGGCTTTTCCTCTTCCTTTTTCTCCTCTCGCCCATCCAACGGTGGAAAAAATACTCGCGGCTTCGGTTCGCCTCCGAAGATCCCTCCTCGAGAGTCTCTCTCTTTCGGAGGTTCTTTCGAAAGTTGCGCTCCCAGCGAGAAAGTTTCTTTTCCGAAAGGCTAAACCTCTGTGGCTACCTCTTCGATCGACGCTACATGACGAGTTTCTCGCGTTAATATGCAAAAAAAAAAATTCATTTTGCGTACCTACCCGACCGAAATGAAATGCAAAAATTAGGGTGCAGCGATACTCTGCATTTCTCCATACTGGTCTTAAGTTTCCATTTCCATGAAAAATTCTCGCTACCCCTTCATCGAAAACAGTTCTGACGAGCCCTATGGGTGAAATAAAGGATATTAATGAATAAATAAACGTCCGAAAACTCACACATTATTATATACGATCATTCGATCCTGAATTTTGAAAACTCGTGTACAAGAAACTATACCGATACGTATCCTCGTGACATTGAAAAAAAAATTCAGGAAGTGAAATGCACTTAGAAGGAAATCGTAAAAACAAATAATATCATTCAATTTTATGGTAACGTTTAATATCTCTTATACGTATTCTGGTATACATATCATAATTGCAGAGTCTCGGAGTGAAGAGGGAATTCCTTTTAAGGGAATGCATATATTTTCGCGATTACCCGATCGCAGGATTAAGGGGTCGCATAATAGGATTAGACGTAAACGTGGCGACTATTCCCCACGTAATGCAGGTTTACGTGGTTACCCTGACGTTTAATATCCTTTAGTTACCTCGCTCGGTGCTCATAGGACAGTTCTCTTCTCTTTCTCCTTCTCTCCTTCTTCCGCGATGCACCTGCACGCACGTGCATCCGGTGCAACGCGATGTGCCGACTTCGCGTTCGATCCTCTCCCACCTACAAAGGTACTCGGAATTACGGGGTCGCTTATACGATTCTACAAATGGGACAGACGGTAAATACAATATTTTAGACATGATTTGCACGCGGAAACGAATCGATGCGTCGATTCATTTTTCTGTCATTTTCGTAGACTTTTTTTTTTCATTTTAAATCGCCTTCAAAAATAGACGCATACCATCAGCACGTAACGATTTCTTCGAAATGCATTTACTGCACCTAGATATTTATATAGACAGACCCTATGGACTCCAAAGTGGGGACGATTTGAATACACGGCGTTGCATCTCCTTATACTACTTCGTGCTTGAGCGTAAAAGAGGGTCGCGTTCCCACGCCGAGAAGTTGAAAAAAGGATTTCTCTCGGTCCAAATAAATGACATCCTCCCGGGAGAGCCGGATCGCGATTTATTACAATCAAATTGCCCTCGGCTCGACAAAGGGCGGATGCACGTGGATGCACGCGCCGAGGTTGAGCCGGATTTGATTCGCGCGATAAACCGCAAGATGACAGCCTTGAACGAGACGCCGTATTTCGGGATCGTTTCCTTTCCCCTCTGGTGCAATGATTATCGAGGACGAATCCGAGAGAAAAAGGCATCGTGGACCCGATGAGTCGCCGAGGCTGAGATACGTTTGGATACATTACTAGGGTGCTCCTCTATAAGGCGTAGGGTGAGCGTCTCGAAAGACTAGCAAGTCCGGGAGAACGTTCTCCCTGGTTCTCCCGGAATGAGAATTGCAACGCGCCGCGCAAAACTTGGACGGGTGCGACCGATCGCCCGAAGAATAACGTATAATCTCTCGCTAGCTCTTAAGTATTAATGCTTTATCTAGGTGGTAATTGAAGAAATTAACTTATAGATTCGAGCAACTACTTTAAAGACTGTGGAACATTATAGGTGTATAAATGTTTAAATAAATTATTATAACGTAACGAATCGGCGCCTTGTCCGTACGAGCACTCTTCCAGTCTTCGGCTTGAAAATCGGAAGTTGGTGTTTCGTTTGAATACCGATCTGTACCGATCCGAATGGATCCGAATACTGGACGAACGCGAACCATCTGCAGCAATCTGCAGAGATGAGTTGGGAGCGCGACCGCCGTCTGTGCTGTCCTCGGTGGAGAATGCGGACGGCTAACGCACTTACCACCGAATCAGCGATCCAACTCTCTCTGCTCCCAACTTATCTCTCAGCGCTCGATTGTGGAACTTTAATGTATCACGGCACTTAGGAGAAATAAATTCAGATTTCCCCCCCCCCCCCCCAGTGATGATTTCAACGAATTTTCAGAGTAGCAGAGGGAATCCTTGCCTTGGATTTTACATCGAGCTTCCAGGAGATGACCGGATACTCTTCGAGATCTCAAGCCGAAGAAACAGGAGAAGAAGCTGATGACAAAACTGGACAATTTGTTAATATTATTTTAAACGAGCTCGAGAACTTATGTACATGCATTACTTCTACAATAAACTGCACAATAACATGAGTTGGACCGCCGTTGGGGGGCAACTCCGTTAGCCGCCTGTATTCTCCATCGAGGGCAGCACAAATCGCGGTCGCGCGCTCCTTCCCCTGAGCAATCTACCAACTCATCTCTGCTTAGGTTAAGCGCGCAAAGGCTCCAAGCGGCAGGCATCCGAAGCGAAAAGTTTGAATGTTCAACGGACGATTACACGTACGGTTCGTCACCGAAGGATAGTGAAAAGCAGAATTAATATTTGGGAGGTTTTAATTACGCGAGCGTGGCTGAAGGTCATTTTTACGAGAAGATGAACGACTCGAAGGTTAATAAGAAAGATAAAAATCAGCACATTCAAGTCTTCGTTAGAGTCAGGTAAATATCAACGCTTCGTGAAGCGTCGGGGACCACTCATTGACCGCAATGCCAATGTCAACGTTCTTTCCATGTATTTTCGTGCGTTTCCTAACTGAGAACTATTCAAAGGATTGTACAGAATTGTACCTATACTTCTTTCCTCCTATATATTCAAATCGCTCAAGATGCAAACGCATTTTTTATGTTCTTAGATTTTACTTATCGATGGCCTACTCTATTGTGACTCAAAGACCCAAGTAAACTCGTTGAATGCCGTGGAGGTCACCGGTGAGGGGCAAACCCCCAATCGCCTTGCGATAGTGCCCTCGTCATTTGTTTTGGCATTCAACGTGTTAATCTATAAATGTTAAGGAAATTAAGACATTCCTTCGACTGAGAGTCTATATTAATTTCTGTTGTTCTATTTCCATCATTTATTATAGGCCTCCAAATACTGCAGAAAAAGTTGGAAAATCTCTCACGGTAATCGAGGTGCCATCTAACAAAGATTTGATCGTTCGTGAAAGACCGCAAGATAAACTTTCAAAGAAATTCACGTTCGATAAAGTTTTCGGACCTGCGTCGAAGCAGGTAAATTAATTGTGAATTCAGGAGGCTTGTAAAATTAGAATCAACATTTAATTTTTACGTTGTAATTTAAAAACTTTATAGGTTGACGTATACAAAGCAGTGGTTAGCCCATTATTAGATGAAGTACTGGCTGGTTACAATTGTACGGTATTCGCTTATGGCCAAACTGGAACTGGGAAAACCTTCACTATGGAAGGAGTTACTAACGACCCTGCCTTACATTGGCAGAGTGTAAGTTTCAATTAAGATGCTAAATTTTAAAACGACCGGATCGATTATTGTTTCATAGATTATGCTCCAATTGTTATAATCTTACGTACAAATCATTTTAACAGGATACTTCCGCGGGAATTATACCTCGTTCTTTAAGCCAGTTGTTCGATGAATTACGTATACTCGATGCACAGGAATACTCAGTTCGTGTGAGCTTTCTAGAACTATATAATGAGGAACTTTTTGATCTCCTTTCACCTAACGACGATGCTTCGAAAATCAGGTAACAAGAAGTATCTTTTAAATATCGATCTCTAAAAGTGCTTAGGTGCGTGTATTCTATGTTTTCTAAAATTTCCGTACAGATTATACGAAGATGCTTCAAAAAAAGGAGCAATTATCATCCATGGTTTAGAAGAAGTAACAGTACATGACAAAATTGAAGTGTATAAAATTTTAGAGAAGGGTTCGGAAAAAAGGCAAACCGCGGCAACTTTGATGAACGCACAGTCCAGGTTATTTTCATAACAGTTCTTGCACGATAGACAATTTGTTTTGTAGATTTTTTTAAAGAACCATATTTGATATATTTTTCTTCTTGCAGTCGGTCGCATACGGTTTTCTCTATTACCGTGCACATAAAGGAAAACACTGTAGATGGAGAAGAACTTTTGAAGACTGGCAAATTAAATCTGGTGGATTTAGCAGGAAGCGAAAATGTAGGGAGATCGGGTGCAGTCGACAGGAGAGCTAGAGAAGCTGGAAACATTAATCAGTCTTTGTTGACTCTTGGGCGAGTGATTACGGCCCTTGTAGAGAGAGCACCCCACATACCTTATCGGTAATCGAATAAACTAATAACAATACCAAAATAAATCAGTTTAAATTATTACAATATATTTAATTGGCAATGTTACGATTCTAGGGAATCAAAATTAACTCGACTTCTTCAAGAGTCTTTGGGTGGCCGCACGAAAACTTCTATAATCGCGACAATATCTCCAGCCATTATGAACCTGGAGGAAACACTGTCAACACTGGATTATGCCTACAGAGCTAAACATATTACAAATCGCCCGGAAATAAACCAAAAACTTTCAAAGAAAGCTTTGCTCAAGGAATATACGGAAGAGATAGAACGACTGCGTCGTGATTTATTGGCTACTCGCGAACGAAATGGGGTGTATCTTGCTCAAGAAAATTATAACGAAATACAATCGCTACTAGATCACCAAGGCAGGGAAATTCAGATAAAAATTAATCACATAAAAGCATTAGAGGAACACATGCTGAAAAGAGAAGTAAGTTATTACTGGACTATGCGATCTATCAATATTGTATTACGATTCATATTTAATGATTCAATAAGCAATTAGCATTTAAGAAGATTCTAGAACGAATTTTTATCCATTCTTATAGGAAGTGTTTAACGAATTACAAACAATACACACGAAACAAGCTAAAGCATTATACAAAACCCTGGAATCTACAAAAAATACATTAAAGTCTACTGAACTCGATAGAGATATTCACAAACATTTAGTTGAGAAACATGTTAATACCGAAACAGTTCTTCGTAATCAAGCTCAGACATTACTTGTTGTCGCTGATTCGGCATCCACCGACACGTATAAACTTCATGATAAAATTAGACGCAAAAAGTAAGTGAAGTTATCGAATGCTCTTTTTAATATAAAATTGCTTTTCTATATTATATGTTCGTAATTTAATTTAATTTCATTCTTTCTCAAGACAAGTGGAAGAAGAAAACGAAAATTTGGGACATCAGTTCAAAGAACATATTACACAACGATTCGTAAATATCGAAAAGGATCTCTCGGTCTATACTCAAGATTTAGTACAATTCTTTCTCAGCATGAAAGATAAAATTGGTAAGAACAAAACCCTTTAGCCTTTAGCCATCCTACATTATAAATACATTCTTATTATCAAGGAACTCTACAGGTGCGAGTATGGATACCCAAATTAACGGAATCGATACCGTTATTCGTCATGCGTCATCAGATTTAGTAAATCAAGAGTCTGCTATCTCAAATAATTTGGTGCGGAATGTAAATAAATCGGTAGGTAGGCTAATCGAATCGAGCATTCACGACTGTGTAGCGATTGTGCATTCCTATAAAATTATTCTTTGTTAACAGTTTGAATGTTACCAATTGTGGGTTGACAAGCAAATTCAGGAAGTGGTAGCTATTTCTAAAAGTGAATGTTATGCATTAAACAAACTGTCAGCAATGTTAGCACCAAAACTTTACGAACTAGTTCAGAACAAAATTGCCGAAAATTTATATGAATTAAATGAAGGTATCACAAAGAGAATCGAAGAAATATCTTCATATGTAAAACAGTCAGGCGATCGCGTTTGTGACAATTTACTCGCAGATCGCGATCGTTTGTGGCAAGCCGTTTCAGACATTAAAGGAATTGTCGAAACGTCCACCCAGAAACAGAACGAAATGTTACAGAACCGACAAAATTTTGTAAAGGTCAGTATTGATTTTAGAATATCTATGCATTGCTGCATAATAATAAAATTAAACGTTTTATTATTTAAAATTATTTGTTCTATTCGTAAAAATTTTCTTAGGCATTTGATGAGCTCTATTTACACTTTAACACCTTGTGTAAAAAAGAGGAAGACGCACAAAGCGCAATTTGTACCTCTTATACTCAATTGAATGACATCTGCGAAACTGTTAGCAACACAAGTAAAGTTAATTACGAGCAAAGTATCGCTAGCCACAAAAACTTTGAGGAAAATGTTTTCAAACACGTGACAAGTTTAAAGGAAGAGATCACATCTAGTGCCGAAAAGGTAATTGAAGCGATGTTTCCGATCAATGTGCTCAAACTAATTTTATCGAGTCACACCTACAATATGTTACATTTGCAATTATAGAATAGAGAACTGTCCAGGGACACCATAGAACGGAGCAAACTAGTAAATGAATTGCAAACAGGATTGAGCGAAAGCTGCAACGGGTGGTCCAAGTACAAGACCCTTCTTGAACGTAACGCGAATGAATTGAAACTTAAAATGGCAGGGGATCAAAACGCGATCGTATCGTCTGCTCGGGTAAGTGTAATAAATATCTGCAAGTTGAGGTAAAGTGTAAATGGTAATATTTGTATAAAAATGCATTTGCACAGGAGATTCACCAAATTGTCGCAGACTATAGCGTAAATCATGACGAGTACATGGAAGATCAGCGAAGCAAATTGCAAAATTTGAATTCGGATGTGACTCGTAAGCTCGAGACTCAAGGTGTGGAATCTTTAGAATGGAACAACAAAATCACTTCTACTCTGCGAACGACTCAACATGAAGTTGATAAATTCCTCATCGAAGATTTACGTCGCGACGTGCCTACAGGTTTGCGTTATTAACCCTCCAGACAGATTGAATAATAATCCGCGGATCTTCCTTATAAATTTAGGTAACACACCTGCAAGGAAGGACTTCCACTACCCTCGCAAACTCGTTGCCACATCACCCCACGAACGCATTATTCAGAGATTCCGAGAAACTAGAGAAACCGTGGAAATGTCCGAAATGGAAGTATGTATCCCCTAATTGTTTATCAAAATATAACGGTCCCTATCAGTTTAGCTTTAAAATTTGTTATTTTAAATCGGCAGGACGAGACCCTGCCCAATGCAGACGACACGTTAAAACCAGATACACCTAGCATGGAGATAAATACTCTAGATCATTCTACTTTTCCTACCGGTATGACAATAATGCGTTCCACTTCCACGCCTAGTAATGTGGTGCAAAAGAAACTGTTAGGCGATGACGACAATCGTAATGATCGTTTGATCAGATCTGCTTCGGCATCCGACATTTCTGTTCTATCAAGTCCAATGTGTGATCACATTTTACACTCCGAGTCGGATACTTGCCTGTGGGTAAGTATCGTTACAGATATACATGATACTCTTAAAAATCGTATCAAGTTTACGATCCCTTTACCTTGTATATCCATTACAACTTGCAGAGTGCAAACAAAGAGAACGGTCAAGGTGAATTCCCCAAACCGGAGAAGACTGTGAATACAAAACCCGTAACCTCCATACCTAAATTGAAGCCCTCGAACCGCCGCGTTCTCGGAACGTTCAACTGAGATCTTCAACAAAGTCTTGGCTATCAACGATTTTTTTCTATACTCGTTCGCTACACATAAGGTAGATAATTCGCGTGATTCGAGATTGCTACATACGATTCCATTATTTTATAAACATTTACTAAGTAATGTCATCTTGGAAATATTGTCTTCGTGATAAGCTTATTGATAACCATTTGTAGTTTGTAATGAGGCTATTTCAAACGCGCCGTACTTTCGAATACGTTTATATATTCTACATACAAGTCCTACGTATATACAGAGATATAGATATCGTCACTTTATCGCGCACCCGCTTTTTACTCCTTATTTTAAACGTAGGCTCATTTTTTTTAGCGTTGTAACGTCCAACAATTATATCGCAATGTTTCAGGGATGTCCGCTGTCTTCTTTAGAACGTTGATCACATTGTTTGATTTATATTTAAATTTTGTACCGTTTTATTGTTTCCAAATGAATCCCCAATTGAAAATTAATAGGTTAACTTCATTCGTGACTTGTAGTTTAACTTTAACGTAGTGGATAAGTGAGAAAGTTAAATTTTAGTGTAATTGATCAAATATTTGAAGGAAAAATAAAGACAATGTAATGCATTTCTTCGTTCGCACGAGTCTGCTCGTTTTACCAACTCTGCCACAAGGGAAATCATATATTCACTAACTTCTAATGCGAAGTACCTCTTTTCTGTCTTATATAAACGTATAAATATGACTTTTCATGAAATCAGGAGTCTTGTACAATTGTAACTTAATGAAATAGAAATTAGAACTTAACAGCTATGTTTGACATCGACATGTAATTGGTAAGAAATAACTTAAACTAGTGGCGTAGAAAATTTCTAAAGATCTTAAAGTTTAAAAATGTTTCTAATGTGTATGACGCGTTAATGTACAAAGCAGCATATAATGGCCCTACCGTTTGTCGAAGTAGACGCTCAAACGATAGACAATGAAACGTAATAAAGTATCCAAAGATGATAGCAATGAAATTTTACTATAAATGATCGACTCGCTATTCTAAACGATCCAAAATAAATAACATTAAATACATTCGACAGCTCGTGAAATGTATACGGACGTTAATTCGGACGCGACTTAATATCAAGACTACGATAAATTGGCGTCGAACCATTTGATCTCTAAGAAAATGAAACGTAAACTCGAACGGGACAGAAAATGCCAATAAACTGATCTATGAAAAACATTTCCTTACCTTTTGATTGCACTTAACACGTTGACACGTCCCAGCGGTAGGCATTTGGGAGGGGGGGAAGAAAATCTGAAACGAGCTCTCGACGCGAAGGGACATGACAATGATTTGAGCAAAAGACGTTAAGGGTCTTAGTCCTTAGATTTATACCATCCGATGCCTGACCTCAGAATAATTGAAATACTGATGAATTCGTGCTCCATCACTGGACGCACGAGATGAAATTCGTCGAGCTACGTAAAATGGGAGAAGTACGAAAGGAAACTAAAGATTGTTGACGGATATGATTTGGTTGATCCAACCGATGAAGGCGGACACTTTTACGTATACCCCTGGTACGTCGATTCTACCACACCCGAAACCCCAAGAGACCAAACCTGCCAATTCGTAGAATCCGTCATCCTGGCAAACTAGAGGACCTCCTCCGTCGCCCTAAAAGAAAAACGATCGATCCAATCACTCCCGATCCCTCGCATCGTTGCGTGTTACGTATGAGCGAAAGAAGCGAAAGAAGCGAAAAAACGTGATATATATATAACGAAAGTCCCAAAGTCATACGTAATGGTTATCGTTATACGTATCGCTTACCTGACACGCGTCGTTGCCCTGTTCACCTCCGGCGCAGAAGCTGCTCGCCGGCAAGATGAAAATCTTCTCGGTGACGGCATTGACTTTCCTGATGCATTCCGCATCGCTGACGATCGGTATCTCGGCCTCGCGAACTCTGAGAGGGATCGGCCCCGCTGTGAGAAGAATCGGAGTCGATCGATTACAATATCCTGGAACATCGGCTCGCCCGTGCCGGGGTTCATCGGTACTCGTCGTTACGACGCGCGATATAACTTTGGGGTAAAGAAACGGCTCGGCTCGAGTCGTGGTCACCTTCTCCCATGTATCCGTAACCCGTAACGGTGCACCTCTTCCCTGCCGTGTGGCTGACTCCTCTCGCGGGCAGACACACCAGGCACACGCCGTCCTTCAGCTCGGCCTGTCCGTGGAGTTTCAACAACGCGATGTCGTTGTCCAACGTCTGACTGTTATGGTTGTGGTGGATATACGTAGTGGCCACCCTCAAAGTCTGAGCACCGGGACTCCCGTACTTTCTCGTCAGGTCGTGATCCCCGACCCTCACGTAAATGGCGTCTCCTGACCGCACGATGCTGAAAACGAGTCGCCGGTCAGCACCGAGCATCTCGACGAGAAGAGACGACAAGAGAGCTCGCTTACTTGGTGACGCAGTGCGCGGCGGTGAGCACCCACTGCGTCCCGATCAAAGCTCCACCGCAGAGGTATTGATTGAGAGAGTTGATCAGAGCAACCTGCCAACACCACTCGTTCGCGTCGGCGTCCTCCCCTCCGACGACTCTCGCTCCTCTTCCGTTACTTCGGGCCTGAACCGGCCCTCTGGAGGTCCCTTTGACGCCGCACACGTACTTGCTGTAGACGGGACTCTTCGTGGTCGTCGTCACCGGCATCGCCGTCGTGGTCTCGACTGCAAGGACCGGGTCGAGAATTAAAAGCTCGTCGCGAATCCAATCCAATCCAAGGGAAGGGCTCTCCGAGAACTCACAGACGCTGGCGGTGAACGGCGTCGTGCCGGCCAGGAAGGTGTCGTTCCTGTTGTGCAGCACCGGCTCGCTAGAGTTCCCGGTATGGTATTCCCTGATGAGCGACTTCGGGGCGCAGCACTGGTGCCCCAACTTCTTGCACTTGAAGAGGCCCGTCAGCTCGGCGTTGCCTGGAGGAATTTGCAAGAGCTTCAGCAAGAGCTTCGGTGACCAGGGCCAGCGACCACCTGGACTTACGGAAGCAGGTGAAGGACAAGTAAGACACGATGCAGGACCCAGGGCACTCCGGGCGAGGATCCGGCGGGAGAGCCACCGTCGTCGTAGTCGGAGTCGGAGTCGGCCGTGGTCTCGGCCGTGGTCTCGGCCTGGGGGTCTGAAACGAACGACGGAAAGGGAAATGCACGCCGCGCGCAGGGACTCGAGGGTTGATATCGCTTCCAAGGCACCCAGGGATATACCTGCGTCACGCTGTGCGTGTTGTCGCAGCAGATGGAGCCCGAGTTGCAGGTCGACGTCTTGGGGACGATCACGCTAGGGCGCTCGCAGAACGCCGCCATGATGGTCAGAAGACAGAAACCTGGACAAGCCGGCAGCCTGGGTGGAGGTGGCCTCGTCGTTGGTCGCACCGTGGTCGTGGTCGATTCCTAAATACAGTTCCCGATAAACACGATATCTCGCCGCTTCGATCGGGTTAATCCGTGCCTCCCCTAAAATCGGAAACTTCCCAATCAAATTCGTGACCGGCGCCGTACCGCGCAACGAATATCCCCCTATACGTTTCCTCGTCTATCGCCTCGCCATTTACCGTCTTCGCCGGAGGCTCCGAGATGCAGCAAGACCCGTCTCCTGGGCAGTCGGCGTGCTGGTCGATTTTGTCGCAGAACAGGGCGAAGAGCCCGTTCACGCATTCTCCCTTGCAAGGTCTTCTCATCTCGGGCTTGGGTCTGGGTCTGGCGGGAGTAGTGGTCGCCGGGACGGCCGTCGCGGCGGTGGTCGACGTCGCGGACAAGACGGACCTCTCGGTCGTCGAGGGCGTCTTCGGGGTTGGCGTCGTCCTCTCGTCGCCGTGCGACGAGTTCGACTTGGTTCTGTCTATCACCAGCAGCTCGGGAGGCGGCGAGTCGCCGAACGCGTCCCTCGATACGCAACATCGGTACCCTGGCTTACAAAGCGAGTCGCCCCTGAGAACGGCGTCGCAGTAGTCGGCGATCCGCTCCGCCATGCAGATCCCGGAACACGTCCTCGCTGGAAAAGGAAGAGCGACGACTCGGAGAATTTGGCCCCTTCGCTCGGAACCAATCACGAGCAAAATCGGTCCCGAAGCTATGCCCAAACCGGACAAAAACGTCCAGGGACGTTCGCATCCCGAGTACACGAACTCCATGTACGATTACGATTCTATCCGTTTCCGTTCCGTTTTCCAGCACCAAGGCCACGGCCAGGACCGATTTCGTTCGCCACCACTCGGAGCCGGACTTACCGGCCGCCTCGTCATCCCCGTCCTTGTCCTTCTGGCTGTCCTAGAAACCGAGAACTACTTTAGCGACTCGTGGGGCCTCGAAAAGAAACGCTTCCAGCGCGTCTATGTAGGTCCGCTTCACCGTATTCGCCGTCGACTCGCTCCCGGACCTCTTAGCATGCAGAGGACGGAGCCCGACCCTCGTTTACACCCACCGCGGACGACTCCGTCGTCGTCGCCGCCGTCGTCGTCGTCGACGTCGTCGTCGACGTCGTCGACGTCGTTGTCGTGGTCGTCGTCGTGGGCGCCGTCGTCGTCGCGGCGATGGCGTTTTCCGACGAATTTCCGGACGTTTCCGTGGAGTTGGTCGGCGTGTCGATACAACATCGCATGCTGGCCGTTGGGCATTGCACGTCCTCCAGCACCTCGTAGCAGATCAGGGTGGCGAAAGCGTGGACGCACACCCCGGGGCAGTCCGCGCTGTTCGCCGTGCTCGTCAGAGAGTCCAAGAGTCCTGCCAAAGAGAAATAATCTATAAACGATGTTTCTTCTCTACGAAATAATCGTGTCGCGCAATCGCGTTCGATTCGAGTAACGGCTATCAACGATACGCGTACGGATCTTTTTTTCTCGGGGTAGAGTGGAATAGGTCGCGCACATCGGGCGCCGCTGCGCGTGCGAGGCCGTGCATAGGGAACGGCCTTAAAATGATCCCCTATATCGTAAACACCCGTTACGCGGGATTTACGGTTAACGGCAAATCGCCAATTACGCGTGCGAGCTCGAAAATCTTCTCGTCGTTGCGCGCACTCGTTCCTTCGTTACACCTGGGGAACGAGTTATCCCACGTGGTCGACCCCGGGCTATTAGTAATCGCCGAGGACCCCGCGGGAAGACGTAATTTATGTCAGAATTATGCGAAAATGAGGGAGAAAAAGAAGCGACAAAGATCAGCCCGCCGACCAGTTTCGGCTACATTCGGAGGCTCTACAGGGTGATCGGACGAAAAATGACAAGTTATCCCCGCGAAATATAAGAGTCAAGAAGTAAAAGTGGAAGTCAAGGAGCACTACCGCTTGTTCGATGCAACGCGATGCAAAGGTAATCGAGGGCGGTTTCACTTTGGCAGGCATAACGGCCCAAACGAACGTAACGGTAGTTAACGAGCCTTAACGAGCCTTAACCAGCCGCTCCGAGCCGAGGCACGCGCGGGCCTCGTCTAATGCATTCCCGGATAAATCTTGAGATTACGATAACGCATTTCCCGAAATCCCTGGTCCAAACGGGCCGATCCTCCTCTAACGCCGTTCGATAACGGTACATTAACGGTACATTACCGGTACATTACCGGTACATTAACGGTACATTAACGGTACATTAACGGTACATTAACGAGATGACAGAAATTCGGGCTTCCTCGGTAACGATTACGAAATCCCGAGGAGAAATAAGGAAGACTTATAGAGACTTCCCGCCGAGTGGAAGAGATCTCGCCTATGCGAGCGTCCAAGTCTCCGGGTTGGCTCGGTGCTCAGAGCTCGATACCCAGGACGCGAGAGGTTTCCGGACCAGCCAAAACGTCTTCGAGTTTGTTTTGCCTCCTGCTTAGGTATACCGTTGCGGACGGCCTTCTTCCGCGTAGCGTTACCCTCCTAAGTGGGACACGACCGTATCCTTCGAGGTGCACCGTCCATACCACGTCGCCATGCTCGTGCACCCGGCAATTTCTATTTCTCGAAAGCTCCGGATGGATAAAGGTCTCCCGAGTCATTTTCCAAAGTAACCCTCCACCGGACGTCCCCTCGTCCCAGGAAGGAGTCTTCCCGATGCGAGATTCGAGGCCTGGTCGATGAATCTTGAGCCTCGGTTCACGGATTCGCCAAGATGCGCCTCACCTGAGAAGAAGCTGCCGGCCAAGGACTCGTCGTCCTGGGCCTTGACCCTGGTCAAGGCGAGGACGAAGAGTAGCCACCCCGAAGGGGCGATGAGCCTCATGGTGACGTTGACGCTTCTCGAGAAACAGCTGATGCACCCGTGGACACTGTATGCGCACGTGTCACTCGACTGCGAGTTTGCCAACCCTGATCGTCCGGGGCCTTATTGCCCGACTGGCGGAGTCGCTTGTGGGTCAGGGTGCGGGCCGGACTTACCCGCTCTTCGGCGGTTGGACGAAGAGGTCGCTCGTTCCCTCTTCGTTTCTTTCGTGATCGTGCCTATCAAAGTGCCCCTTCTCTCTCTCGCTCGCTCGGTCTCCGGGTCGTCTTCTCGCAGCGACCCCCACTCTCCCGTCCACGCGCCGCCTTCTTCTCTCTCTTCCCTCGATCTTCCACATGTAACCGAGTAGCGGTACTTCTCCCATAAGCGTGCGCGGCGTCGGGCCTCTAATTTCTATTCGTCGATCGAGCGGGCGGGACAGCCTCCGCCGGATCCTGATGTAGAATTTACCATTTTGTCCCGATATCCTTGACGAAACCGCTGAGCAACGGTATTCTCGAGTCGAGTCGGGAGATGCCGCTGAATCTCGAGTAGGCGCTCTTGGGGATCCTTTTGAAACGGGGAATGATCCAGGACTCGCCCCAGCGGGTTTGCTTGCCAATGCTGAAATCATACCTTGCTTATTATACGCGCAGGCGCTGCACCCTGGGTTAAGGGTGCAAACTGATATTTTGGACGGGCCTTAACGTTAAATATATATATATATTTTTTTTTTTCCCCAGCGAATCTTAACGCAAGAGGTACAGTAGTTAAAGCTTTCGGTTGCGCTTCACGGCAAGAGTTACCCTTATTCTCGTGATACCGATAAAGAATGTCGTTTACGTGTTCCTTATGATATTCCCAGCAAAGCTGGGTCTAGTAGCATGAATTTTTCTATGCACTCGATGAGCCAGACGAGGGGCAATGATTTTATGTGTGGCATGTTGTACTTGATGCGCGGCTCCTCTTTCCCAGGAACGTAGATGATGTAATGGGAACACTTGTGCAAGGGATGCTGTGGATTTTGGGATACGTGAAATGGAATTAATTTATTCGCCTCTATCTCCTCCGGGTTTGGCTCTCTCGTTAGAACTGCACCATCGCCTTCCTTTACGAGAGCTGCCAAACTGCGTTTGGTAAACGGGATGTTGCTCACGGTGTACGTGTTTTTTAGATTCAGGGCGAAGTAAAAGTAACACCGATTAAAAAGTCGAGGATTCTGAAAAAATTGTTTAACTTTTTAATTTCTTATATCGACGAACGTATTAAATTTTATGTACACCGATGATTCGTTTGCTTACTTGATTCTCTGCGTTTTCCCTCGCTCGAGTTAGAGTACCGCTTGTTGGAGCACTCCGGACTTCGAACAACTTCAAGTCCAATTCGGTCAGATCATTCAATTCTAAACTTAGCCGAATCCCTAAAGAAGATACATTACTTTGGTATAGCGTTCAATAATTATTTCAAATTAAGCGAACCAGAGAAATCCTTACATTCACTATTCAGGAGCCACTTCCCATGAAGAATTACCAGCAACACGTCGTATGTTAATTTAGCGGTATTATTAATATTTGCTTCGACAACGACATGAGTTATGGAAGGCCTGCATCATTTGAAGAAATATAAGATAAAAACGTACTTTTTAGAAGATTTGTGAAATATATTACAATGAACAAAGGGTACCTGAACTCTGAAACGATCTTCACTTTATGCCTAGTGGCCATTTTGTTGAGCAATTGACGACTTTCGCTGCTTAAATTCGAAGGATATATAACCATTTTAATACTCGTACTGCGAACGGACTGGTCCAATGTACGATTTAAATCTAACAATTTCTCGGGCGTTTTCGGCCATTTGTCTTGTTTCAAAAGTTCACGCATCTCTTCGGTAAAAGCGTAATCTCTGCATCAATCAATTTCTTCTTTAGAGCAGAGTTTATTTAAGCGGAAAACATCTACTAAAAACAATCTCCATTTCATTGAACTTACACTGGGGCTTTCCCACATTGATCGTACACATTTGGATTAGCTTTGTATTGTAAAAGCAATTTTGCTTCGTCAATATTATTATTAGATGCAGCCTCGTGTAATGCTGTTTTATTGTCTTTACCAGGAGTGTTTGGTTGGGCACCAGCTTCTAAAAGGAGTTTACAAATAGCGCAATATCCCCAGCTTGCAGCTTCTTGCTAGAAAATACATTATATTCAATTTGGTCGATTAGAAATTAATTAAAAATGCTCATCGAGGAGCAGATACAAAGACTTATTAATAAAGTGGATGGTCATTTACCAATGGCGTCCAATCAGCATAATCTTTTGTATTAGGATTTGCACCAGCATCTAGCAAGGATTTAACAAACATCTCATCACCCTGGAAAAGAAAAGTATTAAAAGCAATTAATACTTTTTCTACATCAGAAAAAAAGAATTCCAAATAATATAATATAAAACATACCTTTGTACAAGCATTGTGCAATACGGTTTCTCCCTTTGCATTACGTTTGTCAATTTTTCTTGGTATATGCTTAAGCGTATGATTAAATGGCTTTTTGGCTCTCTTCTGTGATGAACTTATAACGGTTGTTTTGGTTTCACTGAACGCCGAAGATTCTCCATTTCGGGACTTTCTATTAACAAACATTAAAGATACTTTAGTAGTTTTCATTTAAAATAATAAATAATTCGTGATCCCATATGAAATGACAGCACGTACGGACGTCCAATTATTTCTTCAATAATTTTGCAACCCTGTATAAGATTTTCAACCATCAGGTCATGTTGAATTTCATTTGGTTGTACCGGTGTGTGACAAACCACACAAACCGATTGATCGTCAATACATGACTTACAAAAGAAATGTCCACAGTTGGAGTACCGAACTGCAGCAACTGTTGTATTTTTACTGAAAATTAAAGTAATTCTTCGTTAACAATGCTTTAGTAACATTTTTATAACAAAGATGACGTATTATAGGTGTATTAAAAGTAATGTTAAATAAATGCATTAATGTACCATCGGCCGCAGACGAGTGCATCAAAAAAGTGTCCCAAAGCCTTTTCCGTTTCCTTCCAGCTACTATTCGGATCCATTTTGCAAGTGTCTGGTTGCTGTCAATTTCGCCACTATTTAATTACGGCTAAACTTGTTAGGAATTATAAAAAACTATCGCGTTCTTGAAATCATTAAACTTTGACGATCACTTGTTAAGTGATCACTTATCAGTGTGCGTTTCAAGTGTCAAGTGAATTTTCAGTGTTTAAAAAAAAAATGATTTGCCCAGTTGCATCCTTATTACGCATAAAATAACGTCAGCTCTTCATCGTAAACCTAGAATCGCGTTACTTGCAAATCGGGCATTAGGTAAATCGCCGGCGAGGATCCCCGAAACGCCACCGGCGCTGCGATCGATGCGTCGTTGCCAAACGTTCACATTTACGGGGCTATCTTATTATTCCGATAATAGTTATGAGAAATAAAAGGTTAATTCGCCGTCCGTGAATATTTAAGGACACCCCATGACCGTTAGAAAACAATTTTTGAAGCGGTTCCTCGAATCCCGGTTTAGTACATTGTGGAATGTACAGCGAGGAGCTACTGTGTTACGCAGCTCCGTATGATGCTATCGAGAAAAAGAATGCCGAGCTCGATCGGATCGAGGTTTTGCGTCGTCGATGCACGACTTTCCGACCTAGCGTTGCGTCGGATTCGTTTCTTGGGGCTCGTTCGAGCGCTCGTTAAAATTAATCCGGATTTCACATTTTTACCTAGTAGCCCGTATATGTGGCAACAGGGCAAATCTTTTCCTGCTGGGTGCTCTGCCACTTCCTAGTCAAAAGAATTTCCTCAAGCACAAACAAAAATATATTTATACCGAGGTTGAGGATCGACGAAACCGCGTGCGTTCGAACGGGCACGACGGACGGTTATCTCGGAGAGATTTTCCTCGTACTCGGGACAGCCTCGGCACCAGTTTTTTGAGAGCAAATCATTTCGAAAACGTCGGTGAGCGTCGCGCCGTACATTACCTTCAAGACCCGTGTTTCACGTTATTTGAGCGCACCCTTTAATTCGGCTTCGCCTGAACGTGAGTGGATTTGTTTACGTTAAATAGCGTAAAGTTTACGATCCGCTGAAAAGAGTTTCCGCTACCCGTAAATACGCTCTTGCACATGAACGCGTACGTATACGTACGTACTACACGTACATAGATTTACGTTCAACACTGTCAAAACTCAAAGGATTTTGGCGAAATTCATATGTCAAGACTGATCGAAGCGTCGCTGTTATGGTAAGACTCTACATTTGCAAAACTAACGATGGTTGGCTTCTTGGACCAATTAATTTTTATACGTTGTCTCTTAATCGTAGGTTCCTTAAATAGTTTGGAGTACGTCGCAAAGGACGGACTCTTGTATATATTAAGGTTTGCCCGTGTCGATGGATCGACAATGGTATCGCTACCATAGAGACACGACGCGTACCGAGAACATGGAGCGACAAAAGTATTATACGTGACAAAAGTACCGCTAATGGTTCTTCGCCAATTTTCTGGTCATCCTCCCGATAAAGACATGGAGGAACCCGTGAAAAAGAAACAGCGCGTCAAAAGCGACGACGACGAGGACGACGTCTCGGAGATGGAGAGGTTTCAAAATAGCCTGCTGGCGCAATGTTTGTGTAATATTCCTGAAAGTACTCTACGTAAGCCGTTCATTTGTACGGTTCAAGCTATAGGCGGAGGCTATAGATCGACGATACTGTCGGAATGGGAACCGGACAAGACTCTGCAGTTCATTAGTGCCTTACAACTCCTTTTCGACTTAGCCATCAGGCAAAATACAAGAGGAGTCATGTGTAGCAGGGTAGCGGACGTCTGCGAGGCGCTTTCCAGGAACGAACATGGTATTATAGATCAAATAATCGATCTTTCTTGCACCTCCAACAAGTTCATATCGTTCACAGCGAGCAGAGCACTCGCTGCGTTCTTTATCATAACAAAGGAGAATATCGAAGCATCGTGGCTGGAAAGGTTGACGCAGTCCCTAATGAACACTCACTCCCCGAGTCAGATGTTATTTACCCTGGATGTAATAAAAAGGGTAGTGGAGCACAAAGACTGCAGTATTCATCCGATAAGCGACTCCGAGAGTACCATTCCCCCACCCGGGTGCAACACCCTGACCATCTCCGATCCGGAAAGCTTGGACAGCACTCCGGTTAAGGCAATGTGCGTGAAAGCCTTGGAATCAAAATGGACGACGTTGGTTTCCAAGTTCGATGCCATTCTTGGATCCTACACGCCGCAGCACGAATCCGCCGTTATCACGTTCCTGGACCTGTGGGAGTCCATAATATCCGTGAAGGCAAATTTATCCGTCATAGATACGAAATTGTTTTACTCCCAGTTGGACAATCTGGTAATACTCTTAAACGGTAACATACCCGGCGTCATCTGGAGGCATCTCTTAGGGCTGTTCAACGAAGTATTATGCTACGGAAGCACTTTGGCTCTGCAGGACGTCCTTCCGGACGAGCCCTGCTCCTTGGCTCACCTGGTGGTACGAGCCGTCAAAGACTGGAGGCTTTTGGATTCGCTGCCATATAGGCATGGCTCCGGGAGATTCGGCGGTGGCTCCGGAGATGGAGACCGACCGCTTCTGCAGAAAGTCGTCCTGTTAGTTTTAAAAAGTGTCGCGGTAACGGTGAAGGAGACGCGAAGTGACTCGAGCGACTCGTCCCTGGGCTCCGAGGCGGAGGACTTGGATGCCGACATGGCGGTCATCGAGCGCAGCATCAGAGAGGTGCTACGCCAACTGGACCAGTGCGTCAAGGCGTTGATGCCCTTTCATCCGGAAATGTCTCTCTCTCAGTGGGTCGTCCAAATGTTCCACGACCAGGATGACTTTCTGATCGAAGGCATGGTGTGCTGTTTGGACGTGGCGGTGGGACTCTTTTACAGAGGCCCACCGCAGAATGATCTCGGTCACATGCTCAGCCCTACGTTGACGTTCATACAATTTGTCCGCGCCGTTTCGCACGACCCCGACGTACTCCTGGATTTGTTGGTCAGCAACGAGACCTGCTTTCTGCTGTACCTCCTTAGATTTCTAAAATACGTCAGGCGAAATTGGTCGGAGTTCATAACATGCTGCGGAAGAGAATTGGACGATATCATGACAGTACTGATAAGGCTCAGACTAGCGATAGATAGGCTCGTATCTAAAGCTTTATTTCCGTATAACATTAATCCGGTGTTGCGTCTATTGGAGAAGTGCGAGTCCTTCTACGAGGGCAACATTGAGAACTAACGAGCCTGGGTATTAAGAATAAACTTAACTAACGGTTACTCGAATGGGTTCATTGACGAGGACGACGTACCGTTTACCAAATTCTCCAATTCATTATTCTAAAACTTCTTCGGGAAACGTACCCGCAATCGTCGGGGGATCTCCTCCGCTGTCGGTTCCCGTCGGGCACCCTAGATGTATGTATACGAATATTGAAAATTAACGATAAATCGTCGACGAGCCAATTCAATTGTTATTTATTAATACTAGTTATCATACGTGGAATCGTAGAAGTCTCCTCGAAAATCCGTCTGCTCGCGCGCCAAGTACGTTCAAAAGATAACTGCATAGAGTGGGTAGTACAAAAGTAGTTGACCCTCGCCTGGCGAAAACAATTTCATCGTCGTATTCAAGATACACTTTTTTTTTTCTGGCAAATATCTTTCAGAAACGGGCCTTTGGAACGTTGACATTTAACGTTAGTCCGTGCCCCCCCAAGCACGCATAAATATTTTCGACTCTCGAGGGTTAAAGACAGGGAACGTTGAAGATCGACGATGCTCTTGTATGGTGCTACAGCTGCCAAAGCACCATTCAAAGTGTACTTGAATAGACACCGCTAGAGTAATATTTATACCTAAACGCGCCGATGCTATTTATAATGAAAGATCCACCGGATAGCCCATAGCCTATCGGAAGCGATCGAGGAACCTGAACCTACGGAATAGCGCGGCGATATCGTTAGTACTAGCTCGTTAAGTCGCATAATTTACATTACGATAGAATACAGGATATTCTTTGTACCATACCGTGTTCCTGAGAATGTAAGTTACGTTTAACATCCCACTAACGTTCTCTAAATTCCTGCCGATTCAGCTTGGTAAGATCGACGAGATCCTTCGCTCGAGCGGGCGCTACAAAGTATGTACTTTGATGTCAATGCTACCGCAAAACGGAGGAAAACTCGTTAAGTAATCTATACACATATGTATACATATTTATGAAATCGAAAAATTCTCTCCCGACTCCGCGACGAGCGCGGACCGTCCAGTTGAAATTCTTGTATCCGCCGATCGTCAATGACCGCGATATTGTACATTATGGAGGAACCTGTAAAACTAATATTTATTGCGCGAACGCGCCGAAAATACCATGGGGAAATTGCGTCGAACCGCCGAGTCATAATTTATGTTGCGCACCCGTGAAACACTTTCCACGGTGTTCAGAGATTAACGCTGTATATTTACATATTAATTTATGAACCTCCGTAACTATTAGACAAACTTTACCAAATGCGACATTAACGTTCAATTTCGCAGACCCAACTCGCGCCGATTCGGCGAAGCGACATCACGATGTACCTAACTTTACCCCCCCCGCGAAGAGAGTTAAGGTTTCCCCATTTAATTAACGACAAGTTGAATTAGTGGTCGTTAATGTCACGCGCGTAACGTACTTGCGGATATCTTGTAAATAATTACTACCACTTTATAGAGCAAACGGCTTACTTTTGTAATTAAATGCGTTTACGTTCGATAACTCTCGCGCAATAATCTCGGCGTCGTATTCGTAAGTCCTGATAAACTTGAGAAATCTTTAAGTATTTCCTCCCTGATTACATATTTATATCGTATTTAATAATTCAACCCTTCAGGCACGCCGAAATTGCAATATGCGGAGACACGTGCTGCAAATGTATGTATTATTTGTCCAACGCTACTCCCCCCCGCCCCCTTTACGTTCGAAATATTTAAAATTAAGCTGTGCTGAAATGTACTGTAACCGTATTTTTTTTAAATCTAGAAGAAAATCTTTTTATACCAACAGTTGTGTTCAGTGGTTTCATATCCCACCGATGAGATGACCATGCGACTCTGACATGTGTTTTTAGACATTTTTAACCAAGGAAAGGGAACCGACCGATCGAGCGAATCTCTTGGAAATGAACACGATCTATTTTTATTTAACTTAACACTTTACCGACCGGCGAATTTCGAAGTAAATGGCGATCACGGGTATCGCAAAACCGATTAATCGGCTTCCGGTCGATAAAGTGTTAATTTCTACACGGGTACTGAATGGTTACTTTAAAAGAGGTCGAGAGGTCCTATTTACAGCTCATATAAATACACCGACCGAAGATACTTAAACACTAAACACTACCGTCTTGACGATGCATTAATGTAAATCAACTTGTTCGATGTATGTACCGTAAACGTAGCTCGACGTCGCTATTGACCACATCTAAACAAAACTAACGTACTTAGGTACACTAACTAAAGTTACTTCATTTTTTACGAATATATAATATACGTCGTTTCTAAATTACGGACATTGAAACCTATCATCGACAAATGAGTAAAAGACGCGATAAAAGATGTAAAATAAATATCAAGTGACTTGTAAAGAATCGTAGTGGTACATTGGCAATTTTCGCTTAACATAAATCGGATACACGTGAGTAGTAATCGTAAAAAGAAAACGGAAGCCGATCAGCTAAATAACCTATCTAGTATCAACATGTGTTCCTACTTGTGTCACAATAATGACTATTACAGTTTTTGCAGGGCACGTGTTATTGCGATTCATTTTCCATACTATACTCTACATTCTCCTTTGCTGCGGTATAATGGCATTACTTGAATGACGTTCCGTTAGAGTTCAATTACTTCCAGCAAAATTCATTCTCAGGTGGGTCTTCCCGCAAATATCGCAGAAAACTCCTACGTACCTTGCTAATCCTTCGGCTCTCCGTTGGCTACCAGCTCCGAACATGTATACACAAATATTGTCTCAAGCGTGTCCACGTGTACAGGTGCAATTCACTAATTATATACTTCGTTAACTACATCACGGAACATCCTTCGTAGTAACCGTTTCGAGGATCAATGCGACGCTATAAAATGACTTCATCGGTGACCACATTATTGGTTAAATTAATTAAGCACAAAAGAAAAATAGTTCATCATCGATATCGATATACCGTGTATACGTGAAACTTCGCATTAAGCAAGGCATCTAGAAACCTGTATTAACGTGGAAATTTCGAGGCAGAAACTATGTGTCATAGTCCTCGTCGATGTTGGCAGTGTGTGTGAAATTTGACATCGGTTTATTAGATGCGCTTAAGCATGACGTACCGGTTGCTAAATTGGCAGGATTCACCTCGGTATAAAAATTAGGCTGGCTAACGTTAAATGACGTGGGCACTGACATCTGAAAATCTGGAGCTTGTAAGCTTGCGACTTTTGCTGTTTCGTGCAATGTGGTACTGGAAGATGAACTTCCTTTGCTGTCCCTCGTACCGACAGGAGTTATATTTATATCACAATGAGACGCTATGTCTGTTGGAATGCTGAAACAATATTTCTTTTTAAAGATACGTCTTCGACTTGGCCATATTCCATACCCAGTTTTGACCCTACTCTAAACACTCACAAAAACGGTGCCTACCTATAATACACGTAGGGTGATACGGGAATAAAAATAGCAAATCCCTTTTCGTCGGTATAACCAGAATTTGCCTAAAGTACTCGTCATTCTTGGGACATTTTGTATACCTACCTAGGCACTGAATGACGCGCCGATTGTAAACACGTGGTCGATAGGAGGGAATTTGCTGCAATGGGTGCAGGTGTTAACGGAGGTGTGGGCACCTCTTCATCCGGGCCTGTTATATCTGGAAACCCTTTCACTAAATCTTTCAAGAAGTCAAATCGACTCTCCGAAAGGATACATTGTTTCCTAAATAATTAATCTTTTGTAAATAATCTCATAAACAGATTCGATACTTCAGCGAGGCTGCTATTTCAAAATCGATTCCAGCAAAACACCGGCATGCTCCAAAATGAGTGGCGACACGTGATTTATTATGTTGAACATCTTTACCATTTATCTGTTATTTCAAGCAACCAGGATAAACATTCAAAGATCTTTAAACTAAATAATACTCACATGTGAGATGGGCTAAGAGTTTTGGCATTTTTGGCACTAGTAACCTGCATCGTTTTCGTAAGTAACGAGTGAACGAACAACTCGAGAGTTCTAGGTATATTAACAATTAAGGAAGTATATGTTATTATATTATTGTACAGCAGATAATTGCACAGATAAGAAACATTAAAAAGATTGCTAATTAAAGAATGTAATCAATAAGTTGTGGTGAAGATAGTTATGAAAAGGATATAAATTATAACTGGAACTGCTTGAGCAACTTTTCCTACTTCCTCGTCTGTCTGCATGATCTTTTTTATGCGACCCTAAAACAAGAGATTATGTTACTCCGTAATGTCACATTGTTGGAATCTAGATCAATAAATGAGAAATTTTTCTTGTTACGAATATACACACGCCTATCTAAAACCTATCCGATTAAGAACAAAAGCCATGCGTGTCATCGGGCAACAACGGGACCTACGTTGTATTCCTTCCCAAAATCAAGGTAAATTATTTCTGTAAGTCTCTTACCGCGGGGAAACGGGCATTGTATTTTTTCTTTTTACTTGGCATTATCACGCAGTTATATTTTGGAGTTTGTTATGTACACCGTTTGCTGGAAACTTATGCAGATACTAGGTTAGTTGGCCGAATTTCTTGTGCTGTTTCACATTGACATCATTTATAAGATTTACAATTATTTGGGTACATCAGTCTGTACAATCGATGGGTTCCATTTGACTAGACGTGGACACGATTTAACTCTCCTTAACCATTGTTATTCTAAAACTTTATGTAGCTTTCCGATTTATTCAACCGAAAAGTCTGTTCGGTTTGTCATCACTGACGGATCAAAAAATTTATCTAGTCCGATAAATCTAGTTACTTAATTAACCCTGCTGGCACAATAATAAGCGCTCGAAAAAAAAAGAAAGTATTTTTTCAGGGATTTCTGATAACTATTTAATAATAACGACTGTATAACGTGCTCGAACTCAAAGTGGAACTCTGTTGGCAAAACATTTTTCAGGACCACTTTGTAGTACCGTGTTAGACCTCTACAATCTTTTTCTCTTATTAATCCATGGCTAATCCGCTACGCATAGCGCACTAGCGCATTGTTGCATTCGTTGCATTGTAAACCGTTTCTAAGCTTTGTTACCAAAATGTGCAGGTATTGAAATTGTGGAATTTATTTGTAAATAAAGCTAATGTCAAAACGCGTTTCGTGTATGGCGGAATCAAGACAACCGAACTGCTGTCCACTGCTGTCCGTTATGAAATTAAATTATTTGTAAAATTGACATTGGCTTTGAATACACTTTTTAGTCTGCCATAAAGCTGCGATATCGAAACCGAAAATGCTGTCTCGGAAGAATAAAGACTTGCGCACTATTAAAGAAGGCGTCGTCGGAAAATATGTAAAAAAAGAGACTCCTCCTGAAATGCCTAGTGAGTATAGGTTCATTTCGCACAAATGTGATTTCACTCATAACAGACGTATAAAATATCTTTTGTACACTTTTAAACATGTAACATTGTAAACTTGTATACATGTCTTAAGGTATATTTTAATTAGTTCATGCAAGTACTTTCGATACCCAGAAAACAGTATTATCTTTAAACTTACAGTTATTAATGTATGGACAACCGAACCTAACAGAAGGACACGAAGGCGCAATGATCAATCTGCGATTCCAGCTACTATGGTGAGTCATTTTCAATTTTCCCAGTAATTGAATAACTAAATAAATGTTTGAATACAGCCAGTTCCACAACAACCTAGCATGGTTCAAAAATTTGGTAATACAAAGACAACGATGAGTGCAGTCGGACTAGGCAATCATGAAGGAAAATATACACCAAACAGCTCGGTTCCAGATCTGGCTCAAAGGTACGTTAGAATAAGGGCATAATTAACATACTTATGATTATTTTTTTTAAATGAATTATAAGGGTTAACTTTAAATGAAAAAATGGAATAGATTTTAGTATCATGTGTTGTTTTATAGGTTTGCAAGCCTGTCAGTTAATACCGGGTCAAGTGATGGAACAAGTTTACGAACAACGACACCTATGTATCATCCAGGACTTTCGCCAGCAATGTCCCATACATATGTTAATCAATATGCAGGATCTGAATATCATCTAGATAGAGTCCAAACACCACAATTGCCTTACATGCCTTTTGAAGTCGATGCTAATTATGAGGATTACAATCATTCGTCGTACCATCAGAATGCAGGGTAACTTGTACTTCTAAAACAACTGAATCGTATGTAATTCAAATGCCAAAGCTATTGGCTATTTTTTGCAAGGTACTGTAGAAGTCATTCAGAAAGCTCAAGTTCGAGAAGCGAGCAACAGGAAGAATTGCCCTTACCTCCTGGTTGGTCGGTTGATTTCACGCTTCGAGGTAGAAAATATTACATTGACCATAATACCAAGACTACGCATTGGTCACATCCCCTGGAAAAGGAAGGCTTACCAACTGGATGGGAGCGAATAGAATCACCAGAATATGGGGTTTATTATGTGAAGTAAGTATATAATGAAACAGAACATCGAACGGTTTTCCAATACTAAACAACGTTTCAGTCACATTACGAGGCAGGCGCAATATGAACATCCATGTTATCCATTGGAAATGCAGGCTGTACGTGTGGTTTCACCTCCGAGACACACGCAATTCCATTCGCATAGTGTTTTGGTTCCAGCTAATCCGTATCTAAACGAAGAAATTCCTCACTGGTTGTACGTGTACAGCCGAGCATCGGTTGCTCTGGACCGTAAACTGCGATGGGAACTATTTCGATTACCTGAATTAGACTGCTTCAATGCTATGCTCACGAGACTTTATAAGCAAGAATTGGAAGAAGTGGTTATGCGATATGAAGAATATAGGTAAGCACCTTTTATGAGGTCAAAAGCTATATTTAATATTCAGAATACCTGATAGTCAATGAAGAACGTCACTCTGATGAATTTCTATGGTTTAGGTGAATTTTATTATTACATTTTATTAAACATTCTACCTAGGTCTGCTCTTTTATGTGAAATGGAGCAACGGTTAAAGGAGTTGAACCCAGAATCAACCAGCTCCAACTCGGCAGTCGCTCTGAGACGGTCGCTTCCCTGAACACGGTAACATGATCGTTACTAAACCAACTCGTGGGCAAGTTTGACACGGATTTCATTAAATCCATACGCTTCATTGATGTGCCCTGCCCGCTGTTATTATACAAGTTGACTCAAGACTTGAGAAAATCTATTTTATATCACATCTTGTTATATACTATATTTTGTGAATATAGCATTTGCAAACTGCAAACTGAAAGTATTAAAACTATGTATACATTAAAGCGATGTGCTCTCTGTTTCGGTAAGCTTTGCCTTATTTTCGTCAAAATCGGCCTGATTCGTTACTCCCGAGTAGGTAAACCCGGTAATTCGATGTAGTTTGTGAGTTTTCAAATCAATGTTCAGAATCTCTGCATATCTTTGACCTGTACAAATTAATGCATATTGGTTCCATTTGTTACACCCTAGAATCAATCTGTCATTATGAATAATGTACCTATCGACAGGTTCGGATCCTGTGGTAGTTTTGAATTGATCAAGCCATAAATAGTGAAGCCAAAAATATGCCAAGCGCAAATTGCATATACAATTGACAGTTTGCCCTTCCAATATTCAGCGTTTTCTTTGGTTATCGGTCGCGTGTTTCTACGCATCCATCTCCTTAACCAACCCATTGCCCTGTTCAGAGAAAGGGTAACTAATAAATTTCAAGTTCGTTTACAACCGCTTAACTTTTTACATCGGCTATACTTGATACTTATGTCCACGTAATATCACAAACACTCCTCTGACGTTGCCAGAAATGTGTAAAAGCTAATGCAAATGAACTTGACTTTTCTCCCACTTACCCTTAGCTTACTCTGCTAACAAATTATAATTCCACATGCGACGAAGTGAGTAGAGAGGCTACCACGGATAAAAAGTAACCAAGAGTTCATTAACATCATATTTTTACAGCGATCAACTAACAAGACCGCCATCTAGCGGCCATGAGCCGATCCATACTTAGTGAAGAAACATATCCATAAAATATTACACGGCAGCTGAGAAACGTAAGGACATGGCACTCTAGATTACTCTATGTTCAAAGCTGTCGTCTGTATTTAACAGCTGTTAACGCCGGCATGGGGGATGGTAAAACGGTCTAATTTATATTACTTCGGTAAACTCGATAAATTCTATTTAACGGAGTTAAGTTTACATACTATAAAAAATGTCGAAAGCGGCGGGAAAAATGAAAGGATTTAAAAAGATGATACCAAAGGTGGAGCACGCATCTCCGCTTCGCACAAATATACCGGCGGGATTGGCAGCACCGAGTCCACCATTGGGACCGATGCTCGGACAGGTTAGGAAGATCATTCTTTTTTTTAATAATCTCAGAATATCCAGAGCATTAATAAGAAATCTCGAGTTAGCTTTGACTTGCGGTTACAAAATCAATTTCAATTATCCTTTAAAATTTGCTATGCATCGGGTCATTGTAGAGAAATATTTGAATGACTATTCGTTAATCCTGTCAATTTGAATAAAGTTCATTTTTATTTTTGTTTAGAGGAACATAAACATAGCTAACTTTTGTAAGGATTTCAACGAGAAGACCAAAGATATAAAGGAAGGGATTCCGTTACCATGTCGAGTTAAGGTAAATTCTGATAGAAGCCATCAGCTAGTCATTCACCAGCCTCCGGTCACATTCTTCTTAAAACAAGCTGCAGGGATTCAGAAAGGAGCTATGTATCCACGTATGTACTCCATTTACCGATGTTTTGCATTCATTAATCTCTTAATCTAGGGGTAGCTAGCTTAATGAAAATACATTCTGAATCCGTTTCACGTATAGTTTTTAATTCTATGATGAGTTAATTTGTTTGGAGCACCGAAGAAAGAATTTTCCAATGGCAAGTCAATTCGTCATCCCTGGTTAAAGAATTCAAATTTCTCGCATGTGTGTAATATTTAATTCATCATAGCGATTAATTTTTAATACTTCGGACTTAAATATTTAATTCATTATTTTCTGTATTACAGAGAGAGAAATAGCTGGAAAGGTAACCCTAAAGCACGTTTACGAAATAGCTAAAATTAAATCGCAAGATCCCCCTTTGGCTCTAATGAGTTTACAACAAATTTGTCAAATGATAGTTGGGATTGCACGTTCTTGTGGTATAGAAGTTGTTCGCAACTTGAACATGGACGAATATACGGAATTCTTGAAGGAGCGAGAGCAAATCATAGCCGAACAACAGAAAGAACTCGAAGAAAAGAAACAAGCTAAAATGTTGCGGTCAAATTAATGTCGATCATAGCTAAGTATGCCCTAGATTGTACAGTATCGTAAGAAATAAAATACATACGTATCGCTAATAGCTACCACTCGTCGACTTTGACCGGTATTAATTCATTCTAAAGATTTTTCTAGAATTTGCAACGTGGTTTGCGCTACAATATTCGGCGTCCCATATTTTTCACAAAAATGTGCAGTTGTGCGCGACGCAAATTCCCCCTAATCAATTTAGACGAATTTCCCTAACATTAATGGCGGATGTCTCGAACTACCTTAATCCTTATCGCGGGTTCCCCTGTGAAAAACTGGACTTACGTAAGAATTTGGAGCGCGCAGATGGACCTTCGACTTTCGACCAATAAGGTCGTAGTCCCCGGGGCAGGCGGACCTGCCGTAGAAGCGGCTCGCGCCGATCTTGTCTGCCTCCCCCCTCGGTCACCGCGAGCGAACGACATTAAATCATAAATCATTCAATTTCAATACCTATATTTTTCTTAATATCATTTTATATAACATTTTCCATAATATATAAAAACGATTTTATCCACATTCGTTACAACAGAAATATCTTAATTGCATAACTTAAATAATATATGGGTTATATCAATAACTGCATTTTTTCTTAGGTTTCTTATATACCCTGAAATAATTTCAGTCCGTTCTAATCTCAATACTTTTAAGTTCTAAGGTCGTAAAGTATTGCTTGTTGAATTTGACTAGACTAATTTAAATGATGCTCCTCAATGAAGTACATTAGCTGCCTTCCCCGAAGTCCCGCGAAGTCCCGTAAAGTCCCGTAAAGTCCCGCGAAGTCCCGCGAAGTCCCGCGAAGTCCCGCGATGTAGCCCACGATGTCCCACGATGTAGTCCCGAAACTTTTCGAAATCCCACGAAGTCCCACGCCGCAGTCCGAAGAAATCTTTCCAAATCCCATGAAGTCCCACGCCGCCGTCAATGCAAGTTCGATATCGTAGATGTTTCCATCATTTTTTGAATTCCATCCAAGAAATTAAGTGCATTAGTTCTAGTTTACGTTGCATCGTGATCATCTCTGGATGGTGTCGTCCAAACAAGTATCACTTTGGAGTCCCCCGAATGGTATAACGTTAATCGAACTCATTGCATATTAGCAGAGATCGCGCACCGACTGCCCTAGTACCATTTTTTAGGCTGCTGTTGTCAATTCACATAAATGCCGTTGTTTCCAACGTGCACCATCGTTTAGTGCTCGGGGATGTCCAAACTTGCATCGAAAAGATAAAGTTGCTCCAAAAATGGTTTACGTCATCACGATAGATCTTTGCTTCTACGTAGAATGCTTTCGATGCATCCGTAGATATAATTCTCTACTCTCGATCTTCCAGAGTGGTCCGCTCAAGTTCAGTAGTACGAAGCTCGAGAAAGTGTCACGATGTCGTCCTTTAAAGTGATAAACTTGACGTCCAAATCCTCTAAACCGGAACATTGGTATAGTTGATTCCGTCGGTACCACGTACCGTGGAAAGATATCGATGCCACCGGTCCTGTTCACCGTTGTCACGGAGTTTGTCCGTATCGGACGTCCCCGCCGTGTCACCAGGTTGACGACACCATCATCCGAGTCAATGGTAGGTCCCTCGCCGCCGTCCATCAGGAATGGTCCCACGCCGCCGTCCACCGGGAATGGTCCCACGCCGCCGTCCACCGGGAATGGTCCCACGCTGCCGTCCATCAGGAATGGTCCCTCGCCGCCGTCCACCAGGAATGGTCCCTCGCCGCCGTCACTTGGGTCTTCTTAATGTTATTCAAGGTCGATCCCTCGCCGCCGTCCATCAAGATTAATTCTCAGTTTTTTCTTTTCTCCGTTCGCGTATTCAGTAAATAATTCGTTATCGAGTTTGTATACAAATTTTTCTTTGCAATTTGTGAAGATTCACCTTCGTTCTTCGGCAATAAGAAGTTATTTTCATCTGTCGCATCTTAAACCCTATTCTTCTAGCTTCATTCGTAGACTGTTTAAATATTTTTTTTCCCCTTTTTAAGTAAATTTTTTCCTTTTTTAATTTTTACTCATTTCTTTTTTTTTAACTGTATCAATAGCCTTTTTTTTTAATGTATCATTTTCCTTTTTTTAAACTGGGTACGAATGTAAGCTTTCAATCTCAAAATGTCATATGGAACCTGTGTCAGCGTCAGTCTTGGCTTATCTTCCAATACCTACAATTTGTTATGAAATTCAAACATGAATTTTTTTAAATCTCCCCTTAATCTTCTGAACTGAATGTCGCGGATCTTCGATGCAGATTCCTAAAAAAATCACATGCGTTAAATCTTCTTGCATTTAGTCCTCTTACTTGGATTCCGAGTTATACAAACCTTTTTGATCTAAAAAGAGCGCTCGTATCAAGCTTCGGAATGGCGAACTAGTTTCGTAGGAACGTCCTCCAAAATGAAAGCTATCCCCCCAGTGAATCTCGCGTCTTTGACATAGAATTTGAGAAGTAGAAGACTCTTCGGAAGACCGCCAACTCCATCGACGAATACCCTCGCAACCGCGCCAATGGATTTCTCGTCCGACCCAGAAGAACCCCGGATAAGAGACCATCTTCAGAAGATCTTCCTAGGTCAATCCCTGGCTGCGTCTCTGAAGTCCACTCTCCCCAGGATCCTGAAGATCGGCTGCACGAAAAGCTGGACTCCAAAGAGCATCTTTCCAAGGGTTGATGCCAAATGAAGCCTTCCTTGGATGTTGACCTCGCACGAATATCCAAAAGAGTCGCAGCAATACTCCAAGACGAGATCCGACCAGGAATCCAATGAACATTGAGCGCATGCAGACTCCGCGGATTGGCATGGAACGAGTCACGTCGGCAACGGGAACCTTCGCGGATGCGTGCTTTCCTCTTTGACCTCTTCTTTATAGGTTTTCCCTAAAGTCTAACGGCTCTCGTGCGCAGGAAAGCGTATTCTAAAAACAATCTTACAGCAAAGGAAAGGGAACAAAAGGCGTTGCCACTCACATTCTATCGCTGTTGCCGATTTCCCAGGGGGGGTCTTTGTCATTCGTTACTTTCTCGACCACAAACTTGACGTCGCAATTAATCGACCAGGCAGATTACTTCGCTACTGGAAAAGAACCTCGTGCTCTTCGTCTTCGTATTTTTGCATCGCTTCCAAATATTTACGAGTTTCAAGATGCTTGTACCGGCGAGACTACTTTTCGCTCAATCTTCGAATAGCGTACTAGTGGCGACAAAAAATAGCTTTCCTATTCTAAAGCAACTGCATCTGCAATAATAAATTTCCTTTCCGGTCCTACAGAGGATCACGGCTCGCTTAAACCGTGCCAGGTTTTCTTCGATGTGCAACTCGGGTTGCGAAGCTTCGTCTCCACAGCTTGGTTTTCAAGTACCGTCGAATCTTGAGAACATGTCCTAGCGATCGCGCACGTTACCGCATTAATTTTCTCGAGAAGAAGAAAAAGAACAAGAAGAAGAAGTAGAAGAAGAAAAGTAACTTCTTGTTGGAAACACCTAGGCTGAGAATGCATTCCGAGTCGAGAGGAGTTAGCGTAAAGCAGGCTCACAGAAAGCTGCACCGTAAACTTTCGAGTAGCACACCTCGACCTTGCGATCGGAGAGAGTCCAGCATGCCAATGAACTTGATCGGTGCTTGAGAAATCATTGGTGTCGAGTAAAATCATTTTCAAGACGTGTTCCAGAAGAAGCCGTAATTCCAAAGACTTGCGGACTAGCTCGACAAGGTGGGCTTTCTTTCGTCTCAAACGATCTATGTCTCGGCATGCTTGGAATATACCTTCAAACTACGGAAAGAAAATTAGTGCCCCCCCACACCCCCGCCCCAACGTGCATTTATTAATAATCCCACGAATATAAAAATGGTGTCCTGTCATCGCTCGGCACAAAAAGTCCAATCTTATAAAATGTTACAAGCTTTGCCAAATTTGCTCGACAGATATTGCTTCTTGGCCCAAACGTGAATCGTGAGACGAGTTATCGATTCGCCTCACAGTTATGATTTTTCTTTTTTTAAGTGAACTCACCACGTAGCGCGCCACGAATATACAGCAATCTTGCGGATACTCATTCCCTCTTGCTCGTAACATTCCGTACATTCACAATTGGCTAGGGAAACGTTCGTTTTTGCATAAAAACTCACAGCGCGAACTACGTGTCTTGATACTCTCTTGGTGCACAATGTCATCACACTATACGTAATTTGAAACCAAAACTGAAACTGCACAAATTATAGCGCAATGGTCCACACACTAAGCACCGATATACGAATATAAATAGAACTCATTCCATAATAGTGCACAAAAGCAGTCCTCTCTCTCTCTTTTTTCTCATATAATAATGGAGGGTTGCGGCTCATTCTTCTAAGCGGCTAGCTCGATTCCCTGTTATCAAAGTCCCAGCCATATCGACCAACTATTCTTGGAGCTCAACTTGCGCAAGGAGTTAAAACGAATCTTACGTGAAGCTCAATCTAGAATACAGTGATTTCACAGGTCGTGAAGGAAAGAAAGTAGCAATTAACAGAATACGCCGTACAGAGATTAAATACTTGGCAAAGGAGCAAACGAAAATGTATGTGCATAGCCCATTTAAATAAGGAAAAAGATTAGTAGTTAAAGATATAGAGATTGGATGTAATGCGGAGGGTCTTCTCTAGGCTTCGTTACCTGGCACTACGACGTGGAGAGTAAAATTTGTTACTTGCAGATCTTCGGATATATAAATCTTCGGTAGACTATTCGTTTCCCAGGTGTTTTTATAATGAAGTTTCTTGTACGACGTATAGTACTTCCATCGCGAGAACTCGTAGTACTCGACAATAATCTTCTCTACTAGTGAATATCCTTTTCTTGTAGCGGAAAGTAATCTTTTCTTGCGCTCTCATTGCAAATCTTCGTATGATGCCATTGTTACGACTTATCGTTCTTAAGTATACTTGTACCCAAATTTTTAACTATCCACAGTCTCACGAAGGAACTTCTCATTTGTATCGCAAACAATAATTACACAACTCCCTCTTATCGGTGACATTAGAGATTGTAACTAACAACAAAATACGAATAGAATTCATTCACCTTTGCGATAAAATTAAATTCCCGTAAGCAGTCAAGATGCTTTCTTCGAGATCTTAAAAAAATTCACAAATTTGCTTGCTGTCTAAAATAATTACTTTTCTCTCACTCTCCTCCCTACTTTGAAATAAAGACAAAACTGAAAAAAAATGGTTCATCATACCAATCATCAGAATACGGAAATGTGTGATTCCACTGTTACCTGAAGACTTCGAACCCGAAGTGATCGCCGCTTTTTCTCCTTTACATGGAATAAGTTTCAAGGGAAATTACATCGATTCGCTCTTCCTATACAATTTCACTCTACTTCCTTTTCATTGACGTTCTGCTTCAGCGGTTCGTTAATTTTTCTTCCTGCGGCTTAAAATTCAACGACCCTCCCCATGGATTGCCGACCAATTTGCCAAAAAGTAATCGCAATACCTCGAATTTCTATTAAACGGGATACTCTCCGGTTCCTCCGCGTGAGAATGAAATCCTGTGTTTCGTGCTATACCCTAAATCTACACGGTAGAAATACAAGGAAAAAATTGACACAAAGAACCGTACCTCGTTCATTCTCGATCGGCTAATTGATCCGTTCGTGCATGCTAACAGCTATGTATCACGTTCCAGTACAGTCTGCGGTACAAAAGAAAATCGTTGTCCCAATCTGCCATGATGACATTGTTGACAAGTATTGGATGAAATTAGAATTCGCTCCGGTCTGTCGGTGGGGTCTTCCGTTACCTCGGGTCAACATATTGCATTTTTCTTGCGCATTCAAGGAGGACGATATTCCCGCTCTCGGTCGTAATCATTGACTCGGATTCCTGTGACTCAAAGCAAGAGAGCTGTCTTCCCCGGAGGCCCCCCACATCGTAGATACTATCTCTCCACGGATACGAAAAGACGGAAAATGCCATGAACGTTTTTACCTCGACCGATGATGAATGATCCTTCGACAAGCTGGGGTCAGCTATTGGACTGTCACGTATTTGCTTTCCCAACCGATCGAACTTGTAATTTATGTAGCTGCACTCTAGCATTCCATTAAACACGTCAAAACATTCCTGAAGCTCAAACAACAATGTCCATTGCATGCCACGAGCCGTTGCAAAATTAGCACCGGCAACGTAGAAATGGTAGAAATTGTAGAAATTGGATACCGTAGTTCCGTCTCACGTCTTCCAGGGTACGATAACAATTAGTCCGGACCCTCGAGTAACACTCGCCGATACAATGTCTACGTCAACTTCTGAACTCGTATCCTGGGTCTTCGATCTCTCGTTATCCACAAAGTCTCAACATTCCTGAAGCTCAAATAACCGTCCATTGCGTGCCCCCCTCCCCGTGTACGTACAAGCACCAGCAAGGATACGTGCGCCTCCATTCTATGTATCCCGGGGTCTACGTAACCGTCTGCTTTGGACTTTTGGATCGAGTGTGTACCTCAACGAGTCTTCCTATTCCTCCTGTTCCTGTCTACGGTTAGCTTACTGCTTGGAACGTCGTTCTCGTTATTCCCTCGTCATTCCACGGTTACGCCAAAACGTTCCTGAAGCTCAAACAACAATATCCATTGCGTGCCCCCCTCCCCGTAACGGAGTACCTGGCTCTCGCAAAATAGGTATCGCCTTCCCACCACGACCTTTCTCTCCGGCGTATGGGCACTAACACGTTGCACGGGTCGGTCTGGATCTCCTGCGATGCAAAACAGAACAACCCGCAAACACCATTCATCCGGTCTAGGACTCTGAAGTTCTCGGAGTTCGATACCTGATACACGATTCTAGATTAGGTACGAGAAATGGGTCAACGAAGACGTACAGCTCGTCGGTAGGGTCTTCGCAGCCCGTCCTTTTAGTTAATGGGGCTGCCCGTAGCTCTACCTGGAGCTCAAAAAATTATTGCATACGCCCCGCCCATCCCCGATAAAGATTCGTTAATACCAGGACACCTCGCCACGTGGCCAGTTAACTTCGTTACGATCGGAGAAGCCAAGGGTCCATGGGCACCGGTTCTGCGCTACGCTGAAGCGAAAAGAATTTTTCAACTTCCCCCCAGCCCCTCGTACATGATACATTAACGCTAATAATCTTCAGGAAGCGTTTCCTTTAACGTAAATCGTACCTCTCTTCGGTGTCCCGGCAAACAGCTTTCTTCTACCTAAAAGAAATGCTCGCGCGTATCTGTCTAATTGCCGCGACCGTGAGAAGGGTCATGTGGACACCTCGACATTCTCCCCCTTGTGCAGTTAAACGCAACACCTCTCTCTTTCTCTCTCGAATGCATCTGTGAAAACACGGTTATTCCGAGCCCGAAGGCAGCGAGCGTACGTCTAATGTATTCGCATGTAGTCGTTTTCCTCTTTCCATTGAAAAATGACTCCCAGGTCGTGCTTGTAAATGCACCATCGTATCACCGTTCGGATGCGTTCGGTACATCAAGCTCGGAACACGCTACTCGTTTTGATCATTTTTCTTGCGAGACATGCAATACCTCCATACCTGGAGAATTCTATTTCCTAGAGCAATCGGGGGATGAGAACGATCTTTGGGTGGCTCCGTAACCAATGTTTCAAAATCTGCTTCGGTGTTGGGTGAGCGTTGTCATTTTGGGATGAACCCAGGGACAGAGACGGGCTCCCGTTAACTTCGAGGGCGAGGCCTTGAAAATACCGCTTGGCCCGTGGATTCTTCCGGACCTGAGGAAGCACACTTTTTCTGCGAGGTCAAGTAAAACGATCAGCTCACCGCCTGAATACTTCTTCGAGCAGTGTCATGGCTTTCTTTGCGGAAGGTGACTTAACGACGAGCGGGCCCGTTTGCGGAAAGGAGGTGCAAAGGTGTGCGAAGTGATCGATGCCTGTGCGACCAACGTACGCCATAGCCAGGGTTGCACCTCTTATGGCCTTCTAGAAACAGACCTTCTCTCCTTGCCCCCGAATATGAAATATTTTCAACCTTACAGCGCATGAAACGGGCCAATGACGCCACTCCTCGCAGTAGATGGCTCGCGCATCTATCGCATTGGGGTCTCCGGCTCACGATAGGATTCTAGGACGAACGTTCGACTGAAAAGGATTTATGGTATTAATGGGGATACTACGGTTTCCGCGGCGCCAAGGTTTGACAGTTGGTTATGGTTGCGTATGATATGAGCAAACATCTAAGAGGAAAAGTTGATATCTCAATTAGTTTGGGAGATATTAACTATTTTCATTTTTTGTTTATATCTTGAACACTGTGCGAGATACACGTTCCTTCGAAATTCGACTCGCAATATCTCAAACTATGACAGATACAAAAAAAAATACATATAAGCAATTTTATAGAAAATTCCTTACAAAAAAAAAATGGTTGTCGATCACTCGCAACTACATCCAAAATGAAAAAAAAAAAATATCTTCCAAACCAATTGAGATATCAACTTTTCCTTTGAGATGATGTTCGTTCACATCGTATACAACAATAGTCAACCGTCAACCTTGGCGCCACGGAAATCGTAATCTTGCCGTATTAACAGTTAACGAATTAAATTTCAAGTATCGGGGTAGATTATTTTCTATAAAAATAATTCTTTATTCTTTCCTCTTAGCTTTTCTTCTTCTCCGTCTATAAAGTGATCTCTGATAGGTACAAAAATTCAATACGAATTGCATAAATAATTGTAAATAGTACAGTATACGTGACTGAAATATAAATGTAACACGTTACCCATTGTTAGCCCAAACCGGCATTGAGCAAATTAAATTTCAACAGTTTAAAGTGTATTTACTTAAATAGTAAATAAATTCAGGTACAAGTATTCTATCGTAAATAAACCAAATGAAGTCCGAATTAATCTTGGATATTTCCAATGACGTCAAGCTCGACATTTAATCCGATAGTCTCAATCTCTGCTTCTAAGGTACTTAATGGAATTATTTGAAAAGGATAACTTTGGTTTCGATACAGTCTACAAACCACACCGACGATAGGCATACAGGCTCGTGAGCACGAGGTCTTGGTTCCCAAGGTATCCCCGAGGCCACCAGAAACTGCTGCACCCTTCGCCCATCCCAATGCCATCTCAAACGGTGAGACTGCAAGTAAAAAATACCCAGATATACACTAGGATACCGGATCTTCCGTTCCTGCAGTACATCTAAGCGCCGCGGCATCTCGGGGCTTCTTTCTTCATCCGCCGCCGCCGCCGTTCAATGGTATCTTCGTGTTCGAGTCATGTCCGAAGTAGCCCATTACAGCCGCCAAGCTGTAAGATTCCTCATCCTTCTTGATTTCCCATAAACCTCTCGCCATCGCGTCATCGCTGCAGCGGAACTTTTATCTCGTTAATCTTAGCCATGAAAGAATCAAAGCTGTGTAACTCCGGACAGAGCGAGTCTCTCCAGGGGTCCAACCCTTCTTTGCAATCATTGGATCGATGGCTACTGTCTTTGGAATAAAAATCTAACTCCTTCGACAGCTTCCTCTTCAGCTGCTGCCAACGCTTGATCCTCGAGAGCTGCTTGTTTCTCAGTTCCGACTCAGCTTTCGACAAGGCATGAGCCAGAACCGCCTCCATCCTCAGGTTTCGTTTGCGGTTTCTGATGCATACAGCTTTCTTTTGACGCACCGTGCTGATCCACTTTGCCAATTTCTCGGTATGACTTGGCTCGTCCACCTCGATTTCCCGTGGCCTCAGCATAGCTACCATTCTGCTTGTTCCGCTTGGTCGACGCGTACACGATTAAAACCACTAAGCTCCTTGTCCGACCCTCCGGTATACAGTGTCGAAACAAAGGAACTTGTAAATGCAGCTCCGTCTCTGGTTCACTCAGGTCAGGGTCGAATATCCGCAGTACTCGAATTTTTCTCCAAGACTCCTGGACACGCCGTCCAAATACATAGGAATGGATATGTACCAAAACTCTTCTCAGCGATGACTCATGCAAATGGCGTCCTCGAATACGAAGTCCAGGGTTTCCACTCTTCCGATATCTTCCGTCTTTCCTTTTTTTTTTCTTGCGTACTGCCTAACAATAAAGCAATAATCAATGGGTACACCAACCTGTATCTAACTCGTGATTCTTGCTGTGGAGGACGGGAGTCTCTTCGAATCGCAAGAAAAACACAGCCTACACCGTTCGAAGGAAGCTTTAGGAATGCCTAGCCTCGCGCTTTGGGCGTTGCCTTTTATACTCATCAGAGCGCCGCCTAAAGGTAACCCTCCGCGCGATCGATGGAAAGTAGTCCCTCCTTCGATCGTCCAATATTCCTCGATTAATTAACCTACCGCATTCTTATTACATCCATTGGCAATGTCGAATTTTTCTCTTCATTCCGAGATTAATATTTGCTTCTTAAATGTGATATTTGCAATGTGGCTTTTTAGCCTGGAAGATTCCTCGGCGTAGTAAGGAGTGACGCGGCACCGCGTCGTCCCTTCCTACATGACGTCGACTAGCGTCACCCGTCCTTTCCATTGTGGAGCAACGCGACGTTGCCAAGTTTCATGAGGTTTGTGTCTATCGACGTTTGCGAACGTTTTGTTGGATTTATTAACTTTCTTTATTATGATGATAGAAACACCGCCATTTAGCAGGAGAAATGTAGGAGCGGATATAATCTGGAAGCTGGACACGAATATATCTCACCAGAATGAACGCTATCGGCTATTTTTAACCGCTTGGAATTTAGGGAGCTCGTTAGAATGATGCGTAATTAATACCCCTCTCTATTTCCTTTCTACTTATAACACAGGAGAGATATTTTCACGATTAATGTATCTGTGTATGTGTCTTATGTCTTAAAAAAGAGGTACAACTGTAGTTTCGTTAATCCGTTGTCTTTTAACAACAAAAAGACGTCCGATCGCAAAGGAATGAGTCAAAGTCTGGAAATATCTTCGACACAGTACCATTTACCGAAGGTACTATTTTTCCCAGTTGGACGATAATTAAGGCACTTTTACCTTACAGAAATACTTTTAAACCATGAGAGAGCATTTTACCCTGTCTGAAATATTTAATTTACTCCCTTAACGTGTAACATTATCGCGATTTTAACGAAATTAACTTGCACGGCTTCGGAGAAAATCTGACGAAGAGAAAGAGATTTGGCAACGCCGCGTCGAGGTATTCTCCTCGTCGACTTCAAGGAAGCCGTTAGGAGGAATTCGGCGTCGGATGCATTTTTGGGTGGTTTACAACGTTTACAATTCGGGAAACTCGCCAGAAACATCGACGGTCGTTTAAACTGTGAGGCTATGGACGTAAATTAACGACGCCCAGGCACGTTTCTGTAAATTGTAACGAATTCATACGTGCGGGAGGTACCTTGCTTTCGGATGCTCGATATGTATCTTTAAAACTGTTTTCCAAAAGTTTAGGGAAACCCGAAACGTTCGATGCGTTTCACAGGACAAAACGTCATTGAGTCATGCTTTGAAACATTGACATTGCGATAAGACACGACCCCGAATCGTTGAACTACGTTACAAGAGAACGATCTTGATACTCGAGCCGGATTAAACCGAGCTGACCTCTGATTAATTTCGATCGTTCAATAACGTTAATTTATATTTTCAATAGCATTCTAGCTTCAAGATGATTGTACGTATTGAAATTAGATGTATCTTTGTCGGCCGTGCCCCGTATCGATTGCCTTTATTGCGCATCCCAGAAAATGTTCTGGAACCAGAGATGGCGGTTTAAAATCAATACGAAGCGTATAAACATATCTGGGTGGTTAACTGGCCCTGAAAAAAGCATCCACGATGTCTCTATTATGCGCCGGGATAATGTAACGGCTGGTAACGTCTTCGGCTTGCAAATTAGCTCGACTGGATTTGATATAATGTAACGTGAACGCCTGCAGGAAGAGAAGGGGAATAAAGGAGACCGTGCGAAGGTCTGGGTATCGAAGAAATGGCGGAACCGTTAGGCTTTATCGATTGACCTTCCAGGTTCAGCTAAATGCGATTTCGAGAAGCCTATATTCATCAGGGACTACATTTATGACCTATTCTATTCAATCCCGGAGCCCCCTTTTGTGCTCATTTTTCGAAATTACCAGTCTTTACCAGCATTTTAGAATTTATTTACTAAAGTTTATAGATGTCTAAATAAAATATTCAGAGCTGTAGGGTAACACTGCGATTGATATAAAAACAATTTTTTACCCTTCTGCCATTTACATTATATATATATATATATATTACATGATCATACGCGTGTTCAATGACTTATCATACAGGTTTTGCTTCGCTTCTTGCAAGGACATAATTAGGACTTCTCATTAAGGCGAATTCGGAAAGAAACTCCGAAGTCATGGCACGTTTAATGGTAATAAACATTTATACAAGCTGTGGAGCGAAGAATCAAGGCAGAATGTACAGTTCGGAAAATATATGAAAATTTGTCTAGTTCGTTCGAACATAACTCTTTGGTTAAAAAAGACCAGTTCTCTGTATTTGCTAACATTTTGCGTAACTGTAATAAGGGTTCACGTATTCATGCACGTACGTAGTATCAAAGTGGTTTAACTGTACTTAATTAATTTCTGAGTTTTTTATAACACAAATTATTGTTAATAATACGTGTGTTGGTGTTGAAACGTTCAAGTTTTCCATATTTTTACTAAAGAGGATAATAGCCGTCATCGTTAGTCCAAAGTGAGTCTAAGCTTTTATTTAAGTCAAAATGTATCACGCCCAGATACATGTAATACAATGTCAGTCTGAATAAGGACCACTGTTCGGCAATGGATAACACCCATCGAGATAGTTCATTATCACACTGTTTGTACCTCTCTCCGTATACAGAATGAATGCAACATTTGGACATTTCTATAAACGAGGACATCCTGTACTGGGTTTTCAACGTATACTCAATGCCACGCATCAAGTCGTTAGTTTTAAGGATTAGTAACATTTGCCTATCAACGTTTTGCAATACTTCGCTGATTTGTGGTAACATGTTCGGTATTTCTCGATGAAATATGTCTCTCTCGCTCGATGAATACTTCGTCTTTTGAACACCGGACAGAATAGTATTCCAGGTTCTACCCGAGACCATGCAAGCTAATAAACCATACATGTCGCTTACACCCAGATTAGTACAATGTGTTTTCATTGCTGTTTTATCTCCATTTAAAATTGCTAGCCATAATTTAGAATACTCCCATCGAAATTCGTTAGTTAAATTAGCGTATAAACCGTGATCTAAGAGCATGATCTCTGCTTCTCCGTGATTGTTTTTCACGAGCACGTTTCCTGGATGTGGATCCGCATGAACAAATCCCGTAATAAATATCATATGACTATATAGACGTCCCAGTTTACCGCTGACTTCGAACGGGTTCAACTTGTTCTTACGGATGTAGTCTAAATCGTTCACTTGTCCTCCTTCTACAAATTCCATAGTCAAAATTCGAGTGGTCGATAAATCCCAAAATACTTTTGGAATCTTTAGCCACTTGTAATTCTTAAATAGCTCTTGAACTTTCTCTGCGTTCTCTCCCTCTCGAATGAAATTTAATTCCTCAGGAAGGTTTTTCTTGGTCTCTTGCACTAGCCATTCGAACTTGAAATCAGGGAAAATCCATGATGTTATTTTCACCAAAGCTGACATTGTTTTTATGTCGACGTATGAATTTGCTTTGACAGCACGATGCTGCACCTTGACGGCCACTTTCGTTCCATCTTTCAGTACAGCTTTATGCACCTGTGCGAGACTAGCTGCACCCAAGGGTATTGGATCAATGGTTTTGAAAATTTCATACGGATCTTTCTTGAAATCCTCTTTTAGGACATGTAAAACATCTTTAAAAGAAGATTGGGGGGCAGAACTGTGTAGGACTCGCATTGTACTGACGTACTCATAAGGTAGCAGGTAGTCCAGTGCTCCAACGTGTTGGCCTACTTTAATGTAAACCCCTTTATTGGCGCAGCAGAGCTCTAATAACTTTTTCGCACCGAATGTGTGTGCTTCAGACTTAAGTTTCAGATATTCCTGAGAATTCTTATCTAACGTACTGCTATATACTGTACTGTTATAATGGGCGCCTATGATGAAGACGGAGACAGCAGCACGGCCCAGTCGTACGATACCGATCGATCCCAGATCATATTCGTTGACTCTCAAAGAAGCTAGTGTTCCAATTCCAATTGTTCCTAGAGCAATGCCCTTCAACACTTTCCTGGATATTAACATTGCTGTTTTAAGACTTATTTTTTCCAGTGGTAATCTACAATGGTTATATTGTATTAATGAACGGAGCAGGATGATGAAATAGAAGCTCAAGATAACCTGCAAATACTTACAGACAGCAAAGATGTGTGCTCACCAAACCTGTGGCGTGAATGACAGAGAAAGCTATCGTCTAAATAAATTATTTGATAGGTTAAATTATTCTTAACGAAGGATACCATTAGTGAAGTATCCTTGATCTGTGTAAACGACATTTAACCTATAAGTACCTAACCTAAATAACGTCACTTTCTGAATTAAATCATATACTCTGATAATATATTTACAATGTCATCTCGATGCTTTACGGACAACTACAGTTATATAACCGTAACGAATTAGACCATTTTGTATTTATTATAAGCTATCTCGCGACCGAAAAGTAACCTATCTCTGCACCTTATTCTCACTACTATCACCGTGTCATCACGACTGATCACGAATTTGATATATTCTGACATATTGCTTGTCATTTGTTAAACACTTGCCGAAATTTTGTTTGATCCATCTTGTATAACTTATATTTGGATAAAAATACTTTACCCATTGCGATACCGTTTATACCGTTTAAAATAAAACCAAATCATCGATTTAGATATTTTCAGCAGTTTTGAACAGTATAACTGCACATTCTTTACTAAATGTAAGAAATTGGGTAAAATAAAATAATTACACCTATCCACGCTGTATGGGTACAATTTCTTTTATATACATTTATATATCTAGACTATATAAAAGTATCACTCAATTAATTATTACATCAATGTGTAAAATTTCTTATAAGATTACACATCAAATATACGTTATGAAAGACTCCGCATTTATTGTACAGATATCTTATGTATCACCCATTTTTAACAGCACTTAAAAATATTACCATTATTTTCATGAAACCTATCGAGGTGCATTCAGGTCCGATGCGTGTTCCATAATTGCTCTCTGAAACAAAAATCGATGAAATAACATTAAGATATCATACCTGTTTAACAAAATGTTATCTTTGCTACGTGAAATTAATAACCTTCAATGGAGGTAATGCATTTGTCAACTGTAAACCTAAACTTCTGGCAAGGACGACTGGTGCGGCCGTTCCTTTATACAATCTGTGAAGAGCATCGATAGCTAACATTGTAGGAACATTGTGCCTTTGGCGCTGGGTTTCATACTTGGTCAGAAACATTATGTCCGCAAGGAGAGATCCACATCTTACGGCTTCAGACAGCATTTGAACTAAGACTGTGATATCTCCAAAACCTAGGTTTACTCCTTGGCCAGCAAGAGGATGAACTCGGTGTGCGGCATCGCTGTAATACATTATCTGGTATTGCGGCATATAATTTTAATAAGATTGTCTCCTGTGATCATCGCTTACCCAACTAAAACGACTCCAGGTTTCGCGTAAAAAACGGAGTGTCCAAATCCTAGAGGGAATGCTGCACGAGATCCTTCCTCGATACTTGCTACAGAAGGTTGCAATTGTCTAGCTATTCCAGTTTGCAAAGAAAGTCCTTCCAGTAATTGCTGCAAAGCTTTCATACCGCTTTCAATGATACCATTTTTAGGGTGGACCTTCCACAGAGCATTGTTTAGAGCGTCCACAAATTCTTCTTCGGGTAATTTCAGCAGCCTCTTTGCCTCGTTTGTTGTAACGGACCATACAAGAGAACTCAGTGAATCAGTCAGCTGAAGCAAAATATTAAAAGTTAATAATATTTATCCAGCAACAAAAATAATGTAACACATTTTTTTCAACATACAGGCAACAAAGCCACAGGTCCAGTAGATAGAAACCTCTGCCACGCCACTATGTTCTCCGTAGGCTGAAATTTGTAAATAACTGTGTATCAATTTACAAACATGTACGTAGAGCAATTCTACCATTGAATAATGTCCAGATAAAATATTATACCTCTGATAATTTAAGAGTTGCAACGATACCCATTTGATCGTAGTCCCACTTAACGTACTGCACTCCCATTGCTTCTCGTACCCTGGAGTAGACACCATCTGCACCGATCTAATAAAAAATATGAAGAATAAAAAATATGAAAATCTATAAAAGCAACACTAACATAAACGTAAAATAACTTTCAGCCTTAATGAGCTGTAAATGCCTAATTTAGCAAGAATGTGTCAATCTTATTAAAGGAGGTGGGAGAGCGAAATCCGAGGTTGGTCTGCAAAGTCCAAAAATAACTCTAGTTAGATTCCAGGTTCTTGCGAATGGTCCGGATGTATTTTCGCAAAGAAATTGGGCTCGGCGGTCTTTATTTTAAGAGGGATACCGCTTACAATAGAACTTCCGAGCCGGAAGGCGTGGGGTAAGATAAACATCCTCCACGTGTGTAGTTAAAGTGGCTATCGATGTTCTCAACGACCTAAATGCCACCAAAATTAAACTCCATTACTGCGAGATACACATTGGATGTTATAAAAATAAAAATAACCCACAGAGACATTTCTTAAAAGCTATGGTAATAAACCTATTCTCTAATCCGAATAAACGAAAATTAGTAAACGATTCATGTAATGATGAAAATGTACTCTTCGTCTTATTTAAAAAAAAAATCACTTGAACAGACATTTGATGTATTAAATATTTATGTTTGTTGTGTAGAATTTTTGGTCATGACTGTGTGGAATTTCCGAGATAATATTATCGCCAGCTGTGAATCTTGGAAACTAATTGACCGCACGGTGTGTCACACTCTTTCCTGTACAGCAGCGTTGCGGATGCATAGCAGGATGCATTCAATTGATGGAAACCATAATTCCATAAGAACATTGCTAATCACTGTAGAACGTAGTCGAACCAGGTGGCTAAATATATGCCAGTACTGTTTTATAAACATCAGAGCTCAACCGTGGATGTTCCAAGGAATACCCAGGAGCAGCAGTCTCGGAGTAGCTCTCAGAGCTTGATACAAGAGATTAAGCACGTGCTACAGTACAGAATAGAAAATTTAAGGTGGAATAACTCTACAGTAAGTGGAAAATATTAATACATTCAGTGATCGATGTTCAATATTTCAATGTTTCTTAAAGGTTAACTAGGATAAAGATCTAAGCATAAATAAATTAATAAGTCTTTTAACTGAGAATAACGTAAGAAATGTCTGTGCAGATATTCTACAAATTGTAGAATGAAAAAAGATGTCAAAATCTAGACAACTTAATTTTTTTGACAAACCATCAAATCAGGCAAAAAATCTTGATTTGAGAGAGGACAGCTCCGTTCGACCAACATCTATTGTTCTTACTTTTGAGGTGAGTAGTTAGTGTGAACTTAGAAATACGTGTTGCCAAAAATGGATACAATTGAATAGGATCAGCATGAAGACATATGGGTAGATGACGATACAAGAGAAGGAAGTATTTCTTCGGAAGACAGTTCTCAATCGGCAATGACAGGATGCATAAAACAGCAACCAATGTCACAGCAATACCTTTGGACAAAGGATGAGATTGTTTTAGCATTAAATGCATTATCAGCAGGCGAGGCAGCACTTGCTGTCATCCCTACGCTTCAAGGAGAATCCCTTAAAAGTGCTCTTGAGGAGAGCGAAAATGCAAATGTGCAAAATTCCTTAATAAAAGACACTAAAACCATCACTTTGAGCTTCGTCGATGGGTATGTTGAATATTAAACCACGAATAAAATTAAAGATGTTTGTAGTTTTCTCTTAAGCTTTAAGTACTACGATATCGCACTGACATTATTTTATTTAAACAGTCGAATTAGGAAAGCTTCTTTGGCAGCTGATAATAAAGAAGCAGCCACTGCAACTGCCGGTCAACTTTTGATAAGATGGCCAAACACTTGTCTCTTAGTTGCTTGTTGGTTGGGCCATTTTGAATTGGTAAAAGCACTCTTGAAGAGAGGTATTCCGGTAGACTGTCGTGACACCGATGGCAGGTTAATGCTTTTGACTCTCCACATATTTAATTTGGTTCCTCTCTAATTCACATAAAACGTACAAGAATTGTTGATTAAATTTTAGAACACCATTACATTTAGCAGCTTGCTCAGGGTCTGCAAAAGTGGTGGAAGAATTATTAAAATATGGTCCAAACCCAAACGAGTGGGATTTTGACAGAACATGCACTTCGTTACACTGTGCCGCAGCGGCAGGAGACATTAACGCTGTAAAAGCATTGTTACGGTCAGGGGCCGATGTCAATGCCGGCCTATTAAACAAGAGTCCTCTTCATTATGCCGTTCTGAGCAATGCAGCAGACTGCGTGGAAACTCTCCTGCAAGCAGGTGCTTCCCCGAACAATCCACAGGTAGTCCATTGATACCTTCGATACCAGTAAAATTGTCTGTCCTTCCTATCTTTTCAAGTTGTCCGATAACGTGTAGAAACAATAGGTTTATACGGAAACACCGTTGCACGTCGCCGCAAGCCTGGGGTCTTCCTCTTGCATAAAACTTCTTCTGAGTTACGGAGCGGATGTAAGAGTTCAGCACGGTGCTTCCCGAACGACCCCTTTACATCTGGCAGCCGAAGAGGGTAGTCCGGAGTGTACTAAATTATTACTGGATGCCGGGGCACCATGGGACGCCAGAAATTCAAGGGGCCAAACCGCGATGCACTTGGCAGCACTAGCACAATCTACAGAATCGTTGGAGGCACTCGTCAAAGCTGGTGCCAATGTCAACATCGAAGATGACGATGGCAGGACACCACTACACGCGGCGGTAGCAAAAGCTCTTCGAGGAACAGAATTAGTGAGGATATTAATCCAGGTATCCACTTTCTGTACATGAAGATATTTAACCCTTTGCACTATGAGGTCACCTCTGGCGTGAACAAACTAGGAAAACAATTATAGTGCAAAGGGTTAAAAAAGCATTATAAATGTTTATAAAACATCAGTTGTCTTTAAAGGCAGGAGCATACATCAACAAACCGGACAAATTCGGTTATACAGCTTTACACATTGCCGCACTAAATGAGTGCTCTCAGCTAGTTGTCCTGTTGCTGGGAAAAGGTGCTGACATCACGGCACGAACCAAAGGTGGCATTTCAGCCTTAAGTTTCATCGTTCGCAGAACACCTGACGTACTGCCAAGGTTCACCGCTAGATTAGATCAGGCTGTTTCTTTACACGATCATGAATTGGGTGATGTCGACTGTGAACTGCGACTGGATTTCAGACCTTTAGTCCCAGGTGGTAGAGGAGAAACCGACTTGATGTTATGTCTGGTAGAGGTTGGACAGAAGCACATATTGAGACATCCTTTATGCGAGAGCTTCTTATACTTAAAATGGCTGAGGATTAGAAAATTCTTCCTGATGAGCTTAGTATTTCATTCCATATTCGTCGCAATATTTACAGCCTACATAGTGGTGACATTCTTGTGGAATAATCAGAAATTGGGAGGTATTTTACTTTGGGCAGTACTGTCATTCACTTGCATATTGGCGTGCAAAGAGATATTTCAATTAGCACACGGTGTATGGTCTTATGCTAAGCGATGGGAAAATTGGCTTCAATGGGGCGTTGTTATTTCATCGGGGGTGATATTAATTAAACCAGTTAATAACTGGCAACACCATGTAGCTGCTTTAGGAATTTTATTGGCATGGATGGAATTAATGATGGTCGTAGGGAGGTTCCCTATGTTCGGCATTTATGTTCAGATGTTTACACAAGTAGCAGTTAATTTTTTCAAGTTTCTGGGGGCCTACATTTGCCTTATAATTGGATTCTCTTTGGGATTTAGTGTACTGCACATGAATTACAAATCTTTCATGAATCCCTTAGTAGGGTTATTGAAGACGATCATAATGATGTCAGGGGAACTAGAGTTTGAGGATGTATTTTTTGACGAAGAGGCACATGTTCTTTATCCAGGAACGGCTCATTTAATGCTCTTGTCGTTTGTTATCTTGGTTACCATTATTCTTACAAACTTGATGGTTGGCCTTGCAGTATCGGATATACAAGAGCTTAGAAGATGTGCTGGACTGGACAGGCTGGTTCGAAGAGCCGAACTTGTTGCTCACTTGGAGAGCATGTTATTTTCAAAATTATTAGATCGCGCACCAGATAAATTAGTCAAAACATTTCGAAAGGGAGCATTGCTCTTACGGCCACCGCATCATTGTGCCATACATATTCATCCCAATGACCCAAGAGAAAAACGACTGCCCAAAGAACTGATAAAGGCAATTTATCGTTTAGTTGCAGAAAAAAAAATTAATAAACGGACTACTAGAAATATTTCCACTCATAGCGTTAAAGATACCGACATAGGTGACACCAGATTAAGCAGATTATACAGTACAACGTCTACAAACGAAGTTACTAAACAGCAGTTAAACGAGTTATTAACTGAAATAAAGCGATTTTCTTATAATATTAATTCTCGCTTGGACAATCTAACAAGTAAAATAGAAGCTATTGCCCAGGAGATCGATGGCTCAATTTTATCATGACTTATCGCTCAGATGTAATAATATTAAGATAACTGTCATACATCATTTGTAATAATAAAAGCAATTGCAATGGATTTAATTTCTTAACATAAATTTCTATATCCTATCGTGTTACTTACAAGCAGTTTCGCTGTGAATTGTTCTCCACTCTGTAGTACAATCTTAGAAGATTCGCCATGAACTTTGGGCAGCGATATATTTTCAACCCTGGCATTGTGAATGACCTGGACCGGTTTCTCGACCAATACTTTATTGACTGCATAAAGTAATAAATCATTTTCAACTATGTAAGCCAGCTCTTCGGCAAGGTGGTCTTCATTGAATGTTATTATTGCATCGGAGCAAGCATCCCATATCTATAATGTAACTGCATATAAATACATACGTTTCAAACTGTAAGAAGATAATAATGAATATTATTATTTAAGAGTTATCAGATATTGTCCAAAATACCTGCATCTTCCGAACAGGTGCATAACGCACTGCTTCGATATGCTGCCATGCTCCGATACTAGATAGAAGTAGTCGAGTTTGTTGATTTAATGCAACAACTCGATTTGAATACTTTTCCCGTGGTACGTAACTATGAGGTTTCCCACCTTCCAGAAGAAGTATCCTTTTCGACTCCAGTTGCCTATTATTGGCTGTTACAGAAATATATTCTTGTCATTTCGCGTTATTATTGCAAATCTAATTTTACTTAAAGTAACGACGCATTTTGCTCGTATGTAAATAGAATAATTACCTAACCTAGAGCACAGGCCATAGTTGTTCCCACCATTCCGCCCCCCGTAACAATGATATCGTAATCTTGATCATTGCAAGTACTACCGGAATGCTCCTTTCTTGAAATGACACTAAAATTCGCGAAAGCAGGTACAGATTTTCTCGAAAATATCGCAAAAACTCTACGAGAAGCTGTTAAGACTTCCATGGAGGCCGCCATCTTGCAACTGCTTGGAACCACATGTCCACAGCCAAGGCGGGAGATTCAAAATCGCCCACCCATCGTGCTACAAATTAATTCCCAAGCTATTGATTTATCAACGGCACAGGCAACCTCGCGTATGAATATATTCAGAAAATGTAAATTCAGTGGATACCGTAATTTCAAGACCACTTCTAGCGTCTAGTCGACAACAGGGAGGGTTTCGGCAATTATTCGATACATAGCGTCAGTCACTATGGCGACGCTAGTACCGATGTGGGTAAATCGATCGTCGAGGCAGCGAACCGCCGAAAGGGAACGGTGTCACGATTAAAAGACAAAGGACTCACGGGTTCACTGCTCCCCGGGGAATCATGGAGCACAGAGGCACATCTTTTGCGAATTCTTGTGTGAAAGTCCCGGTCAATCCTTACAGCCGCCAACCGACGCCATCTTACGAGCGCTCGGAGGCGAAGAGCCAAAGATTCGGATCCTGCGAGAGAAGTCGAAGGATCAACTTCGCCTGCGAAAACCGTGATGCGAATCCTGAAGAGGAAGTGGCAAGTCCTCGAGAAACTCTGGAGAATTTCCTCGATTTCCTGGAAAGCATCCCTGACTACGGAGACGTTCATCACCTCTCGAACGAGCAGTTCAAGCAAAAACTTGACTTCTTGAAAAGGCGACAGAGAGTCCTTCTGAAGAACCTGAGGAACTGCCTCGAGAGAGAGGACGAAGAGGACGTACTGGAAGTGGTTGGAGGAAGTTCTCGCCCCGAAAGCGAGAAACTTAAGGATCAGGCTCCGGAATTGACCCTGAAGGGAAAGAAATGCAATTTCGAGGAGTCGCGCACCGATAGTCCGGTTTTGTTCTCTTCGGGAAATTTCGCAGGTCTGGCGAAGGATCAGGACCTCTTGACTTATCGGTGAGATATCCTGGGAAAATTATTCTTTTTTTTCTGGAACATCTGGATCCGAACTCCTAGAAGAAAATAGTCATAGAGTCAATTTCATCTCGGAAGTACAGAATGAAAATTGGAGTTCTAACGTAGCTTACTCGGGGTGCGTCGATCCCGGCTTCTATTATAATGAGATTGATTTTCTAGGTGCAAGGACAAGGACAAAAGCGCGAAAACGAGGCGCAACCGGGAGATTTACTCGGCGAATAAAAGTTGGAGCACCTGGAGCGAATCGAAATGTTCCGAAAGTGCAGACAGCGATGACGACAGTATAGAGACAAAAAGTTTGCCACCTTGTAGCCCGAAAAGGTGGCACCCAACAGTGCCTAAGCCCTTCAGCTTCACCCTGAGGTGCGTTTTCAACAAAAAATCAGACACGTTTCCCATAAACTTCGACTTAATCCGACTGAACCTCCGGAGACGCGTTTCAATCCGTGTTCATATATTCAGAGAAGAAGCGGAAAAGTACATGTCCCTAGCGGAAAAAGAAACGGAAGAGAAGAGCGTCAAGGAAACCAACAAAAAGAAAACGTCGACGAAGAAACGTCGCTTTGTCAGGCCGATTCCTTTGACGTCGAAATTGCCTCTTTACGACAAACTGCTGGCCGCGAAAGAGGAAAGGTTCGACGTCTTTTACGCACTTGCCCGCTCACTAATTATTTCTGCTTCCCGACTCGTGCACGTCACCTCTTCGTGTATATCCTTTTATTTTCAGTAAACAGATAACGCTCCAGCATTTAGAAAAAAAAAAAAAACCGAGAAACGTCGGTGAATTTACTAATGAAAGAAAATTCGATATCGACGAGAAGTTTCTTGCTTTGCGCGTATTATTATTTAAATTCTGATCTCTTATTTGAATTATTTGAATTTTTCTGTCTCGTTCGAGTTACCATCATTTCGATCTAAATTTCGAACGATTCCGCGAGTCTAACCTGGAGATGCCTTAGAAGCCGGCTGGTTCGCGAGGAAAGTGCGTGGAGTTTGATGTCGCAAGTGCGACCCTTCAAATTGGAGTGCGACCGAAGAGCCTGGAGAGCAATGATTCGGTCCAGCCCTGAATTATGTTCCTCGGGGATCAAAAATCCCCGCGGTACTTCAAGGTTCAAAGCCAAGCCCATCCCGAGGAATCTCTTCGGCACCGAGATATACGACCGCATGCTGGAGGACGAGTACTACAGGTGAGTACAGGTGCGCCGCACCTCGTCCGACCGTCGGCGGTGAGTAAAATCGGTCTTGGTTTTACAATATTTATCTAATTTTGCAATCGGTGCAAAAAGTGCAAGACCAGGACCAATTTTGTTCATCACTAACTGACTGCTGTGACTTGGGCACGTGTGTTCAGAGCCCTAAGGAAGAGAATTAGAGCGGCGGAGTTGATGAAGTCCTCGTCGTTGCCTCCCTCCATGGCAAGGCGCGAACGAATCAAGTCAGCGAGCACTCGCTTGGATGAGAAAAATTTCGACGTTTTCGGGGAAAGGGCACTCGGGGGCAGAGAATCCACAGGGGCGAGTGTCACCCCTTTACCCTCGGAAAGGTCCCGCTCCGCGTTAAACCTCTTGTCGGCGAGAGGCAACAATTTGGCGGCTATTTTGCGATGTCAAGCCTCACGGTACTTGGCATGATTTTCACATTTGTGAGGACTATTTTGGGAGATTATGGTATTTTTTTTTATTTCCTCTGGATTTCAGGGACAAGCTGGCTCGAGAGATCCAAGAGCGCATGGAGGAGAAGAGCAGGGAGCAGGCTGCAAAATTCAGAGAAGCTCTCATTGGGCGAAAACCTGCTTGGAGGGCTTTGAGAAGTGCCGCGAGGTGCTTCTTCCCTTTTTAACTTAATTATAATGCTCTATCGGATAGGATGGAACGCTTGAAATAATATTCTATAGGCACGAGCACGAGAGAGACTTGGACATCAGGGCATCTCTTCGCCGAGACGAGGCAAGAGAACAGGCGGAACGACATCGACTTCAGATGGAACTGATGCTGGATAGAGTGGTCCAGATTCCAACTCTCTTCGAACGCCACTCCCAGGTATAATTCATTCATTTTTTACCGATGAACGGATTAAGAAGAGCCAACCGAATAACGATGAGGAATGACGTTCCAGAGCTATCAGTCCTTGCCTTACGCGCTAAAATCCGACAGCGGAAAATCGAAGAAGAAGAAGAAGAAGAAGAAGACGAAGAAGCTGAAGAGAGAAAATTCCGGAAGCACGGATTCCTACGGGAGTTTAGGAAATAGTCCTCGTCCAAATTCTGGATCACTGACTAGCTCTTCCGGCACTTTGGCTTCTTTAAGTCGCTCAACAAAATCGTCAGGATCCAGAAAATCGGAGAAATCTACGGTTCAGTCCGCGAATTCAGCCTCTAAGAAGAAATCGGACCGAGGACCTCTAAAAGTCTCCATCAATGAAACGGCAGAGCTGATAGAAGACTACAACAGAGAAGGCAGATGCTCCGGCGACTCTACACCAAGCAACGAGCGCAATGGAAATGGACTTGAGAATTTTCAGGACGACATGGAGAAAATTAATGCGCTTATCGATAACGAAAAATACTCAAAGAGTTAAAGTTAAGCAAGAGATTCTCAACTTTCACCGGTCGCGCTTTTCCATGTATTCTCTTATATCCACGAATAAACGACCTCAAAAGATCCATATGGACTATCAGCCATCGCCTTAATGATAATTATACCGTTATTATTAATTATCCTTAAGGTACAGTACGCTAGTTCATTCTTTGATGGTGTTTAAAATCCAGTCCATGTAGTAAGGGACGCGAGTATAGACCCCGGGGAAGCCATCGGTGCCGCAACTTCTCAGTCCAAAACTAACGATGCCATATTGGATGGTTCTTGCATCGCCATTGTAAATTCCTGGCACCTGTAAAGGGCCTCCGCTGTCCCCGAGACAGGAATCCATTCGATTCGATCCTCCTGCGCACATTTGTTTGTACCAAATTTCGGCATTTCTCACATAGGCCGATTTACATTCTTCGTTGGAAACAATCGGCAGCAACACCATCAGAAGATCCTGACTTCGAGGCCCAAATTCTGTGGCTCCCCATCCGGTCACAACGCCCTGGAATTATATATATTTTTTTTAATCAGCCCTTTTCACGGTACAGTTTCTATAAATAATACCGATAAATAAAAAGGAGTACACAATTAAGGACGTACCTTTTTAAAGCTCATTGTCTTGGCCTCGCCGACAGGCATGCAAATTGGACGTACGTTTAAAGGCCTGAAGTCGATGTCCCTGTTTACTCTTATCAAGGCGACATCTTCGTGCAATCGTACTCTAGAGTAATTGAAGTGAAAATGTACCGACTCTATACCGAAGTCTTGATACTTCTCTGCACAGACATCGGTGAAGCCTTTCTCGTCTCTGTCGCAGTCCACCTCTGTGCTGAGATCGTGTTCTCCTACTCTTACTCCTAGCAAACTGAGACCTAAAATATAACGCGAGCGGTCATTTTAATTATTGACCTTAACACGAGAAATACTTTTAAACTCGAGCCACCGAAAATCCCATCAACTCGTGACAAACCTGAGGGAAGTTGAGTGACGCAGTGTGCAGCGGTCAAGATGTATCTTTTATTTATGATGGATCCCCCACATCGGAATTCAGGACTCTTCGACTGGACCTTGTAGGCCACGAGAGCCATCCAAGGGAAATCGAACACTCCTGTTTTGTTTCCATTGAATATCTTCTGTTGCCTGATGGGGCCGCAAATGTCATGAGGCAAAAGGCTTAGATTCGGATGATTCGATACATCAGGAGGTTCAATGCCATTGTTCGAAGGAATTGGAGTCGGCGTTAATGGTCTAGACTGTGGTGTCGTTTCTGTTACCTGGAAAATTCGAAACTTCAACACGCGATCGTGGAGGTCCTAACGAAGGTTTTGAAACTCGTGAGATTTCATTTATCGAGAAAAAAAAAACTCATTGCCTGCAATTTTTTTTTCTCGAATTTTTAGATACCTGATCTTCACAGCAAACTTTAGGATCGAGGCCTTCGAATCCGCACTGGGAATTTCTCAGGAAATTCAGGGACGCTTGTGGCAGTGGTCTCGGTTGTTTCAGAATATCCAAAAGTTTCGGGCAGGATCTGATATTTATGCACGTCCCAGGTCTCTGTAGTGGCGTGGAGCATCTATTTTCTGCAGGGTGGATCAGTTTTGAAGATAAACTACTTTCGAACACTACTTAAGTACTTAACTACTTTACTATTCGTGCCCTCTTTACAAGCGTAATCACGCTCAAGCTCAAAAACCGCGCGACAAGCTCAGAAATGGCCGTGAAACCGAAAGAATTCCAATCATTCGATAACTCGTCGTCGATTCTTCGTCCCCGAAGGATCTATATGCATCTCGATACTCAATACGTGAATCGAATTATTAAACGAGCCGATACGTGAGATAAATACATGCCAAGTACCTCGGCTTAACTTCGACTACCCTACCGTAAAATAAAAAAATATCCTTTGTTTCGCTTTTCCCTGCGCTCCAAATTGTCAAGATGCGAACTTGCGCTATATACGCGACGACGTAAATGATGTATGCCACATAAGAAGAGAGAATCCGTTAAAAAAGAAAATGGTGCGATAAATAAAATCCTTAAGATCCGATCCAAAGGAGCCGATATTTCTGCCAAGTGTAACCGGTTTAAAAAAGAAAGGAAAAGGAAATATCTACTCACGGCCAGTGGCTCCCTGTCCCAGGAGAAGAGCAGCCAGCACCAAGAAGCCATGGTTCGCGTTCATCTTCGAGTGCCTTGAGTGGACGAGTGTGTTCCGCTTTTAACTGGACCCTCTCCTCGAAATTCCACGTGGTTTTTCCTGCTTCCTTCCCGGTGTCCCTGTAGATTCACGGGAGAATATGCAGCGTTCTATGCCGCGATTTTTTCAAGGCTCGGAACCTGTTACCCCTTTTACCTCGCCTCTCGGTCGGTCAGGTCCTCTCCGGTGTACGGTTTGCTGCCATCTGCGGGGCGAACTGCCGCCGCGATCGGCGTCTTCCGACCTGCAAGTGGGATTAACCTCCTGCGTATATTTCGGAATCCTTTCCGGGGAGAGGCGGATCCTTCCTCCCGGGGACTCCCAGGTCGACGTCAACGCACCGCCTCCTCGTTTCGCAACTATTGTATTTTCACAGATGGTTGCGATTCTTCCTATGGATTTTACATTTTTTATGGATATGATATTAAGATTATCCGGCAAAGCGTAGATTTACAGAGTACTACGACCGACTAATGTCAGGTGTCCAAATGGTGATTCCCGGCCTACCCTCATATAGACTCATAGTAAATACCGATAATGAGGTGAAATCGACAGAAATGGGTTTCAAGGAAACGCTTAGCTCGCCATTAGTGCCTCTGGGCTAATTATTTGTGACTCGGACTCGTCACGCGGTTTAACATGAATCGCGCAAATATTTACTCCCCTTTGAATCAAGCTTCTCTCATTTTCGGATTTTCACGGTCCCGAACCACCTGTGGAAGAATTTGGCCCGTGTTTTATTATTTAAACACGTGGGGATTTCGAGGCACACATCGTGGGGTGATCTAGATATTTCTTTCGCATCGTGTCGAGGAAATGGTGCCTTTTATTCCCCTTCCATTTATTTCTGGAGTCATTTCCAAGAACCCGATAAAATTCGAGATAGAGAGCTCGTGTCGGAGCAGAAGGAAAGAAAAAATTTACGGTGCGCCGGATATTCACTTGAGGATTTCTCGACGAGACTCGACTAAATTTCGGATGAAAAGATATCAAAGATCTATAGCGTGTACATCTACTTACCGTTCAGTTCGGACGACTTCTCTTTTTATAATTGACAAAGAAAAGAAATTAATCCTTCCCCCTTTTCAAGGAAAATGGAGGTATCACGGGACGCGAAACGGTTTCGTCGGATTCGCCGCAATCACTGCCTTTCCGGAATGCAGGAAGATCGACCGAGCTTTCCCGCTGGAAAACATTTCACGTTCGACTGATTTCCTAATGCAGACGTCATCGCGATCAGCTTCCTTAAAGTCTATGAAGGCGTTTCACATTTTTAAACCACGCTGTCGCGGTGCCGAATGACATCCATCAGAGATACGAGTGACAAGGTTCATCGCGTTTTATCGAGAGGAAATAACTGGCTACTCGCGTGCGGCGTTTGTGAAATGATCAGTGTATTTGGTCGTTAAAAAATAAAAATATTCGTATCGGTTAAAGAAAAACGAGAAAGACAGGACGCGAAGTCTGCTTTCCGAGCAACGATCGCGTCAAGGCACGAATTCGCTTATTAATTACAATCCCACTGACCTGATTTCCCTGCAAGTCGCTCCATATTTTTTGCATCCCACGTCCCCTCGTATCAATTTCCTTATCGGTTTTAACAGACGTAAACAAGGCTGAGAAACTGGCGCAAACGCAACCACAATTATGCAACTTGTTCCCGCCAACAAAGCTAACTTAAGTTCAAGGGTTGCATTCGTGTATGCGGTACTGTCATTACAACATCAACGAAACATGTAACAATCCCCGAGATCGGTCGTTACGAGTATTTAGAGTACGGTACCATTCGGCGACAATTATTCCATGAACATTCCTCAACGATGGAGAGTGATACTGACATGTGATGCGAACAAATGCATGGTTTACGTGTCCATAAAAGGAAAAAGAAAAAAAACCAACACAACTGTCGGCACCATGAACGTAGAATATACGGAATTTATATTTCAGGTGAAAGGCTTCGCAAGAGAGGACGACTCTCCTCGAGATCACCTTCCCGCGAGAAAATGTCAATTAGTTCGGTACCACGGATCGCAGGAAAGTTAGAAAAATGCCTGACGCCACTTTCGTATCGCCTTAATGCCCCCTACGTCCAAAATCGTCCCTCCGGTCGCCAGTAGTGTGCAGTAATGCTCGGAAATTTCTCTCCTATTCAGGGCCAAATCCAACCACGAGGACTTTCGAGTTCCCTCCAGCCACCGACAGGAGCTCATTGGCCATCGTCGTCGCAAATCGTCATCGAAGAACATAAAACTAAGCTCTCAGGTTCCTTAGCACCCAGGGGGTGTAATCGTCAACCTTGGTGTAGACTCCAGGCCAGCCTTGCATGCCGCACGGAGAAGGTCCGAACGATACGATTCCCACGACGGCCCACCTTCCGGTGCCATCGAAGGACCTCTGAAAGGACATCAAGGGCCCACCGGAATCTCCCCTGCAGGAGTCCTTGCCTCTCTGGCCCCCTGCGCAGATCTGTCCTCCCCCTAGCCTGACTCCGGCATTTCCATAAGTTCGGTTGCACTCCGCACCATCGGCCAAGGGCAGAGTCAGCTTCAGCTTGATGTTGGACTCCGTCTTCGTCTCCGTTTTCCCCCAGCCTGCCACCACCAGCTTCGGCCCTAGACTTTCGTCACTGGGCAGACAGATCGGCTTGATGAAGTTCGTGAAGCTGACGCTTCTCGTGAGTCGCAGGAGAGCGATATCGAACCGCTGGTCCCTGGATTGGGGCACGTAATCTTCGTGGGCGATATGTTCCTCGATGCCTACGGAGATGGGGTCGTCGGCGCACACTTGGCTGTCTTCCCCATCGGCGATGCAGTCGTGCTCGGTCTCGGTGTTGTATTCTCCGAGACGGACGCTGGACAGTCTCCAGGTCCTTGGTAGATCCTTTCCCTTCAGGCAGTGCGCCGCGGTCAGGACGTATCTATCGCTTATCAGTACTCCTCCACAGGCCGTTACCCTCCCGTTCGCTGGAAAGATTCGAAAGCTTCGGTAGTTTCGATTTCCTCTATTACGACATTAGGTCATCGACTTAGAGAGCGAGCAGTCTCTGAGAGAAAAAACTACTCTTCTTCCTGGTACTTGTCTCCGTTTATGGAATTCTTGGGAAAGATCGCTTGGATCGATGGACGAGATCGATCCACCCTCGGCAACTTGCCGATCGCGTAAATCGATAATTCCAAATAGACGTACATTTATCGAGGTGGAAGAGAGAAGCCTTTTCACGTTTCCTTGGAAAAGAAGGAACGTAACGTTTAATGATGTAATTAAATCTATTATCCTTACGTTTGTCGTATTCCAGGAGAGCCATCCACGGAAATTCGTCGATTCCTGCCTTTTCTCCTCCCACGATCCTTTGGGATAAATCTCTGCCACACTCTTTAGGGAGCAAAGGGTGGTCCTGGAGGTTCACCTTGCTCTGGACGTCCTGCTTTTGCTCGTCGGTTGCTCCGGATGTCGTCGTGGGTACGTTGCCGGTATTCGATCTTGGATCCACGCAGCACACTTTGGGGTCCCTTCCTTCGAATCCACATTGGGATTGTCTCAGAAAATCGACGTTTTGAGGATTTAGGGGCCGACTTTGAAGGAGACTCAGAAGAGGTGGACATTCTCGGATTCCGATGCACTGTCCTGGCTGTCTCGTTGGCGAATAGCAGTCCAGCTGCCGAGGAGTCCAAGATTCTGAAATTTCCATCATTTTATGCATACCCGTCTCTTTTCTTTTTATAATTTTAGATACGTTCGCAATATTGGAGGAAACTCTGTTAGGCAGTTAGCATGAAAATCGGGGATTCTTAGCAGTCCCAGTGAGTCATTAGATGACTATTTGGTTCTTTTCTTCGTGACGTCGCGAGAACGACTTCGCTACTATGACCGTAAATCAGATATCAGAAATCAAGTAATAAGGCAATTAGTCATCTTCTTTATTCGCTGGCGGATTATCTCGCGTGCACGTATACTCCGACATAATGCAATAATATTTCCGATCGTGCCCTGTCTTTGTCACCAGGGAAAAGAGCCGGGACTTCTATCTCGATAAAATCAACGACTCGTTAAAATTATTCCTACTAAATGATATACGCGCCATTAAAAGTTTCCGTACGCTGTGCACATTATTAATAGTCAAGTCTGTAGAAAAATTACGCATGACAGGATTAAAAAGAAAAAAAAATTTTTTAAACTCAGGACCGAATCATGACATTTCACCGAATTTTAGTTTAAATATTGCGGGTGAAATTAAATAGCCCGTACCGTTAAATAAATCGTTTGATAAAAATTATTATGGCGAATATAACGAGAGGGCACGAAGAGCGATGTGTACTTACGAGCACTCGCGAGGCAAACCAACACCTGAGACAACAAGAGTCTAAAGCTGAGCGTCTCCATGGTCTCTGCCGAAGTTTCCTCAAAATCTCCCTTTTGTAGGGAATTTTTCGAGTCGATGGCTATCGAAGAACGAGTTTCACTTTCGGAATCGCCTCCGATGTTTCGGAGACTCGAACGGCGACTGACAGTGTGTGACCGAAGTCAGGGTCAACTAGTCTCCCACTACCATCGTACAAGAAGCTTCCTCAAGCAATTACTTAGGAACTGGATGCGAGCTTTGCACTCTTCTTATACCACACGAGTGCTCCCTCCCCTCGGCGACCCCCCAAGTTTACTCAAATGCGTATTAATTATGTTTCCGTCTGAGCAAATTCGACAAGCAAAACAGGAAGGGCGACCCAGAAGACGGGAAAGTACCGGCGAGAACGCCGAAGAGCGTTGGACCAGGAAAAAGCGGAGATCGGAGGCTGGAGAGAAGATAGCGATAACGAGGATCGGGTAAAAGGACGTCGAACATATGGCGGGGGTGGTTTGCCTTGAAAGTGGTGACGAGCAAAGTCGGTCTTGGTCTTGGTCCTGGCCTGGTCTTGCAGACCGTGCAAGACCTACACCAGATAATATTTGCAAGATCAAAACCGATTTTTTTAATCGCTACTCGAGAGCCCTTCCTCCTTAAAAAGAATTGATTCTTACGAGAATTCGGCATTTTATTAAGAAAATTAAGAGAAATCGTGAATCACTCTTGCAGAAATGCAGAAAAGTCTTGATTCGATGCGATCTCGTCAGCGACTTCGCCATCAAGGTGAGACGTGGTCCAGGATCCAGGGAAGATATCGAGCGACATTGGTGTAAACCGCGGGTGAGGTGCTGGCCCCACACCTGGCAGTCCCGAAGGAGACGATGCCGAACAGGTAGTACTTGTAGGGCCCTCCAAAGGAGTCGACTCTCATCAAAGGACCTCCACTATCTCCGCGACAAGAGTCCTTCCCGATTTGACCACCCACGCACAGCTGGAGGACGTCGTCGATCGGTATGTGGTCGAAGATCCTTTGACAAAGCACCGTTGGCACGATCGGCAATTTCACCGCTTGCAGGACGGAGCTGCTGCGTCCACTTTCTGTAAAACGTGAATAAAAATGAATAACGAATATTAAACGATTTAATAAATTATACCAACCGATATCGACGACGCCCCATCCGGCCACCTCGGCTTGCTGGCCAACCAGAGAAACGTCCAGATTACCGGTTTCCGGTAAACATATCGGCCTGATGTACTCTGAAATCGAATAGCCAGATTATTCCTTTGTTTCCTAGGGATGAGAATTTTTCTTGAAATCTATGGAAGTCATTTTTCTCACCGTTGAAGCTCACGCTTTGGCTCAACCTTATCACGGCCACGTCGTGTCTAAACGTAGGCTTGTTGTATGTCTCGTGAAGAATGATCTCCGACGGCTCGATGTCCACGTATTTCGGCGCACAATACCCGTTCTCGCAATCCGGGTTCGACATAACGTTCAGCTCGCCCAGTCGAATGCGAACCAAATAGAAACTGCAAAAATAAAATTCCATTAACGATGGAAAACGATCTCTCCGGAAGCAAGGGTCTAAAATTCGTTCCGCGCGTTTCTAACGAAACTCATTGATTTTTGGAGTAAAGCGCTTTGAGGATATTCGTTCTTACTCTTTCGGGGAATCCACTAAGCAATGGCTCGCCGTAACAACGTAATCCTTGTTGATCAAGGTCCCTCCACACCCGAATGTTACGTTCTTCTCGAGGTACTCTCCATTTTTATTAACAAATGCATACCCGAGTCTTACGACCCATGGGTATTGACCTAATCGTGCGTTCATGCCACCGATTATTCGCTGAGACATCGACAATCCACAGATGTCGTCATTTACGAGGTGCCAGTTCGGGTGGTCCATTATATTTCTTTGAGCTGTCAAATGAAAACGCTAATTATTCTCTCCATTCGTGAAATTTCAAGTTAGTTTTGTATGATACCTATGAATGTGCATTTTACCGATTTAATTTAATTTAATTATTTAATAAACGCTTACTTCTTGCAGATACGCAGACGGCCCATAGTAGGATAATTGTCCATTTTGGCATTTGTATGTTCCCTGAAACAAATTGAGTTCTTATTCAAAGAAAACTGTGGTATCGTATGAATTCTTCGGCTAGTAATAAAATAAATCGCAACTGAGGATGCTTTAAATTCTGATTGAAATTACTTTTTATGGTCGTGCTTAACAAGAAGCTTCTCATTATCCTGAAGCTGATGCGGAAAACTCAGTTTAGGGTCCAAAGGAAATTGCGCCTATTAAACAATTTTGAAAATGCAGCAGCCGCGGTGCCCAACGTCGGCCACGTCCAACGCGAAACTCAATCGAACCGATAGTTTCGATACTAGCTTATCTTTACGGTTAATGAACAATGTCGTTTTTATTGCACCGCATCCAACCGTACTTTTTTTTATTACTCTACGCGGCATTAAAATTATGACAAACAGACGTATCATGCAAACCGATTGCCATGTATGTAGAACAGGTCTTGGTGGACGTTTTATTTCCCGATAAGTATCGCCAATTTGTTTTTCTTCGTTTTACAGCAATAATTATCGGAGAAAATTTACTTCTGATAAACTGGATTTAAAATTGCCGATTGCAAGAATTAAAAGCACCGTAGAATTGATATTTAACGTTCATTAAAATAATTAAATGCGTGTTCTTACCTATTATTATTTATGTAATTGTTTAACAAAAAAAATAATAGCAACTAGTGATTGCGTTGTCAATTCATTGTTACGTGCCTACGATCGGACAACCGTTCCTTCGACGAGTCAGACAAGTGACAGATAGTTCTTTTATTTTCGTCTTGTCATGCCTAAGTGTCAAAAGTCGACACTTTTCATATAATTATGAATTTTTCTAAATGATGTCACATCGATATAAGTATACTTCTTCGCAACTGTGAAAATGGTGGTACAAATAAATGATAGCTCTACATCCTCTTCGTCAGTGAATTCTGGCTATATCAAGAAATTTCAAATTCCTCGTAATGTACAGGAACTTTAAAACCAAATGTGATTCCGTACAGTCAATGTTTTATTAGGACGATAATTTTTAGATTACTCCTGTGAGGAAATGTCCCAGGCAGTGTCCTCGTAGTTGCAAGCATACATTAACAAAACGTGAGTATTACTCAATCGGTTATTCTTGTATCACAAGGTTACATACTTTCAGATCGATGTCCAGCAAAAAAACGGAAAGATGAGGAGGACTTTGTCCTGTCAATTATTAACGAGATCTACCGGTATACCAAACACTGCATTCGTAGTGGTTTGTTGTCTGACAAATTTATTAGATCTATGGCACTCTCGATTGCATTATTTACCATTGGTCTGAAGATATCGAGTGTGCTGGTTGTTTCGAATGCAGCCACTACTTAATATTCGAATGTGAAATTATTATTTGTACAGTACTTTAAATAAGGAACTTAAATTCTATGCTAAACATTATGTTGTGTTTTGAAATCATGTGCTAATTTCAGTTACATTAGAATTTGGTTTTGAGTCGATAGATTGTTCTCTTGTGGATGCTTCATTGTGAGAAACTGCTAAAAGGACTTTGTTAGGTTCTTTTACATTTCCCTTGAATTTCCTGGACTCGGGTGAACATTCAGATTCCTTTGGAGTGGAATCAGGATCGGCAACGGATGAATTATCCAGAGACGTGGTTGCAGCTTCTTTATTAACTTTTGATGCCATTCTAGATTCTTCACCTGTTATAGAAGAATCATGGGTAGAATTTACTGTAAAATCCATTTTCTTATCTTGCTTATCTGATTCAGCAGAAATTTGGTCGATATTTTTATTTTCTTCAACAGGTGATTGTGGAATTGAACCTTCCTGATTATTGATTTTTCCATCCAATCGGTCAGAGTCGCTGGAATGTCCACTGTCATTTGAAACTTGTTTATCCTTACTGCTACATATTTTTGTCGGTACTTCTTCATAGTCGCTGTCTTCGGAATCACTGGTATCAAGCTCATCAGAATCAATATCCATGTCCAATAATGTTCTCTTTGCATTTTTCTTAACTTCCTCCTTACTCTTCCTCTTAATACCCGAGACTCCGGCAACAACTGCTTTAAATCCTTGTTCTACCGCATCCCCTACTCGTTCGGTTAATACCGATCGCTCACGTTCATAATTTTTATCACTAAATTCATGTTTTGGTTCTGCACATAATTTTTGCAGTTTCCTCTTTTTTCTCTCAACAGCTTCTTCTTCCCTCTTTGACTGTTTCTCGATCCAGGCTTTTAGTCTCTTCTCTTCGTTAATATCTCGCAAACGCCTTCCACTAAGATCTCGACAAGCTTCCCTGTTCGTCGTCTTTTCTATCTGTGCACCAATAGCACGCAGCATGGACCCGAAACCACCTTTTCCACCACGTAATCTGGGAACAATCGATACGCTTCCCGTATCAAGGGTACCTTCATCATAGGCAGGTCGACCATGATGCACAATATAAAAATCATCCTTAGAAAGTCCCTGAAAAAGTCAAATATACAATTAACTTCAATATCTCTTGCAGAAATCACGAGAAATTAAATCTGGATATTTCTTGATTGAAATTTGAGGTTAATGTTTCGTGTTTTTCCATTTACCGTCAATCCCTCAAACCGCTCCCATATTTCACTCGTTGTTAGAGCAACGTCGCTGCTGAAAATAGTTTTTCCAGCACTTCCAGGGAAACCTTTTATGTATAACATGATTTTTCTCCCGAATTTCAAATACGAACGGCAAATACGGATGATAGGGATGTTCGATTCCGATTCGATTCTGTAAAAAATCGATTCTTTTGGTGAAAGGATCGATTTTCTTGAGAATCGATTCTTTACCCTCAGAATCGAGAAACCGATTCTTTTTTATTGAAACGGTAGAGGGGAGACGCTTCGCTCATTGGTTGCTGTATATCGCCGCGACAAGATTGTTCGTATTATCTAGGAACTTCTCGTGTCCTATTTTTCAATATAGAAAAGCACTTTTTTTAAGTGACTTAATTCATCGGTAAAAGAAAACTTAACCTATACAAACCTGTACATACACATGAAACAGGTAAGCATTAATGGAAAACAATAATAAATATCTGAGAAATATTAACAATATAATTATGACATTTTTAATATACTTAGTATTTTACCGATTGAAGAATAGCTTTAGATACAAACTATGTTTAATAGAAATATTTGGAGGTTAATGAACTTTATTTTTTGTAGTTTACAGACGTTTTTGACACAATGGTTGCTCCTGTATGTCAAAAACGTAAAGTATCAAAGAAGACGAAAAAAGCCTGGAGAAAACATATTGACATTAAGGACGTTGATGCGTATTTGGATAATGCAAGACTCGAAGAAAGACTCGGACCTCCGTTGGCTGAAAAGGGGGATGATGAATTATTTGCTATAGATATTAAAGGAACTAATGAATCTGTTGCTATATTGAGTAAACGGGAACGTAGGTTAAACCTATTAAATAAACCACCAACGTGTTTCGCTATTTTACGGGAACGTAGCATGGTCCCTGATCCAATTAGTAAACGGAATCGTGTGAGAACGATTGAGGAAAGAAAAAACCCGATTACACGACGCCTGGAGGCTAAGAGGAAATTAAGTGGACAATTGAAGTTAAAGGAAAAGATTGCCAAGGTTAACAGGGCTCATGCGGAAGCTAAGCGTGCCAAGAAACCTAAAAGGGATGATTTTAATACAGACGTTTGGAAAGAAAAATCATTACCAGTTCCCGAATTAAATAACGAATGGATCAGATCAGATACAGTAAGACATACTCTGACGAATCTAGGTATGACTCAAAAGAAAGTTCCAACGACTCTTCACAAGAAAACTTCCGTTTTACCTGCAGTTGAGGCTCCTCATCCTGGAACGTCATACAATCCATCGTATGCTGATCACCAAAAATTATTACGTGAAATTGCAGAAAGTGAATTAAAATTGATGAAGGAAGAAGCTCATTTAGAAAGAGTTACTTCAAAAATGTTTAAAAAGGTTTGTGTCACATATATTAATAAGTAGAAACTTGTCCATTGTTGAATCAATATTTTATATAATATGTTTAGATACCAGGAGAGGACAGAGATAAGGCACGGTTTGAAGAACTCTCTCAAGGATTGCCATTTCAAACAGAAGGTACAGCGAATGAACCTGAATCAGAAGACGATGACCCAACCGTTAAATCCGTTAATCCTCCTGTCAAGAATGCCAAAAAAACATTAGTTAAAAGGCGGAAGCTGAAAGAACAGAAGGAATTAGCACATAAACGAGCTCAAGAAAAGATCGAAAAGAGAAAAGTGGCAGATATTTATAAACTTAATCAATTAAAGAAACAATTGACTTTTAAAGAGAAGAAAGAGGAAGCAATGAGGAAGAAAAGGGATATTATTAAGGAAAAAAAAACTTTAGAACCCAAAACTTTGAGTAAAATTAAATTTGAACCCGAAGATCAGGTGTTTCAGTTAGGCACAGAATTAACTGGGGTACTAAGAACTTCGAAGCCAACTGGTAGTTTGCTCAAGGATCGCTTTAAATCTCTTCAACAGAGAAACATCCTTGCTCCTACGGCCCAAGTTTTGTAAGTATTAACATGTATTTGCAGGATTAACGGCGAATTTTTATCTACAATAATTGTTTGTTTTTTCAGAAAACGCAACAAGGCAAAAGTGAAACTATTCGAGAAAGCAAGCCACAAGATGGGATGGGAAGGTACCTTCAAGTGATAAAGTATTTTTCAATAAAATACTTTATCTCTCCCCTGTAATTTACGTTTTTTAATGTATATTTCGTATCTTTTGACTATGTTCAAAGGCAACTGTGTATGTTTATGCAAAAGAGTTCAATGCAGAGATGTTTCACCTTTTTGAAGATCATCGGTCCACTTCGAAATGAATGCAATAACAATTGTTTCCTTTTCATCGAAAGAACATTTTCTTCTAGTATAAAAATTCAACAAATTTCTGACAATGTCTCTTTTTTATGTAACATCTCCAGATTAATATGTGTTGGATCGAATCCAAGATCTCCAACCGCATAAGCATCCGAAACAAGTGTTACCGATTCCATGCTGGGAAATTGATTTTTTTTATGAAACATTACCTTTTGTCCTTACATTATGGTAAAATTAACAAAAACATACGAAATCATTTCATCGATTGTTGAAACTGATAGGCTCTTTTTAAGGATATCGAGCAGGTAATGCAGTACTTGATATCGACTTATTCTGATAATATCCTCGGGTCCTTCTAACTACAAAAACATATTTCTACTGAGTATCAGAAAACAAACGAAGTGTGGTAAAATGAAATACAAATAATATTAATATGCAATACCGTAAGAGTGCAGTCCAGGGTATCTTTAGAATCACGTAAAATGTCCTGTGTCTTCTTAACTTCCAATCGACTGAATTTTTCCATACGCTTGGCGAAATTCAGTCTGACTTGCTCCCGATGTAGGAAAACCTCCAGTTGACTTTTGCAAAGTTCAAACCACTTTGCCTCTAATTTTATCTTCTCCAAACTGTCATTGAACTCTTTCTCTTCCACTTCTGTCAGTCTAGGGATACTTATCAAGTGAGAGTGGACTCTTTTCTTAAGCCTTCGTAAGGCATCCAATATGCAATCTTTAACTTTCGATGAAGTCAAAGCTTCCGTTCTCTCAGCATGTCCTCCTTTAATCCAGTGTTGAATCAGTGGCAGAGTCTGTCTGTAAATAGGTGAAAAATACCCCTCGGTGTGTAAATATAAAATAAAAATGAGCGCGTGAAGTGAAATTTCCTTTTTTTATTTTTATTTCATTTCGGGTGGCAATAATTCAGAGAAATTTCACTTCGATTAGCGCAAATTATTACTTGATTTCCGTGATTGTCTCTTTCTTCGCGAGGGAACCTTTTACGTTGCACTCCAATTCATTTTTTAAGGCGATATTTTCGCGTCGCAATCTGTGAATAGGCACTGGAATCACATTGGCAATTTCCAGCTGGAATTTTCCAGCTGATCCGAAAAGCCGGGCATGCATTTCGCTCTTGTATCTGTCGAGGGATTTTTTTTAAATGTCAGATTCGCTCAAGAAAAGAAGAATTCGCAGTAAACGAAAATGACATGATACTTTTCTCTATCGATCTTGAATTTGCGCTCGATCTGACTCAATTGCCATTGAACGTTCTTCTCCTTCTCCACCATCGCCTCGTCTCTGGACTGCAACTTCTCCCAAAGAGACGCTCGCGTATTTTTGTAATCCTCCAGATTATTGATCTTGGCGTCTGAAATTAAGAAAAAATAAGTCTCCTACGCGGATTTTCATTATCCTATTTCACAGAATTTTATAGGATTAGAATATTTAATTACAGCGATTTTAATTACTCAATTCCTTGATCTTGGAAGTAAGTTCCACGCGAGTTCTCCGAAACTTTCGATCAATTTCGTTGACTTTCTCGACGTGAGTTTCCCGTTCCTCGATCCTCCACTTTTCCACGGTATCGATTTTCTTTCTATGCTCTTGTATCGTCTCCATTTCGTTACGTATCAGCCGATTTAATTGAGCGATGTCGTCCGCCGAATCAATGTCCGAATTATAGATTATCGAGTCCGTAGTCTCGCAGGTGTTGAGCAAGTCGTCGTTCCGTTTTTGCATTCTAGGAAAAAATTATGTTAGTACTAAAAATTGCGAGGAAAAAAATTATTATTAGAACCTTTCGATTCGCTGTTGAATGTCGGCGATCCGTGCATCGTATACAGCCTTCTGCATATTTACAATAACTACTTTGAAGGCTTCATCGTCCAAGTCTTCATCCGTCAAATCCGGAGGTTGTAATCTCTCTGGGAGAGATATGTTTCCCTTCTCTTTGCCATAAAGATCAACCATTTTGAGAGTACTCGATAAATTTAGGGTAATTTTAAATTCCCTCGAACAAACTATAATTCGCGATTAATTCTGGAAAGGTATTAATGCACTCGCTGTTTGATTTTCAGGGTTAATGTTGCGTGTCGGTGGAATCTAGTGGAATCGTCAAATGGTTTCAGTTGACAATCAATTTATCTGATTTATATCGTATTTATACACGCTGTGCTATAAAACAGTGCAACGAAACCTTAATTTCTAGCTACTTTCGATAAATTTATCTAAAATATCAGGAGAAGATAATTGCACGTTAAAGGCTTTGAGAGTTATATTTTATTCGGTATCTGTAAATTGTGCCAACGCGGGCGATGGCGAAGTTTCGAATGGATTATCAGCGTTATCGGTGGACATTAGGCTTTTCTCTCCTCTGGTATCTTTAATTTCTGCATTCCTGTCCGACATTTTTCCACGTTTTCTAAATTCAGAGCTCGGTACCATACCGAGGTCTCCCCTTGAGTAAGCGCACCTTGTAGATTCTCCCTGATGAAAAAGAAATTATTTCATAAAATAACAGGAAGTCTTGTAGATCTTAATAATCATCGATCCGTCACCCGAAAAGATCGCTCGCTTTCCAAAATTTCGGATGCATCTCTCTGTGCCAAAATGTCCATCAGAGTGTGAAGAAGCTGCTCCTTGACCTCAGGGTAGCAAGATACGCAGACGTCCTCTTCGAGTGTTTCATTTTGCAACTGAAACGATAGCCCATATATTTGCATGAAATGCCAGTAAACAAGATAGATGATTAATTTGAAAATATTTTAACGATTACCTGCAGTGCCTGCTCGATGCACGTTTTCGCCGCATGCAGGATGCGTTTTATCCTAGCAACTTCTGCACAATTGGCTCGCAATTCCGCTCGAATTTCGTCCCTGGCAGCTTTGGCTCTCTGGACATGTTGCTCCAGAATTCTTATATTTTTCTGCGCATCCATACATTGCTCCTTGTACCGTTGCATTAGGTCCTCCTTGGTTTTTGACATGTTTTCGGCATGGTGCAGCTTCGCAGCATCTATGACTGCATCCAAATGTTGCGCAGTGAGCCTGTCTATTATCCGAGTCTGTTTCAGGGACTTGTTAAGAGCCATCTTTGCCTCGGCCTGGAACAACGAGGCTTGCGTCCTCAGGATTCGATCTCTTTCCTCGTACTCCTTCGTCCTTATTTCTAATTCCCTGCAGACTTTCAACATCGCGTCCAGCTCTTTGTTCAAGGCGATGTTCTCGCGAACCGCTCGATGAGTCGCATCCGCTATGCGAATGTTTGTTGCATCTCTGAAACTCTGCGCCAGGTCTTCTAGACGCTCCTCCATCTCCCTCTTCATCCTGTTTAACGAGAAAGTAAATTAACACCGCGCAATCGAGTACAAGGAAAAAATTAATGAAAGGGAAAATCCTAATTCACGGAGAATGTTATTCGATATTATTGGGCGTTCTGAATTATTCTCGTAAAAAAAAAATGCCCTCACGCGCTCGATACTCATTTTTACCGTAATTAGTTTTATTTCACTTTAAATGGCAGTTTTGAAAATTCCAGGGAGTGGGAATAAATATGAAATAAGTGACTCGATGTTCGATACTTGGCCTTGCCAATTATGAGGGACTTCTCGGCTTCGTAGAGGGTTCTCTTGTGCCTCTCTTCTTGTTCTATCATCTGTTCTTCTTGGATCTCAAATTTGCGCATGAGGTCGATGCGAGCCAGTCTCCAGTCTTCCAGGGCATTAAGCTTGCCGGCTGTTTGAGAAGCATTATCGTATTTTAATTTGTCGAATTGATTTGAATTTTCTTCAGCAAATAAACGAGTTCTTACGTTACCTACGAGCTTGATTTCCGCGGTGAGGCTCGTCTCCATCGCTCGAAAATCCGCTTCCATGCTCTGTTCCTTCTTTTTATAGGCGGCCTGTTCCTCTTTCCTCATATCCTGAAGAGCCACTAATCGTTCCCCCAGGACGAATGCTTCTTTGGTTTTCTCCTCGAGGATTTTTTTTAAATGGGCCACCACGTCAGCTCGGTCTTCTTCGAGCTGATTCAGTTTCTTCTTAAGCTCCTCCGAGTCCGTCTCGAGTTGCTCGTTTCTCGTGCGCAATCTGCATTAATTACGATCCAATGTCATTATTATTAATTACCTCACTTATTTACCTGACATTAATTATAATCCGATGTCAGATCATTTCCCTACATCGTTCATTTTTTTTTTAACGCTAAACGGCCCTTTTATCCGCATAAATGCAATTTATCGCACGCAATAATTGAACCCACCGTGCCAATTGTCGGTTGTAATCGAGAATCTGCTGCTCGTAGTTAACTGTCTCCCTTTCATTTAGAAACAACTTCTTTTTTCCCTTCTCACCTCCGCCCCCTCCTTTCTTTTTCGGCATTTTGATGCGTCAAAATCTCTATCACTGTCGTTTCAATTTGTTATTAAAAATCAGTCACGCGAAAACGCCCGAGAACTCGCATGACTATGAGAAATCAGAATTTTCTATAATCCATATTAAACATTTAAGAAATAACGCGCAAAGTGACGTGACACCTGTCAAACGTCGTTCATGGTCGATTCCATGTGGCCTCGTTATGTCAAATAATTCTGTTACCATAGGAAACGCGATACATAATATGTACAGACACACTATCGGCTATTTGAAAAACTATTCCTGTATTTGTGCTTGTTTAGCCGCATATTTGTAAATGTTGTATAAACAAATCGAAGGAAATCGGTAATTAGGACGCAGAAACTGGATAATCGTGGACGACTAGGAGGTACGTACACATTCAATAATGTATAAAAGACAACAATGATACAGTATTTATTTTACTTTTCTGCACTCACTCATAGCCCCATCACACTTGACTATTGAAAGTAATAACGACACTCCCCTTCATCATTGTCCCGTTAAATTTCGCATTAACGTTCGCTTAATTCCAGTCAGTCGATCAATCGAGAATGCCGCTGGGAGAAATACAGTCCGTATAATCGTAAACCGATGTTAAGGCGGTGTCAAAGTGGCGTCAAAACGGTCTCGTTTATGAAACTTTTCTATCGTAGTCTGAAACAATTCGTTACACCCAGTTCGGAGAAAAGTCCCAAGAACGATCGACCCCTCGGAAGTGACTTTTACACCCCCCCAGGTATAACTCTTGCATTGAAATTATCAATTAGAATTTGGTACACGATTCTTTACGTGTCCATCGGCGTAATTCGTAAAGTCTTAACGAACACTTCGTCTCCTAGTTCCCCCGTCAAACCCGGAGTCAGACTTTTCACCAAAACTCTCAGTACCTTCCTTTGTACAACAAGACGTTTACAGGTATTTAAAATGTAACATTAAAATGAACCGCTTCACAACTTTGCGCGACGAATAAATATCTACAATATTTACTTTAAGGAGAGAAGTTCCTATTTCCTACGAGAAATAGAGTTTCGTGCGGCACCGTTCGATTGGAGAAAAGGCTGGCTTCGAGTCCGAACACTTGTAATTTTTTGTCTTTTTCTTGAGAAATGTAGAAGAGAGAAGGATCTAATTGATTGGCGGCACTTGTCTCTGAGGCGGTGGTTGAGGTCTGCGGAAATAAATGATCAGGCTGAGCATCCCGGTGAGGATCCCAATAAGATACAAGTCCCAGCTCTGGCCAAGAAACTGATCCCACTTGCTCAACTGATCGACCAGACTGAACTCTTGTAAGTAATCAAGACCGAAGAGGAGGAACAATTTGATTAGAGCTAGGGCGACAGGAATGCGAGCATCGGGGCTGGCCTCTGCTGCTAAATCGTAACATCGCTTTGCCAAGTGACGATCCCTTGCCAATCCGAGGCCTCGTTCGTGCATGTAACCCAGATTGAACATCGCCTGTGCGTTATGCTGCTGATCGGATGCGGAACGGTAATGTCCAACCGCAGCCTCGTAGTCCACTCGTGTTCCTCTGCCATAATAGTATGCATCTCCGAGCTTCACCTGTTCATACAAAAATTCACATAATGCAAGAATGCAAATTTGAACTCATGACACTTATCGAAGAATTATCGATTAAATAAATTACAAATGGAGTGGACGAGTACTGTATACAAGTGACATTGCAATTTGCTTGCACTTACTTGAGCCGCGGAATATCCCTGAGCAGCGGCCCGAGCCCAAAGAGCGAGTGCTTTGACGAGACCCTCTTCTTCGGTGAGAATTGTGGTTTCTCCTCTGTCAAGGATGAACGCTGCGTTACTCTGAGCGACTTCGTAGCCCATTTCGGCGAGCAGAGCGTACGTAACGAACGCTTCGTCGATGCGACCTTCTCTGTAGTCTGTATGAGCAGCCATGAGCTGATCGCTCCATTTCCCCCTTTCGGCAACGTTTTTAAACAGTTCCACTGCTGCAGGGCAACTTCGTACCATACCAGTGCCGGTGGCATGCATGTGAGCCAAATTATAGAAAGCCAAGACGTGGCCCGATTGACTTGCTAAACTGAAATACTTATTGGCTAGCTTGTAGTCCCTCCGAACACCAGTTCCACCTGTGAACGATACACTTTGTAGACCCGTTGTCCTTGCCAAATGTCACTATTCAATTTTCGGTAAATAGTCCTTTTTAAAGCTTCACCGATCGTACAGTAGTTAAATAGCTTACTGAAATACATGTTGCCGAGCTGTAGCTGGCCATCCACCCATCCTTGATCAGCAGCCTGGCTGAAGTATTGAAGAGCCTTCGCTGTGTCCCTTTCGACTCCTCTTCCATAGAGGTACATTAAGCCCAGCCCACTTTGCCCGACAGGATTCCCTAAATCAGCTGCTTTCTTAAAGTACTTGTAAGCCGTTTCGTTATCCTGCTTCACTATGTCACTGCCTTCTAGATAGATCTGCACAAAATTACGACATTAACACGGATTCATTGTGAATGGTTATATTGATGTTAATTAGTCTTTAGTAGTTCTAGATATATGCCTTTCTTCTATACCTTTCCTAAAAAAGCCATAGCGATGGCGTTTCCTGCATCAGCAGCATGTTGGAAATAGTGGAATGCTCTTTGGTGATCTTGAGAAACACCTCGTCCTCCCTGGTAGTGCAGTTGCCCTAACCCAACTTGAGCCTGTACGTCACCCTTTTCCGCAAGCAGTTGATAGTACTCTATCAAGTCTTGATCCAAAATCCCAGAGCTGTACCCAGGATTCTCGTGTTCGTCGAGCAATCTGACTCGTTGAACTATCGGTCCTCCACTTAACGATACCTGTTCCGCAACCTTATTAGCTACTTTTCGATAATAATCCAAAGCTCTCTCGCACGAGATAGGAGTGGTTACTCCGGCCCAATGGCGATAACCAAGAGCCATCTGAGCACGAGTGTCCCCACCGAGCGCAGCTGCGGTGTAATGAAGCAGAGCTATTCCTTGAAATGCATTAACACCTCCGAGTCCCATTGCATAAAGGAACCCTGTACCCTGTACACGGAATATTATATATTAACAATTAATAATGTTAAATTAACATTATTTTGGACATCACAGAAACAAACCATATGTGCAGACGGCAATCCAGTTTCAGCCAATTCCTTGAAGGTTTGAAAGGCAGCTGGGATATCTTGAGTGGAGCTATGAGAAGACGAAGAACCGACATTCGTGCCCAAAAGCTGAGCCCAAGCCAGCATGGAACGTGCTTCGTTGTGTCCCAAGGTAGCAGCAGCGGTGAGAAGCTTATAGGCTTCGGCTTTATTCGCATGTGTTGCATTCAGAAGTCCCTGAGCCTTCTTGAACAGATCTTCGGCTAAACAAACGGTATACAAGTACTTTAAAAATCTTTTATCATTAATAGCTATATATTAAATTTGTTTACAGCTTACCCTCCTGTTGTTCCGGAGTCAAAGGCTTCTGTACTTCCTCCTGACCTTCTTCCTCCCATAACTCGACTTCCTCTTCTTCTTCCTCCAGTGGTTGCATGTTGGTCTCTTCCATTATCGCCTTGAACCACTCTCTGGCCAAAACCGGATCGTCCATCCATGTCTCGCTCTTCGATTTCTTCACCTCATCCTGGGACATTTCTTTAAGCATCTTCACTTTCGATAACAGGTCAAAAGTCGGATATACCCTAAGGATCGTGTTATGAAGCTTCTGGAGCCTGCGCCATCGCTCTACTAAGGCACTCTCCAAATCGTCAGGTGAAACTTCATCTTCCGACTCCTCGCTGGACTTGGATTTTTCAGACGCATCATCTTGATCCTTCAGTTCAATTTCAATCTCTGCTTCGGACAGTACTACCAAGGCCAGGAGCAAAAATATTATTCCTTGGAAAGCCTTCATCTTTCGCTGATCTCAATTTGTACAGCTCATCACAGACTACCGTAGAAGCGTCACCAGGTGAACTTAGAATTTTCCAGGGCCTACCAATGAAAAACTGTAAACACATACGTGGACATTTCTGGATTCCGCTCGCCCCACTGCTCGCGACGTTTAAATCGCATTAACCAGCTAGAAATCCCCACTGGCGAAGTCGAAGATTACGTCATTAGGACAAGTCAATTCTCATCTTTCTTGGCATCTTTATCGACTGAACAATCCATTATTGAGACAGTTTTTTACCTCGCTCATAGGGTTCCTCTTGGTTTCTTCGAGCGTTGTTCAACGTCGTTTCACCGACAACGCGACCGTCATACCATGAAACCACAAATCTGGATGAACCGAATCAGCTGATCGTTCGGGAGAATTCGGAACCATTTTACGGTATCCCGCCGCGACGAGGTTACCGCCACGCCGATGCTCCTGCTATAAAAGAGATGTTCAACGGTAATTTACAGCTGAAAAAACAAAGAACCTGTCACTTTTCGCAGTTAAATACACGTGGAACAGTTCGGCTCTTGGCTGCTTCAAAAATATTTCCGTAAATGCGAGGAGTGTTCCGAAATCAGAGGAGCAGCCCAAGAACTTTGCCCTTTCCGCTCCAAGTAAAAAAAATCAATATGATTTAGCCGTAATGCAATAAATTATGAAATGATCACAGAAATCCCATTATCGCTTCAGAGTATGCAGATAAATTTTTATCGGATTTCGCGCTGAATTCTCATTGGTCGACTAACAAAGATGGCGGCGGCTCGGAGGTGTTCTCTGATTGGTTCGTTAGCTGGATGGTGACATGCTCCCTTGCGTCGTGTTAACGACGACACGGTGGACGATCTTGTAAAGTCTGTGAACACAGACTATATCGGAGCGAAAAAGTATGTCGGCTACAACGCATGACAGGCAAACGTGTGTGCATATACAAGTGGTGCGTACCTTTTGAAAAGTTTAAAAAAAAACGAAGACGCGGCACGATCGCGTCGCCTTTTAGTACGGCCAAGATATTCGGAACGTTCGCCAGTGATTCGCAATGGGGCAATATCATCTACCGGGATAAAACAATGGCGTAAAGTCGTTCGCAGGTTTTACGAGTAAGCATACGACAAGTCATTGTCTATTTTTGCGACACTAGGATCGATACATTTTTGCATGCAAATCCACTCGAAATAGATGCGGATACATCTCGAAAGTATTTATATCGCAAGTGGAACATTGAGAATGGCTTTTGAGGTTATCGCGTCAGAAGGCAAGGAGGACTGATCTCTGCATGGTGATCCACTGCGAGTACGACGTTAAGTAGTTCAGTTATTGGCCGTATCTAGTCAGAAACCAGCCTTCAAATGACCGAAGAAATAGAGTTAAATCAGTCGCGAAAGAATCGCGTCTATTATGCAGCGAGGGATGGAATGTCGATCACCCTCTACGCCCTTCTCAGCGGCACTTCAGATGAGGAGGCCTATTCCCTCATTAACCAGGTGACCATCTTTTGAATTTACATTATTTTACATTTTTTTTAATAATGTGTGATTTTTCACATAAAGTTGTACAATGAAATCATGCGTACTTATGATACCATTCCTAAAATTTATATGCATGAATGAATGAGGGTTTTTTTATTGTCATTGTTGATGAAAAGGCAACGCGTATGAAACAAAGCATTAGATCCAGTGAACGTTGAGAACTGTTTGCGTAGTCATTCCTTTGTCCACTGAGATCAACCATTACTGAAATGTAATATTATCTTTTGTTAGTCCTAAATTATATTAAATGTGAAAGTGAAACTAAACAAAGAATGTTCCTATTCTTTGTGCAGGTGTTTATATTTTTGGATCTCTTATTTAGAATGTAAAAAAAAATTAAACACATGACAGGCGTTTTATTAGACATCTCTGTTGGACAAGTGCCAATCTCAGCTGCGCGTAAATTTTCTAACAAAGAATCCAGTATCTTTTAATGAAGAAAATGTTTGTACACGTGCTAAGTTTAATAATATTTTGTGACCATCGAATGGCTGTTTATATTACGATATGGATCATTCCAGAAAGTGTTGGACGAAGAAGGGGAACAGTACACGCCCTTAATAGTTGCTGCAAGATATGGACATAATAAGGTTGTTAAAATATTAATAGAAAAATTCAAGGAACTCGATTTGGAGCAACAAGGCACTGTTAAATTTGATGGCTACGTAATACAAGGAGCGACTGCTCTTTGGTGTGCTGCAGGTACGATTTTATAATAGTATTATCCAGACATTTTGAAAAATGTTATCGTTATTGTCTAATTCTTCTGTTGTTTAGGTGCTGGTCATTTAAATGTCGTTAAAACTCTTGTTCAGGCCGGAGCAAACGTTAACTATGCGACACAAGCGAATTCTACACCCCTCCGCGCTGCTTGTTTCGATGGAAGATTAGACATTGTAAAATATTTAATAGATCACAATGCTGATATAAACATTGCTAATATGTACAACAATACTTGTCTGATGATCGCAGTTTATAAGGGACACATCGATGTCGTTAGTATTATTTGTTAATACGTACTAATTTGGAATGTGTATACTTTTCTTACTGGTTGTTCTTCCATTTCCGTTCGTTACTATTATATTGTATTTTTTGGGTACATAGGTGAATTTTCTGTTATACAATGGAGCCAACCCAAATGAGAAAGCTAATTGTGGGGCCACTGCCTTGCATTTTGCTGCTGAATGTGGTCACACCAAAATTGTTATAGAACTGCTCAATTATGGAACAAAAATGACAAAGAATGTTAACGGTGTGACACCTCTGATTACTGCTGCTGAACGTGCGAGAAGAGAAATAGTAGAGTGCCTTGTAGAATTGGATGAAGTTACTAAAGAGGAAGTCATTGAAGCATATGAATTGCTGGGTGCATCCTATGCCAATGATAAGGATAACTATTGCATTGACAGAGCATACAAGTACCTGCAGAAAGCAATGACTTTAAGGTAACAGTACAATTGACAGTTCGAACGTAAGCTCATTTTTTTTCCAGACTCGAATTTGATTTCAAGCTTCAGCTTGAAATAGTAACGTACATGATTTACAACTTTTTGTTAACTTATAATTTTAGATACAGTGATCCTGAAAATATTATATACAAAAAAGTATGTAAACCTGTACCTGCATACGAAAATTGGAGAGAGAGCGAGACTTTGGAAGCTTTAGAGAGAATTAAAGGGAATAACAGCGCACTTCACATGGAATCCCTTGCTATAAGAGAAAGGATATTAGGTAAATTTTAAGAACACGCGAAATAACATGCAAAATATCTTAAAAATCTTATGCTCTACTCCGATTACACTGTTGACACTATTCGTTAATATCTGCCACAGGAACTCACAATCCTGAAGTACCCCATCCTATAATATACAGAGGAGCTGTTTTCGCAGACAATGACAGATTTGACAGGTGTATTGACTTATGGCTCCATGCCTTGGAGTTGAGACAACTAAATAACAAGTCTGTCATGAAAGATCTTCTGCGCTTTGCACAAGTAATTTGTTAATTACATTTTTTCATTTTTACAATATCAATTATACTTTTTTTTTATACTTCTCGGAAAATTATTATATCCCATTTGAAGGAACAAGGATGTAATTATTTAATTTCAGGTATTCTCTCAAGTAATCCATGCTGGCGTCGATCTCCAATTCACGCAAGTTGTTAAAGTCTTAGAAGCGAGTGTGATTGAGTTAGGAAGGAATAAGATCAAGATGAATAAACCGGACTCTAAGGATGACATTAATCAGTACATTGTAAGTGAATTGTGGACTTTCGCTTGTTTAGAATAGATACTTTTTTTCTTTTATTTAACAACAACGTATTTCCAGGAAGAAACTGAATCAAATATCACAACAACGCTGTATATTCTAACGATCTTAACGAAATTGATGACCCTGAACGAGAAGGAATACGACGAGGCAGAAATCAACAATGTTCATTATTTAGTGCACAGATTGTGTGCACTGCGCATGAGCCTCAGAGATGGACAGACTCTTTTGCATCTGGCTGTGAATGCTGAAACACCTGTCGACGATTTTCACACTAACGATGTTTGCAAGTATGTCTATTTTTTGCATTAATGTACGCAGTGCCTTATGCGATAATATAAATTTGGATGAGAAATTTGGTACAGCTTAATATCTGATTTTACCAGACATTAAAATGAGCCTTGTTAGTACTTGCATTTTTAATCTTTAGATTTCCTTGCGCTGCGACAGCAAAATTATTAATTCAGTGTGGCGCCGATGTGAATGCCATGGACAATGAAAGAAACACACCGCTCCATATAATTGTTAGTTACCAGAAGTCAATAAGGTAAGGACGTGACCGGTATGATAATTTAGTGCATTCTAGATTATGTACTTGAATATAAAAATTTACCATACCTTATAGTGATTTTTTGACGTTGCACACCATCGTCATAGAATTAATTAATGCCGGGGCACATATGGATATTGTCAATAGTCAAGGAAAAACACCTTACGACGCTGCTACGACGGGTAAATAATACATTTTATGGGAAATGGTTTATATATGCTACATGGTATTTTTCTGGTTTCTTATAGGCGTGGCAGAGATAATATTGCGGACACAGACAAAGTTGTCTTTGAAGTGTATGGCGGCGAAAGTAGTCAAGACTTATAATCTGTCTTATGTTGGTACCGTTCCTCGTTCTTTGGAGAGCTTTATAGAACTTCACGGACCTGGGCTCAATCAAGGTTAGCACACGTATTCCTTGGATAAACATGAAAATATTTCTATTACTTACTTTCTGCTTTCTTTTTGTATCATAAAGTGAACGTAGTCGGGCCCGAAATGGCATTAAAAAAGGATGTTACATGCGTACTTGATATGTAGGCATTTCTTGTAAAGACTTACAAGTGGAGCATAGCCACGACTTCGTTACGATTAAAGTACAGGGTAACGACGAGGAAATCGATTGCCCTTTGTTGGTAACTTCAGGAGTTTGGAAATTGTTATTCGATTTTGAATTGCTTTACTTGTATAGAATTGTTTCAAACGAAACCTGTTTCTTATTAACTACAAATTCTATTTTGGAGATTATGTTTTAAACGTAGTTACTTAGTCGAGGAACTGAATATAAATTGAACACAGCCTACCGTTTCATACTTATGTAGGAATTAAATACTTTTCACTTTTTATTATCGTACTTTCGAAGTTTATCGTGAACGACCTACACATGTGATTCGTACTTTGAAAGAAATCGTCATACATATAAATGGATTTCTTTAATAGAAAATGACGTTGTAATATATTAGAGCGGAATAAAACTTGTACTTGCAGCCAGAAAATTTATTCGGAGGACATAAGCATTTTGTAGCTATAATTAATTGCAATATTGCCTTTTATTCAAACACTCGGTCGTTCGGCATAAAGAGGCTTTTTTCGATATAGTAATTTTTGCAAATACACTTATTTCTAGACGATATAAACATCAAAATATTATTAAATCATTTTGCTCATTAACATAATTACGCGCGTTTAATAGTTGGAAAAGCTGGCGTTAATTACTTATCGGAATTGTCGATTTTAACTATAAACAGTGTTGTGTACTAACATTTTAATGTGCCTATGTAGAGTGAAAACATCATGTTTTTATATAAGATAAATTAATATAACTCGCGTGTATATATATTCTAGTTCTTACCTAGAATACAATTAGAATTAACGAATAAAAACATGCTGGCATGACTTGTAAACAAAGAATGTATGAAACATCAATCGATTATGGATATACTTTCATAATTTGATGCGATACCACGACTGCGTACATATTAATTATAATTATAAGAAAAGAAGTGATGCAAGGTTTACATTGCATAAATAATTTCATATTTTGTCTATACGTACTGTCGTGTATCCATATACATGTAGAAACACGTACATGTACATGTATGTATGTACATCTAACACCTATCGATACAAGCTTAAAAATGTTTGTTTTGATATCTGTATAAAAAAAATTTGTTCTGCATAGAATTACACAAGTTCATTCGACGACAAGAGTCTTTGTCAAATTGTCATCGTCTTGTCTCGTTGAACCCGAGAGTGAAACTCGTAAAATTCCTTGACAAGATAAATCAGTTGAGAGGCTGAGGAAAATAAAAACGTTTCGATAAATATTACGAATGTACTTTATTTTCATTTTAATGTTTCGTTCTAATGATTTAAATAAACATTTACTTAGAATTAAAATATACAATATTAAGAGTACGAGCTCATCGAGGAGCTCCTGCCATCGCCTTTTACAATATATTTTTTACATGAATGTAAAAGAACAATTATACATCGATCGAGGCGTTTTTATAATTTTCCCTATTAATTTTCACTCGCTTTTGGCAAAGCGCCACTGCGATCACTGTTATTTACATCTCTGTAAATGTCGAAATCTCTGTGTCCTTCTGACTCGCGAGCGTTTAAGAGATTCAGCAGTTCTTCGCATTGATAAAGTAATGCAAATATCATCCGTAAAAAAGAAACTCTCGGTATAACTTCAAAATACTTTTCCGCGCTCCAGTCGTTACGCTTATCTCGTATTACGAGTTTCATAACATGCAGTCTACATACAGATTTTGAAATAAACGACAGCTTCAACTTCTCCTTTCAGTCTTCTGATCTCCGATACTCTTGTTTCTGTTCGGGTCAACATTTGGTTGCACGTATGATCTATTTAATGCATCGTCAGATACAATAGACACGAAGAGTACACCCGAATTAAAAATGGATCTTTCCTTCCAAAGTAGTTATTTGTAACCCTGCATCTGTGTATGTACGTGATTAGGGAAGCACTAATGATTTATAATTGGCAATTCATGCCTTCACACATGTTCAATTTGTAATATCTTTTCGAGCCACAAGAGGTTGGGCATAAAAAATATCGAATACATTTAATATAAAATACACGTGTAGATCTCGATTTTCATGTAATCGTTTGAAGTTGTCAATTCGATCGGAACGAATACGTTGAGATGTACGATACTAATAATTTTATAACTAACATTAACGTAAGGTTTGCAGATAATTTGGCTACGACATGGGAATGCAATTCGATTGAGGGTTACGTTGCAAAGATTTTAACAATTATCAGTAATAGCGGAAGCTCATGGTTTGTGCATAAGTTATCATTGATTGGGGTGTATAAAAATATAAAAGTCAAACATTTCGAGGTTCTTCCAGGACGGATAGAAGAAATTTAACGTTAACTGTGCTGGAAAGTAGACGGCTCAAGAGTTCACCCGATTTAACTGAGAAGTGTGCTGTGGTTTTTGACAAAAATGCAAATATCTAGTTCTCGTAAACAATGATCAGCTCTAACGAAAAAGCTGTACAAAAGTGGCAGCAATAGAAATACGAATTCGAATCGCTACTTTTTCTTTTTCTTCTGAGATTCACTCAAAGTGTAAATTGCTTGAGTTACAGAACTACGGTACAAAACATCCAGATAGGTAAAATCGATCTAGACAATTATCGGACTCACACGAAGTAGAAAAATAAAATTGCGTGTGAAGAATGTCCGTTTTTATGTACGCTTTAATATATATATTTCTTTTCTACGGATTAGTTACAACAGAAAAAAAACAATGTCATCCTATGGAGTTCTTGTTAAATTAACGGTTGCTTGCAACGTCTCCTTGCAAACGTTCTATTTAGTCTATCTGTTAAAAACGTTACTGTAATTCTCTGATCATCCTATATCACACACCGGTTATTTAGTGTATGCGATCTGCTATTGGGTACAGTTGTTTAAAAAGAATGTTACATTCATAATAGATAACGATTTCGACTAAACTACGATACCCTGACGTGGAATGGCCACACAAAATTCTTGTAATTAAATGTCCTGGCTCGAAGAGAAATATTTAAAAAAAACATTAGAATGTTACAAAAGTAATGCGATGCAACGCGATTGCGTCGACTTTGGGTTTAACGTCGAGATATAAAAAGAGTTATCGCTTTTCACCGGTTACCTGACTGCAGGATTGGTGGAAACAATAATCGTTTCGTCTAGGTACAGGATAACGAAGTACGAGAGCACTGTCCGCAGAAATAATTGGTAGGGCGTTGACGCAATGATGATTCACCAGATGACTTACGCTATCGAAGACGCGATCTTTCGTGCGTACCTGGAAATATTATTGTTAGATCATTGCCTAATAGAATTATAAAAAAAAAATCTTGATCTTTCTTGTTGAGTACTTACCACACCTTCTGGATCGATCAGGAGCAAGTGCTTCGGTGTGCCACTATTCATGCCAGTAAGAACATACTGACCTGGCGAGCCTTGAGATTCGCGGACCAAAAAGTCTCCATCCTGTTGGAAATTAAAGAATGTACTTTTGAAATTATGAAAATATTTGATTGCATCGAAGTTGTTACCCTTGTTAGCATAGCTTCTGCTTCAGACCTGCTGACGCTGCCATGAAACCATACTTCCTGTTTCAATTGATACTTCTGCGATCGAGGACTGAGTTTATTCATTTCTGATATCGCAGTGCTAAAGGGTTCTAAAAATTTATATCGCGTTGATTTGTTTATGCTTGAAATTTAATTCACACTTTATGCACTGTCACTGAATTTTTATCTTACGCATGTCAAAGGCGTCGAACAAGGACAGTGGTTCTCTGCGACTGTCTTTATTGGCAGCTATGACTGTATCGTTTACGTAATTATGTTCCGGTGCTGTATTTGGCATCGAGGCAGCCCCATCGGAGTTCAAATCAATCAAGTTGCCTATTTCTGTAAATATAAAGCGATTCGTGTAGTAAACACACACGAGTAGATTTTTTAAATAGGGGGACATTTGGTTTGAAGTTTATCACCTGTCCATTGTTGCGGTTGCCTACTCCGACTGCTAGAGAGTGGATCAGGTAATGGTGTGCTTTGAATATTGCTACTTGCATGATTATGATTCGAATGGTGATGTTTTAGATTAGGCAAAGTAGACGCGGTAACTGGCAAAGGTGGGACCGGAGGTGGCCCAATATCTGGTGGTACCTTTCCAGGTAAATCATTGTAATAAACTCTGTCTGCTTCTCTCATTCCATTTAATACGGGACTGTGCAAATAGTGCAAAAAAATCGAATGAACATTAAACAAGTATGAGTATTGAGAGCAAAAACTGCAGTCTACTTACTGCAGACTCGATGGCTTTGTCAGGAACTCTTTGAACCTGAGCTCGAAAGCTTGTCCAATAGTAGATATTACGTCTTGAGCTAAACCACCGCCACATTCTAGTACATAACAGGCACGCCATTCTTGTATATTCTTTGCCACGTATGCAACAAAGTCTAGTGTTTCCTATGGAAAAAAAAAATATATAATCAGTGAATTTATACTTTCATATAATTTATATTTACATTCAAGAGATATCAATACCGTGTCACCGCCTGAGGCAAAAGATATCTTCGGCATGTCATGTTTAGCAATAATATGACCAGTTTCAAGAGTCGTTAAAGCTAAGCTGCAACTACTTATCGTTAAATTGATATTAGCACCTGCATGTTCCATACATGGTTTATCGGCTATTGCTCTCAGAACCTTTCTGTCCACCTATAAAATATAATAGTAATTTATACATGTAGTAAAGGAATTGATTTTTAATTTCTATAGTTTGTTCAAACATTGCACACAATTTATGGCAAATTTCTAAGCCAGATTTAGAATAATAACTGCATTTTTACCCTTCTTTTTTTATCAGCAGTTTTCAATCCTGCTGCCTCACATACTCTATTTATACATTCCCTGAAAAAGTTACAAGATTATTATTAGTCGCATTACCGATATGATACAGAAACGAAGTTCATAATTTATGACGACATTAAACCGATGTCAGTCAGTTGATAATGAAATGCTATAAATGTATACTTACTTGGCAACGCATGATCTTGTATCGAAGTCTAAACTTTTCATAGACGTGAAAACTTCCAAGCAGCCGATGTACTATGAGATAATTCATGTTATTCGGTATTGGAAATGAAACTTGTAACCACCAGTTGTTACGTTTCATATTTTCTAAACCGTCGCACAGATTGTTTTCATGCGAGTCACGAGGTTCAATAAAATATATTACGGTACTTACTTTGACCGAATAAGTAATTCCTTCTTTGCTCACGAGGTGGTCCGGGTGCAACCACCCTCTGGCTGGCTTGCTTATAAAACTACCACCGCCGCCAGTTGCCATTCCTATAAACTGAATGCTAGGCGTGTTACAAATGTCAGTGATAGGATGTAAACAAGATATACAAAAGGAGTAATATAGTACGATTAAATATTTAAAAATTGAAGGTAAAAACAGAAAAACTACCTAACAATTTATACAAAGCATCGAAGTGCGCTTGTCCAGGAAACTTATCCTGAATTTAGACGAATTTAAGTCGTAACATTAAATTTGAAATTGTAATGCGAACATCTGACATTCCGTCACACTTGTTAAGCAAGATCATTCGATTGCGTTTAGGACCAACTCCGAGGTAAAGGTTTACTTTACTAACCTTAAAAGAATGAAACGAAGTTAGTAAAAAACGATGTTTTTAGATCGCCGCTATAAAAGAAGAAACATCTATCGCGAGTACAATGTCCTTTGATTGCCGAGGGAAAACCCAATACGTCGAACAATTTGACATCTGATAGGATGTATGTACAAACCCTGTAGTGCCCGTGGGCATATCATACCGTTCCTTTGACTACAAACAATATAGATTCGTCGCTAGCTACCAGAGATGAGTTGGGAGATTGCTCACGGGCAGGGTCGTGCAATCGCATCCTGTGCTGCCCTTTGGTTTCGTACGTCAGCTCTCACCGTTTTTTGCCCCCAAGGGCGGCGCAATGAATTTCTGGTAGGGGCTCGCGCACTCGTGATGGCGATACTATCTACCAGTAACCGTTGACGGCTCATGTACTCGTGATGGTAATACCATGCGAGTGTGACGGTGGTGGCTTACCTACGCTTACCGACACTGCTCGCTTTGGATGGTAAGGGAAGAACATTCGTGGCACCCACTTTGACTTTACCCTTCACTTGCCTTACTTATTTTACGAGAAAGTGAAATTTTACCTTAATTAAATTCTACTTCGCAGCTAGTTCGCGGATCGGTATCATCCCATAAGGATGGTTTCAGTTATGATGGGTTAAATCAGTTAAACTCCAGTTAACTCGAGGGTGGAACCGGACCCTAATAGGGCTCCACATCATACAAGTGTGTGTTTGTGTGTGAGAGCGACGGTCGAAGCAGGTACCCCGATGTTTACCCTTTGGAAGACCAAAGGGTAATGACGCTCCGAGGGCGCGCTCGGCCTTACATAGGGTCCCCGACCCCGGCATGCGCATGCGCAGTTCCTTATCACACCTTTGTATATTCCAATTTTGGAATTTTTTTATAATAACGGAATTTTTTGCTATGGAATCCTGCCTGGATTTTTGACGATCATACGTCAAAAATGTCTAATACATAGTTGATTAATATATTTCAAAATTGATTATTAGAATTTGGGGATTTTATGATAATTAGGATTTTATTAAAATTTATTAATCAACTTTGTATTAGATATTTTTGACGATCAACCAATTTTCAAATTCACCCCATGGAAATCGTGCTATATTAAATATTTAAGTTTCATGGCTTGTTCATAGATGGCGAAACGTGCTATTTCTGAAGAGTATACGAATTAAAACCTTACCATTTCATGACAAGAATTAACCAATATGTCACTTATAGACCATTCGATAAATTAATATCATACATTTATTATTCCTAGATGGAGAAGTACACCCATTAACCATAAATTAATAGCCACTTTTAGAATAAATAATATTCATTTTTTATCATCGTCATCGCTTTCATTTTCCATAATGGAATCACTCTTGTCACTGAAATCACACTTGTTATTTTCATTTGCATCCTTCTCTTCCTCGCCATCCGATGAATTACTATTTTCCATCTTCTGAGCTTCGCTATTACTCGAAGACTCACTGTCCGACTGGCTGTCACTGTCCGAATCGGAACTTTCTGAAGAATTGCTGCTCCCTTCTGCGTTCTTAGCTTCCATCATTTCCTTGAATTGCTTTACGGTGATTTTTCTGGGCATTATCTGCTTTAGAAATTCTAATGTTTCGTTTGTTTGTACTATTTCTGCTAAGTGTTTGTATTCTAACGAACTTCCTTTGTTTGTTTGTAGATAAGCTTCTTCCGCTAAATGGTGGATGAACAACTCCTAGAATGAATTCACAACGGTTAAAAATATGGAAAATTATGCAATGTTAATTAAGGAATTTTATTACATTTAGTCACATATATACAAATCTAATTTAAACAGAAAAGTATAGAGAAGTACTTGTTACTGGAAAGTGAAATCGTAATTCAATGATGGAAATTATGTAGGCAACGTTTAAATTTATAAACTTTTTCGAAATCCCCGCGCAATCGTTAGAAATGAGGTGCAACAACCACCAACGCATCGCATCGAGGTTTATTACCGTTCGTAAACAAAATAACGAAAACGTATTACCGTAGCTTTGGCAACAAGAAATAATCCATCCTGCCCAACAGTATCGACGTATGGAGAACTTTTCATGATTGTTTTTACTCGAGATACCGGTAAACGAAGTTCTCTCATCCTGGCAGGTGAACTTTGCGACGCCATGATTTGAAATTCACTTCTGCTAAAACTTCGCGCGTAAATCGCCATCTTGGAATACTGATTTGAATACGTTAATATATTTCCTTCACCTTCGTATAATTTCTTTATAAACTTACAATAATTACGTAGCAATGTTACATTAACGATTTCAATATCGTGTTATCTGTGTTATTTTTGTGAAATACGTACGCATTTAAATGAATGCACTTTTTAACTCATGATGCACCAGAAGATTTAAATGCCATCTATGAACCGAGGTTAGGATTAATTTTTCTCTCTGTGGAAGTGACTTCTAGAGACAAACACGTGGGATTGGAAATAGCCAATGAGATAACCTGTAAATGAATATTTGTCCAATCATAACGTTTGATTCGTTTCTTGAGAATATGAATGAATTGTAATACCGACAATCTTTAATATTTTATTATATGGTTAAGTTAAAAATTAGGTTTTGAGGTAAATCAAGAAATTTAAAGTTTTGAAGTTGCGCGTTTGTCAGTATGTAGAAGAATATAAAGCTTTTCATTGCAAGGGATTTCTAAGTTAATGCATTCTGTATTTCATTGTTTATTTTTGCAGTTCTGTTAAGTATTTACAGACTTCTATAAATATATAAGTTCTGTGTACAAACGTTTCTGTGAAAGAAGAAAAAATGCCGTGCGAAATGATAACATTGCAACTTGGCCAATGCGGCAATCAAAGTAAGTTTTAAATAAGAAATATTTTCACTTGGTACATTAAACGTGTTTAATTGTTTTAAGAAATTTTGTGGAAGTTATTTCATGTTGAATTTATTTGTTTTAGTTGGCTTCGAATTTTGGAAGAGGCTCTGTGCAGAGCACGGTATCAGTCCTGAAGGTATTTTGGAAGATTATGCGACTGAGGGGACTGACCGAAAAGATGTCTTTTTCTATCAGTCAGACGATGAGCATTATATACCAAGAGCTGTGCTCCTCGATTTGGAACCTCGAGTTATTCATGCAATAATGAATTCCCCGTATTCAAAGGTATGTATTGTATTCTATGTGATCTTTAATTAATTAATTTGTTTTGATATTTTGAGTGATTGATAATATTACCGTTCAATAAAACATGTAGCTCTATAATCCTGAAAATATATACTTATCAAAACATGGTGGTGGAGCTGGAAATAATTGGGCATCTGGTTATCATCAAGGAGAAAAATTGCAAGAAGAGATTTTTGATATCCTAGATAGGGAAGCGGATGGCAGTGATAGTTTAGAGGTGTGTACAATACCGATAATGTTACATTAAGTAGGTAAAGTGGTACATTAAAGTTTACTTGGCAGGGTTTCGTTTTGTGCCATTCCATAGCTGGTGGGACGGGATCTGGTATGGGATCATTTATGTTAGAGTCTCTTGCAGATAGGTTTCCTAAAAAATTAATAGAGACTTACAGTGTTTTCCCAAATCAAGATGAAATAAGGTAATTATCTAGCGATAACAGATTACATTACACACTATCGGAATTAATATGTTTAACCAGTTTTTAAATAAATAGTTGGTTTACAGTGATGTAGTCGTGCAGCCCTATAATTCGTTACTGACATTGAAGCGGCTAACGCAGTGCGCAGATTGTGTCGTTGTATTGGATAATACAGCATTAAATAGAATTGCATCAGACCGATTACATATACAGAATCCCAGCTTTACGCAGATTAACAAACTCGTGTCCACTATCATGTCTGTTAGTACGACAACTCTTAGGTACAAGCTATTTTTTAATATGATAGCCAATGTAGCCAATTGGTGCGATCAGCTACCTTTACTGATATTTTTAATTCATTTTTAGGTATCCTTCATACATGAATAATGATTTGGTAGGTTTAATCGCTCCGTTGATTCCTACCCCACGGTTACATTTCTTAATGACAGGATACACACCGCTTACAACCGACCAAGAGGTAGGATAATGTATAGTTTAGAAAATAACTAATCTAAAATAGAGTCTTTAAAAACATATTTTGTTTTAAATCAGGGTGCTTCGGTGAGAAAAACATCGGTACTTGATGTAATGCGTCGTCTGTTGCAACCGAAGAACATGATGGTTTCTACTGCATTGGACAGAAATGCTGCACACTGTTACATATCTATACTGAATATAATTCAGGTACATTTTGATGTTTTAAATTTCAGTAATCTTTCTTATTTAATTGTTCTACGTTTGTCTTTTGTTAGGGAGAGGTAGACCCTACACAAGTGCACAAATCTTTGCAAAGAATTCGAGAAAGGAAATTAGCACAATTTATTCCTTGGGGACCAGCTAGCATACAAGTGGCCCTTTCAAGGAAATCTCCTTACATACAAAGCACGCACAGAGTTTCAGGACTGATGTTAGCTAATCATACAAATATATCCTCTGTAAGTAGAATTGGATTAACATTATATTGCTATACGTTAATTGGATCAATATTTGCTACATTGAATATTTTACATAGCTTTTCGATCGTGCTCTTCAACAATACGACAAGCTTCGCAAACGAGAAGCCTTTCTGGAACAGTTTCGAAAGGAGAAAATGTTTGAGGATAATCTGGATGAGTTGGACAACTCACGAGAAGTTGTGGATTACCTTGTTAAGGAATATCAAGCTGCGACAAAGTCTGACTACCTTACATGGAGTCCAAATAAAGCGGAATAAGAGAAGAAAGAAGTTAACCAAGACATCATGAATTTTGTAAAACCATTAATCTATTACACATTTTCCTACATGTTGAATTTACGATAACTTTTATGTTTCGACTAGTTAGCCGCCATGACAAATGGGAGAATCAGACAGGTACTATTTGCCAGTTATATTCCTGTTAAAACAATTATGCATTGAAAATAGATTTAGTCATGTTTTGTAACGCGCGAAAAAAGCGGAGGTAGAGTAGCAATTGTTATGAAGCCAGTATGGCCTGGTAACGAGTGTGGATGAGTGACGGTCAGAAGTTTGTTTTCATCCTGCTTTTCCGTTTCTTTACTGCTTTGATTTCCAACATTCTGGTCTTCTCTGTCATTAGTGCGCTGGAAGAAATTATTAATTATTTTTTGGATTGAAAGTTAGTTCGATTATGTAAAGATACATATAATGTTTCGTGTTCACACCTTATATTTTAAACATTCCAAATTTAAAATTGGTAATTTTTTATATTGCACTGTTAATTCCCTCTGAAGACATTCGAAGGTCTTTAACTCGACGAACCCTTCCGATGTTAATGTTGAACATGTCCGTTGAACTTGTTCTATACATGGAGAGAACGAACACAATTTTCCACCTACAATGAAACTATGTATGAAGAATGTCAGATTTTAAAAGTATCTCAATGCTTTATACACAATTAAAGGTTTCAATTAACCTGATTCTTTTAGAGTATCACAGGCATGCTTTACTGTCATCCATGGATGTGGGAGATCTAGAAATACTGCATCTGCTTTATGCCTTAGTTCGATTCCAAATCCATCTAAACATACATCTCTGTGATTGGATGTAACAAAGTCACTAATTCCGTGTCTTCTAAACTCATCCTGTGCTAGAGATACACGTTGCTCATGGAAATCAAATGTGTACAAATGCCCGGTGGGACGTATCGTACGTATCAAAGAATGCGAAAGTGAACCACTTCCGGTACCTGTAAGGAAAAATTATGTTTCACATGCTTAAAGATAAATATACATTATTACAAACCTGATTCGATTACTATGCTTCCCGGAACAATTTCCATAAGGTATATAATCATGCTTATATCGGGAGTATAAATAATCTGAGTTCTGTGTGGAAGCGTGACTGTCCATAATTCAGGAGTCGGCTGTAAAACATATGCCCAGCCTCTAGATAGCTCCACTCGTGTACCATATTTTTTCCCCAGCAACGAATATACTTTTAGGGCACCGTATGTCGTTTGAAACACATTGTCTACGAATTCGTCCTTCTTGTTCTTGATTTTCTTGGTCACTTCTAGCGTGTGCATATTATTCGGTCCCAAATACAAAATAACAATGTCATCTTCTTCTATATGTTCTTTCACTCTATTGAAACTCATTTTATAAAAATTGTATTATGAAATTCTTCCAGTGAATTCCAAAGTCCTTCTTTACTTCACCATAAATTTATAAATTAATAACCATCAATCTTGATAATCTCACGGTAGAAAAACAATTGACAATTTAATAAAACTTATATATCCGTGGCTACTTGTACATGATTTATTATCAATATTGGCAATAAGCAGAATGTTTACAAAATGAATTTCACGTATAAAATAGACACATTTTATAAAATAATGTAGTATAGAACTTGTTTTGTTGTATCATAACATTAATAAGTTTATCCAACCATTTAAAATATTGGCACGTGGTATTATTGAGCGTATAGTCAGCTTAAATATGCTTTGAAAAAATTTGAGGTTAAATTTGTTTATCGTCTCTACACTTTATTCGTTATTTTTTTTCGTAATTTCTATGGAAGTTAGTTTTTTTTTAATTGCTAATGCATCTATATTATTTCAGGGGATCGTAAATTCACTACAATTTTATTAATGATTGCTAATCACAGGTGGAGCAAATACATAGGAACATTTTCTGCTCAACAATTGGCAACTCTACTCCTGTCAAATGATCATCGTCCTCGCGTTCAGGTAGCTAGTGTTTGGTGTTTTTAGAAACTGACGTCTACGATTTTTTTAAGGTGACGATGAGCGACGATGACCGAGATATCGATATTGAGAGCGACGTAAGTTGAGCGTTAAATTATAGCCAGTATTCATTTTTTCACTCCATAACCTATAAAGCTGTTGAGCATCTTATTTACATTTGCAGGAAGGGGATGACTCTGATTCCAGGCAAAGGCATTCTAACAACACACAGTACTATTCCCAGGTATACACGGAACTTTCCGACCCTTTTTTAACACAGTATTGATCAACAATAGGATCTCCCTATAAAAATCATGTACCTGTTTGCCCGATGTTTGATGCTCTTATTTCTATTACATGGAAACTTAGAATGCGTGTGAACATGTAAATAGAAGTATATTTTAAGTCTTAGAACCCTGTGTCTTTTGAATTTTTAGAGTAAGTTTATTATACATGTAATGCGTGCACATGCCTCATTAATGTTTATGTTCACATTGTCTTATATAGGCCGAGAAGCGTGCCCACCATAATGCTTTGGAACGTAAACGAAGGGATCACATTAAAGATAGTTTCTCGAGTCTTCGAGATTCTGTACCTGCTCTCCAAGGAGAGAAAGTTGCCAGCCGAGCTCAAATCCTTAAAAAGGCTGCCGAGTATATACAACATATGCGACGCAAGAATTCCTCTCATCAGCAGGACATTGATGACTTGAAGAGACAAAATAGTTTACTGGAGTCCCAGAGTAAGTATCTTTAATCCAATCATAATTAACCTTAGGGTCATAGAATTATTTGTAACATTAACATTATTACCATTAACGTAACGCTTTTTCAATCAAGTTCGAACTCTCGAGAAAGCTAAAATTACGGGAAACTTTGCGGCTGAATCTTGCGAAGTGTCCAAGTCAGATTCAGTTGAGCTGAATGGCTATAATGATTCAGAGTCTGAATCTTCTGACAGCGAGAGTGGTAGAGCCATTCGTCACTCGAAGAAGCTAAAGGTGGCTGGACTTCACCACTGATGAATGCTCGACATACCTGCTCTACTATAATCACCTTAAAACTTTATTTTGATAAAACAATCAACTTGTTGTAAGTAATATAAATGTACCACGTAGATTTATCTTGTAAGATAGATACTTATTTAAATAAACGATAATTAGTTTTGTTTGTACTACATCTGTTACAAAGAAATCATTGGAACTTTATGAGGTGATGTCTCCTAAGGGAAACACTTTGGTAATTTATGCTTTCTTAAATCAATGTGAAAATCAGAGCATGGGTGTAAAAAAAATTTAAGCGGCACAATGCACAGCCAACTTTGCATATATTATGTAGAAAATGTAACAGTAGTACAATTTCAAGCATTAGACAACAAATGATGCAGAAATATACAATGTTTCTAGATAAAAATTGACATTCAATTGTAAAGAATAAAGGGTATGTAAATAAGTTTTTAGAAAATAATAAATCATGAATGGTTTTGTTACAACATCAGAATATTAACCTAACCCTTGTCCTTTCTTTGCAAGAACAAGTTACACCGATCACTTTTATACTTTTAAGTTACTTTTACCTATTAGCGTTATCAATAATATTTACTAGCTTTATATTGCAAAAATAGGACTTTTATATTACATAAAGTTGCATGCAAATAATTCTTTCGAATAATTTTAAGAGAACGTTGATTATTAACCGTATTGATATATACAGGTGGTTCGGTACCCCCAATAGGAGTCATGTCACCGCTGAAGATTTTAATAGCATGGTTTAGTGTAATCTTCTCTGCGGTTAAATCAATGTGATAAACAGGACGGATATGTTGCACCTTCCTCGGGATTGAAATCATGTAAGTTACTTTATCCGAGTATGCGAATAAAACATCTAGAGCATCGGTTATCGTCGGGTACTTCCCAAGTTTTGTAGTGACCTCGTTTCGCCAATTCTCGGGTTGAAACTGTGACTGAAGTTGTACTTGATGAAACCAATGCAGGTAGCAATAACCCGGCTCTTCCAGCTCGGTAATGAGGTTACCATGTCGTGTAGGCATTTTGGGATGTCTTAAACATGTCAAAATTAATTTTAAACGGTACGTTATTTACCTTCCGCAGAACTCATATTTAAATGATCCCACATAATAATTGGAATAATAAAAATTAAGTTTTAATAGATGAAAAGCAAAGATAGTCTTAGAATATTTATTATGCAATACTAAAATGCGATTATGACAACAATTGCGAATGGTGTCAAATAATGATCACATAACACGAAGTTATCCTTTTCAATTAAAAAAAAATCGCAATCATCCGTATGCACATTATCGATAGAAAATCTGTTTCCGTACTTATCACGAATCAAAGTCACATTCAAATTATTAATGGTACCATACCAATTCGTTTCAGGGTTACCACCAAAGAGAACGGGGACAGTTGCGGCTCGCACCACGTTGTTTCAATTTTAGCGACACGAATGCCTCTTCTCTGAAACCGATGCGTTATTTTAGGAATTTTATAAAGACGCATAGCATTCCTGAAATAATGCATTCGCTTCCCCTAGAAAGGCGCTTGCATCGTTAGGAGAGCGCTCACTTCTCGCACTTTCATATAAAATCAGCCCTGGTAGAGTCAAATGAATTGGCCACGTCTCTATCGTACTCGAGATCCGGGATTTATTGGGTCCAACCTAGTAACAGAGTAACTCATCTCTGCTAGTAACTCCGAATTTCAGTGTCGACCGAGACGCTTTACATTGCACTGGTTGGTAGAACTTCGATCTTCGCTACGGTTAGACTGAATTATTAATTATTACGTCATATTAGTGAAGGGGCAGATCCCGATTACTGCGGTTGACAGTACGGCAAAGATGGCTGACATCAAAGAACCTCCGCCGCTTTTCGATAACACGGAATCTACAAAAATCGACGTGGATGACGACGATGACGATCTCTTCGCCTCCGCTATTCAGGTTTCTTCCGATCTTTTTAGTTATTCGTTAGCGGAATTTCCATAAGAACGCCAAACTCAGATGTCTTTTGAAGATTCTATGCGATCACTTTTGTTTGCAATTAACAATACCTGTTTCTTGGCTAGCAAATAATACATTTGAGACGTGCTCGATGATTGTTAACAAAATCTTTACTAGCGGGTGATGATTACAGGGCTCCATGGCTTACCAGGTGGATTTCTTATAATGTCTCAAAGACTTTATATGGTCAAATGTCTTAGAACTTTAATCAATAAACAGCAATTCGGTTACTTTGATTGCTTAATTATACTTTATCGATCAAGGGGATAAGCGAACCGTTCAAGTTCTTAATTCTATCACACGACTATTTAACCGTTCAAATATATGCCTTTAAAAAAGAAGTAAATATAAAATACGTTCCAGGAGCCAAGTCAGACAAACGAAAACGCTCCCTATAATGGATTGAGCACGATTCAAACAGATTTACCAAAACTTTCATTACGGGATGCAACGGAAAATTCATTCTCCAATGTATCTAGCCCAATACCGGGACCACTGAGCCCTGCTTTAGGTTTAATGGGAAGTGAAATTGGGGATTTGCATGACGTTCCCATAAATGATAATTCCGATGCTCCTTTGATTGGTGCTCTACAGTCACATTCCTTAAACGAGGTACTTTGCTTTTAATTTCAAACATGAATTATTGATTAAATGATCATTAAGCAACGGTGTGCAATTTAATAATTTATACATTTTAGGTTCAAACAGACTCTTCCGATCTGTTTCTTAAAATTACAATAACTTCCCCACAAAAGATAGGGGAAGGCATCGGAGCATATGTTTCATATAGAGTTGAAACGAAGACAAACATGCCAATATTTAAAAAGAGAAATTTCAGTGTTATCAGACGCTTCAGTGATTTCCTTGGCCTCCATGACAAGCTAACGGACAAGTATCTCAGAAAGGGCAGAATTATTCCTCCAGCACCAGAAAAAAGTGTTATAGGTATTTACTGAGTTTGGTAATTTCTATTAAGAGTTTGTATACATAATTCTTAACATTCTCTACTTGTGTAGGGACAACTAAGATTAAAATGTCAGGAGATAAAAGTCAAGAACAAAGTGCCAGTTCCACTGAGTTTATTGAAAGACGCAGAGCAGCTTTGGAACGATACTTGAACAGAACAGCCATGCATCCTGTTCTCAGCGTTGATCCAGATTTCAGAGAATTCCTAGAAGCTGGTAAATTTTTCTCCGTTATTAAGACTGTCAACTTAAATGTTTGGTCTAAAAATGTACTATATCTTTTAAACAGATATGGAGCTGCCCAAAGCTACGAATACATCTGCTTTAAGTGGTGCTGGAGTTATGAGGTTGTTTAATAAAGTCGGCGAAACAGTAAATAAAATCACATATAAGATGGACGAAAGTGATTCGGTAAGAAATGACATTTTCTCGTATTTGGCCAACCATATGAAATTCTACTGCATGTATTAGTGACGAAGGTTTGTGATATGGTTTTCTGTTGCTTGCATTAGGAGGGTAAGGTACGTTCATTACAAGTCATCGATGTTGTAAGAGTATAAAGTTATATACGCGCGTTTCGATGGTTACATCTCGATGCATAGAGTAAAAACAGGAGTTATAAATTATTTCTATGATTTCCACTGTTCCTTATCACTCATTATTAATTAAAAAAATGTATAAATTTTTTCAATTTGATGGCAATGAAACGTTATTGAATTTTGGGTGGTTATTTATAAATTATTATGCTAAAGTTTTGTGAAAACAGTGCTACGATATAACAATATATATATAATAAAGAATTATCGTTTGTACGCCAAACAAAAGATATAACCGTTTCACGTTAATAAAATTCATTTCATTTTAACTACAAATACATTATTCATTGTACGTGCTTGTTTTTTGAAGCTGCAATTAGAGATTAGTTAACGTACTTAAAAGATGCCCTGTGACGTTATGATTTTCAGTGGTTCGAGGAAAAAACATCTCAAATAGATTCCCTCGATACCCAGCTAAAAGCTCTACACTCTGCTGTTGAAACTCTGACTAATCAAAGGAGAGAATTGGCGAATTGCACCGGTGCAACAGCAAGATCCATCGCGGTTCTTGGTCATGGTGAACCAGGTGCTTCTCTCGGAAGAGCTTTGGCTCAGCTAGCCGATACATTGGAAAAAATAGAAGTTGTACGAAAGGCTCAAGCAAATAGCGATCTTTATCAATTTGGAGAAATGTTAAGGGAATACGTAGCTCTTATCGGAGCCATCAAAGTAAGAAGAAATTTCTTTATCATAATTTTCGCAAGATTAAGAATAATCAGATAACTTTAAAATCACATTGATTGTAATTTTTTTAGGACGTGTTTCACGAACGCGTGAAGGTATTCCAAAATTGGCAGCACGCGCAAATGATGTTGAATAAAAAGCGCGAGCAGAAAGCCAGAATGGAACAATCGGGGCGTACAGACAAGACAAGTCAGGCTGCGACGGAAGTCATAGAGTGGGAAGCAAAAGTAGAAAGAGGCCAGGAAGAATTCGATAACGTTTCAAAAATGATTAAAAAGGAGGTCGAGGCCTTTGAGCTAGTCAGAGTAGAGGACTTTAAAAAGCAGCTAACCGAATACTTGGAAGCAATGCTGCAGCATCAGAATCAATTGATTAAGCACTGGGAAAGTTTCTTACCAGAGGCCCGTGCAGTTGCGTGAACTTCCCGCGGTTAAGTAAAAACGGTAACATTTAAAAAATATATGGCACATGCTAACTCAGATTATATTAAGGGCCCAGTAAAGCGAGGCAAAGTCTTGAACTACTTTTCATCGATGACTGATTTGGCTTTACTGAATCCTTAAATTTCTGGATGTGATTAGGAGTGCACACAACAATATTGCGTAGCAGTTTCAGTAAGGAGAAACCGAAGACGACCTGCAACATTATACAACTCAACCTAATTTGGGATACCGTATTCATGTTAAACGGTTAGACGTACAATGGATATACTATAAACATTTTTTACCCACTGTAACAAGATGTTCATACGAGTACAACCCAATTGCCCCGTATAAGCGGGATATAAGATGCAACTGGGGAGATGATGTTTCACAAATGCTTTGCCTAAAGCGAGGCACTTCTTTTTTACGTTTGTACATCTCATTATTGGCAATGTTAAGTTCATCGGGTAGTTTCGAGCATAATATGTTCATAAGCAATCTATTAAAATTCTTAGGTAACAAGTAATATATGGATATATATGTGCATGTTTAATGTATTCTGTTTCATTTCAAATATGTATACATATTGATACTGTTTATTAGGAAATGTTATGCGACAATAAAATTAATTGAAGTTATGTAAAATATATAACTATAATCTAAATTTTGCGTATGGCATAATTTTACTTTCAATCAGATTTCGCGAAATTTGAATTTATTTCTTCTAAGCGCCGCGATACGGTAAAGTTCCATAATCGAGCGCTGAGAGATAAGGGAGATGAGTTGCATCCCTAACTTGGACCGCCATTAGGGGCAAGTGTGTTAGCTGCCTGCATTGTCCACCGAGGACAGCACAGACCACGATCGCGAGAGACCCTGCCCGTGAGTAATCTCTGGCAATCTCCCAACTCATCGCTGATACAAGGTCGGATTACTTGAAGAATTTAAATCCTGTAAATCACTGTAAATTACTTCTGATTTTACAGAACATACAGAAACGTCGTGCGAACAAGTAATTATGAATTATGCCGGTCTAGTGTCTGCATTTTCAAGGTAACCCTGAAATAATTGTTACCTGTAATTTATCACTACTTTAAATGGATTTTTCTACATTTCAGGGCTGAATTATTAAACTTGATATTATTTCAGTGCGTTTACATTTAAGCTCAAAGGGTGTGTTTTGTAGGTTATCGATGTATCCTTGGATGACGAGGACAAGAAACATCTCGATAGGACTGCCCGCATACTTTAGAGTAACAGGAGCCCTTCTGTGAGTGTTCCCGAAGCAATTTGGAATTTACTACAATTTCATGACGTTGCGATAAGTACTTATTCGTCGTCTTTAGTGCCGAGCCAATGAAGAGAAAAAAGAAAATGGATCCAGCCATTATTAGACAAAGAGAGGAAAGAAAAAAAAAGAAGCTAGAGAAACAAATTCGGCGATTGGAAAAAAATGTCAAACAATTGAAACCAATTATGGAATTGGAAGTTCCCATAAAGCTTATCGATGAAAGACAGTAAGTTACTTTATTATGTTGTAGAGACAGGAAATGCAACGTTATCTCTTGAAAATATTCATAAACATCTGTCTCTGAAACGTTCAATTATGTATATTGTGTATTAATATTTCAGACAACGATTAAGAAAATTACCGCCACCTTCGAAAGAGATGCTTGAAAATCGAGTTTTCCTTCAAAAAGAATGGACTAGATATAAATTTAAGGAAGCACTGGAAAACATGCAGATGCTCGATAATATGATCTATTCTCAACAAAGGGCACTGGATGAGCTTAAAGCTGAATCCGAAGAGCTTTACTTAGAGGCAATACAGGTAAATTCTAATTGAATAATCTTATGAAACGTTACTTTAATATATTAATTTTACAGGTCGATTTAAGTCTGATACCATACTCTGCAAATGGTCCAGTAACAACACCACCGATAAAGAATTTTGATTCCCCTGATGGCGATTACATCGACGTCACACAAAAGTTCGATGGAGAAAGTTAGCTTCTCGTGTAAATTATGTAAGAAGTTATTCTAATAACGGCTCTGTGAGTTAGTATATTTTGCCCTGCAGTCCTTTTATTCCATGAAAGATGTTTTACCCACTTCTCTCCACTCGATAACTGATTAGGATTCGCTTGAAAACGATGTTTAAAAATGTGCTACTGAGAATGAACTGAATGACTAGTTCTTAATTGTTTTCATTAATCACGTAAAAAATGGATCCTGGCAATATCATACAAATATTTATATCATTCACAAGCACATGAAAAATGTACCAGTCATACAGCGAAAATAGCAGCGGAACTATGTTCATAAGACACACCCTATGTCATTTACAACGTCTAATGCTGAGAAAGGTGCACAAGTTCCCGGTGTGTTTAAAATAAATTCCCGTATTAAGCAAAGAGGTGTGTTTTTCAGGGTAGTATGCCAAAAAATTAACAGAACATAGATTAGAACGAGTAATACATCGGATAATTACTTGAACTCACATATGTTCTGTACACTAAGGATTGCGTATCACAGTAACTTAAATCTATAGGAATACATGCATTCAACGGCGACGAATTAAAGCCGATCATGACAACACACTTTTTCAGAACCGATACCGAAAGAGATACAGCAAAGTTTCATTGATTTCGAAATGCGTATTCCAAGAAACGCACGAGTGCATAATCCGAATGATTCATTAATTAATCCTCGGAATGCAATAATTTAGGAGTCGTTTCCCGACTCCAGAGGTCGCGCGTTTCATCGATAACGAAACGTTCATACTCCCTAACATCCATCATAGGGAGTTGATCATTTTTCTGTAATCGCACTTCGATGTGCATTTCCAAAGAGATGCAGCTTTGCGGACGCCCGTTCCGAAGAACCTGAGATTTCTTTCCTCGGTACCCCGAGAAAAAAAATTTCTTTCATTCAAATATGCATTGCTGCAACAAAATCCTATGATCAAATACGTTCAAAGAAGTGTCAGAATGAGTAAACAAAATTTGTTTAATCAACGAAATAATTTGATGTCAACAATATATATTTGTTTCGATCAACCAATTTTTCTTCTCGGGGTATAAGTGTCAAGACGATGCGGCCATTTAGCGACACCCCAGTTTAGTCGAACTTCAATTCCCTTTTGCACATGGGGCACATGTCGCTGGTCTTGAGACACTGTCTCAAACAGTCGGCATGGAAGAGATGGTGACAAGGCGTCACTCGAGCCTTCGTCATGGCATAGAGGCAGACGGCGCAGACGTCGTCGAACTTCTCGATCTCCTCGCCGGTCGCTTTTCTATAGCGACTAAGAATTTCGCGTTCCTTTTTAAGGGCCGCTCCGGAGTCTCGAACGAGGTCTTTCCCCCTGAGGAAGACGTTCAGGTAGATCGCTATTACGAGGAACTTCCACGGCGCCGTTGGCAGAAGGATCAAGGAGAAGAGGGCCGAAGAAGCGATCGTGAAGCACCTCAGGATCACGGGGGCGTACAAACTCTCGAGGTTCTCCAGAACTTCCAGCTGCATAAAGTTCAGAATCGCTGGGAACATGTCGACGAACACCTTCTCCGTCGCCGCGTAATAGAGCCAGGTGATCGTGGTGTAAAAAGCCGATGGTCTGTGAAAAAAAAAAGAAACCTCAACACGTTACCAAGTCGTTCGGCCTTGTCCCATGAATTTGAGCTAGACCCTTTAAACGTAAGAAATTTGATTAAACCTCCCGGGACAGCCCAAGGTAATGAAATCTTTTTGCCGAGGTACGTAATAAAAGTACCTATATCCCGCTTATTTTGGCAGGGACGAGAGAGCTTACTTGTAATTTTGGAGGCCTTGCTCCAGGCCGAAGACCAGCAACATGAAAGTTAGGGTGACGACGAAAGTGACCGCTTTGGTCCATTCGAGGACGATCTTCGTGGTGGACATCGCGAGATGTTTGATCTGCGATCTCTCGGTCAGGGTCACGTAAGGGGACCAGTCTTCCTTCTCGATGAGCTCCTTGATGTAGCTGACGCAGTAGGCTATCACGTTGTAAAACATGAGCGTGTAGAGGCAGGTCATTCTCTGCTGGGGAACCAGCACTTTGTCGGCCAGGGTCAGGAAGACGATTTGGTTCGCCATGATGGAGACGTTCCTCATCTTCAGAATGAGATTCTCGGCGCGGTCCACGGGCGCGTAGAGTCTCTTCAAGAAGCTCCTCAGGGGTTTCCACGCCGTCTTCGCGCCGTCTAAAAATCAGGTTTCTCGCATGAGGGTTTCAACGGGATGACAATAGAATAAATAATCGCGAATAATCGGGACTCAGCGGGGTCTTTAATTGCGATTGTAGAATTAAGAAGTATCGATTCCTCGGAGGAAGAACCGTAATCTAAGTGCCGGCCTTCGAGCACTGGCCATTAAACGAGGAAAAAGAGAAGCGGCCAGTTGCGGCTGCTTTAAATTTTCCGAGGCCCGATAAACAGCCTCGAGTGGCCGTAACTCGACTGGACTTTTGCTCGAAAAGAAGTTTCGGCTCCGAAGGCTTCGCTGGAGTAGACTAAATACATATCGCGATTATGCCGAGATCCCCAAGAACCCTGCAACAATAGTTGACCCTTAACTCTAGCCGGCCTATCTGTCGGTGTTAACTACCACGAAACGCGGATTAAACTCTCGTTTCCTTCCTCGGCGCGACTTGATTATTATTTTTACGCCTATTATCGACTAGGAATAATTAACATTTAACTGTTCCCATCGCTTTGGCATCCGATCTTTTTCGGTTCCCGAAGAAAACCGACCGAAGCACTCTCAGAAATATCGGCGAATCGGCGCCCCAATAATACCCTGGGCGACTCTCGATACGACCGAGTCCAAACTGCAAGTGGCCAGAGAACTTGAAATTCATTTTCAGGGAATGTTGCAATTTGCGATAATCAAGGTTAATTAGAGCCTTAAGTCGGTTATTTTTATGATATCCAGTGTAACGTTTAAAGTAAAGTACAATCTCGTGCCGGCTCGATAAAGAGTATAATTGAAAGTGTCAAAGTAGAAGGAAATATTTCCGAAAGCCAATGATTTTTTTTTTCATGGCCACGATGATCGTCTTAAGAAGAAGTGATCATGTAATAATTTATCTAACTACCCTATATCCTGGGATTTTGCAAAGGACCGAAAGCTGCATCGAGGACGTAAGTGCTGTGAAGTGATCCGGGGGAAAAGTATCGCGGTGACAAGTGCTTAGATTAGTATGAAATGAGAGTCGCCCTTGACCTTATCCGGACCATTTTCTTTTCGCATATCATTATCAACCCGTGAATATCATTAGCGATATCGATCATTGGGCGGACAAAAAAATAATAATATAAGATGACTCGATATCTCTTCTCGAGGTGTTACGAAAGAATTATGCTACATACATCAAAACGTCAACGAAGGTCTTGAAACTCGTGAAATTTAATTTTTCGAAAAGTATTATAAATATATGACACCCTAAATGACTATATCATAAGATCCTAAACCTATAAAAAGGCAGCAGGGGTTGCGCCTCGTCTTCAAGGTCTCGCGGTAAAGAACAAACGGAAGAGCGAAAACCGGAACAGGACAGCTTCCGGTAGAAGGCTCGCAAGGAAACCGGAAGAGAAAGGAGGCCATCGCGATATCACCCAGAGGGAAGAGCAAGAGGGGATCCTCGATCACTCGAAATCGTCCTTAGAGGATCAATCGAGGCTCCCTCCCTGATCTAAATGCGCGCCACCGGAACGCCGTTTTACGATAATGCGGCAACTTTGTTGCCGAGGTGCATGCCGCTTTAGTGCCGTCAATTGGGGATAATTAAATCGATGTGCCGACGGGATCGTCTTCGTTTTTCGTAACGAACGATCATTTGCATATTAATGGATGTCAGTCAGGAGTACTCGGACAAACAAGACAAGACGAAGCTCGACGGACAGGTGGGTAGAAGGGGCGAGACATATTCGCATGGCAACCACCGCAAGCGCGATCCTTCGAGGCTCGTGATCGGCTATGGGGTATAAAATCACCCGTCGATGCCATCCCGGGCACACTTTCGGTCCAGGACTCCTTCGAAGGTCGCGAATCAGCGGAAGTTCTCCGGGAATCTCTCCCGTTTCGAGTTTGAGCCTTCGCCGCCCGACCCAGGACTTCCGCGACCAGCCAGGACCCATTGTCGGGTGAGTCCCTCGATTATCCCGGAGAGATCCTAAAAGCTAGGATTTTCAAGAAACCGGAAGCACTGGCAACTCCTGAAAGCCCCCACAGATCCTCGAAAGAGAATCGGAAAGGACCTCGATAAGGGTCCAACGTCCCGAATTAGCGATTTCCCGGGGTTTAACGAGCGGTAATCAAAGTATGGGCATACTTATTGTTAGTCTCTACACGTGCTCGATACGAAAGATAATTTCCTCGGCTGCAACCGTTCGTGCCATTAATCTCCGTCTTTGAGATAAGAGGTTCTCTTTTACAAAAGAGAATATCTATTTTCTAATTCGGTCCTCCAATTCAGAAATAGTGAAAAAAATTTCTTGTTATGATCGGGAATTTCTTTTTCTACGGACACGTGGAGGAGTACGAATAAACTAGTGGTTAAATCCTAGACACGTCGCGGACGCACACCTAAACCGACCGTAGAGGTACGATAGGGATAAGGCGTGAACTCGATGTCAATATACTTTTTAACAATCCCCCCAACGTGACACGGGTCACGGTTCCTCGGAGATAAATCCGGCAAGGTTCATCGAGGTCTCCGTTCGATAGGCGTACACGCGAACCGCTTTCGGAAGAGAACCTCCACGTGCCCTGGTTACATCTGTTAATCTCGACTAACGTCCGCAAGGTCGAGCTCGACCATCCATAAATTAAGAATCGAGATGAAGAAGAAATATCGGCGCAATCGTCAATTTGTTACGTTATTTTGGATCGCATATTTCTTTGGTTCGATGACAATTTTTTCTCAAGGTAGCGATTTGTCGTGGCCACCGCGAACTTGGTTCGCGAAAAAGGTCGATTGTCTTTCACTCACCTTTCGCAGCTTCTACCAGAGTCTTAAGGGCTGATACGGGGTATCTGTAGTTGGCACTGAGAATCACCGGCAAGACCAGGACGGAATATAAAGCCGGTGCCGGGGACGGAAGAAGTCGAAGAGGGCCTCGTGGGCAATACGGCAGCAACAGGACGGCACTCAGCAGACACACGCTCTGGGCCGTTCTTTCCTTGTCCACTCCTACGGAATTCGCTCTGACGCGTCCTCTCACTCTCGTTATCATGCCCATCTTCTTCCCTCCGACTGACTTCCTGAAGGTGTTCAAATTACGTTTTCAAATCTATCCTATCTCGACAAATTGATTGGTCGCTTCTTATCGTCACGCTCTCGGTTCATACTACGCGAGGGGTCTCTAGGGAAGTCTTAAGAAATGCGAGAACTCCGATTTTCTGGGAGGTCGTCGGTTTTGGGGATCACCTCGATGCCGCAAACACGCGTCTAACGTTTCAAAGCCCGAGGGACGTTTTTACACGCCTAGAATACGTTTCCCCGGGTCAACAGAATCTCCGGATAGGAAAACAAACGACGTCGATCCGACGACGCGTCTTCGCGCCCACCGAAATCGTTTTCGCCTTTGCTTCGCGAGGGAAGTACTAAAACGTTGATTACTTCCCGGCTTGTATTCCGGTCGGGAAGGTCAAGACCGCGGCTAATGTCGGCGTTTCTTTATTTCACATCCGCGGGAACGAAAGTCGGCTTGGTCGTCGTAAACATCACGAGCGGGCCTGCGATCCTATATCTAGGATACGTTGCTTCTATATCGGTCCGGCGATAATATTTTTGGCCACGTCGCCTTGGTTTTGGCGCCGGGCATCGATGTAAACAACCTTTGTACGCGAGAGCCGCGGAAAACATCGAATAAATAATAAAGAACGAAGCGTAAAAAATAAAGAGCTCCCGCCGCCATGACAGTGAGACACGGGGGTCGCGGCGACGCGGCGCGGGCTTTTCCATTTTATATCTCGACACTCCATCGAGAAACGGCTGCGAAGTGAAAATATACGCGAGATCGATGGGCAATACTTGTCAAGGGGATTTTTCACGCGCAGTTTCGCGGGCAAACAAGTCCAAGAAACTGATTGGCAACCAGTGGACTCCGAGTTTTCCGCGTAAACAAGAATCGAGAGGTCTCGTAGAGACAATTTTAAGAATTCTCCTGTCTCGTTTTCGTGCATCAAGGAATAACCACATTTTTAGGGCGAATTTCGGAGTTTCGTCCATATTCATACTAACCACGAAGTAGTATCGGGACGGGATTTTTAAAATAAGGTGACCCGGTTAACCGATCAGCTGTTTTTGACAAGTATACTCGTCATGAAGGTACACTTTTCAAAGAGGTCGCAACAGCTGACTGGTTAATGGATAAAAAATTCCCACTTGGATGACAGTCCCATGAAAATTGCTAGAATCAACGTGAGATATTTTTTTAAATTCCGTCTCGCGTTATTTATCGAAGATTGGGGGTGATTACCTCTTTTTAGAGTCGATGGCGGATCGATCGCTTCCTTCGGTTTCCCCTTTTGCGTAACTTTGTCACTCTCGTTCTGCCTTTCTTCTGAATTTTCTCGGTCTCCCAGCACGAGGAACTCGCGTCCGAAACGGTTGGGACCTGGTGCGACACTGAAATCGTGGCTTGCTAGAGAGAAAGCGTCGTTCGCAGGCCAGCTACGCAAATCTTCAGCTATTCTTAGAAACCCGAGGCGCGATGCTCCTGGATGCTCGCGAAAAGCTTGTTTTGCGTTTTCTCGGAGCCACGTGACGAGCAGGAAATACGCGACACATCCTGCTGAGAGGCGTTTCATTCACTTCCTCTCCCCCTCAATGGGACTCCAAAAGCCGTGCCAAAGAATGAGACGATCGTCCCCTTTTCTTTAGAGCGTGGGTCATCGTTTTTCGCCGGAACTCGGTCATCGGATCTATGTCTTACTCCGGTTATATTTAAATGGATTCAATGAAGGCAGGCTCGAATCACAGCCGCGTACTTCGCCGTGCTCGAAGTAATGCGTAGTTTGGTTATTGCGGAGTAAAGCTTCGTTTCGGAGTAAAAGATGCTCTGCGAGGAATTTATCTCGGTCTTGCAAGAGTGCAAAATGTGCAAAAGGTGCACCAGACCCAACTCGTTCGTCTCCAGGGAGAAACGATGCTTCTTATCGTCCCTCTTCGGAGACCGTAGCTCGGAGGGAGATTTCCGATATTGTGTTTCGATCACAGTCACGAGAATTTTCCTGTTTTCTACGTTGGAAAAGCTGGGTGCCTCTCTTCTCTGCTTCCGTTTTCGTATATCTCTCTCTTTTTTTTTCTCTCCCGCAGAAGATACGCCTTCCACGGAGTCGCGTTTAACTCCGAGGACACGCAGCACCGGCTGGACTTTGGGCTTGTTTTTCGATTGATTTCTAGTGTTCGTCTCAGGAGACACTAACTCCGGCTTTTGCGACATCTTTGTTTTCATGTACCGCCGAAATCGTCGCCAATTCGAGCCGCGTATCTCCGCGAGCACGAGATTCTCGTCCGTGAGAGTAAACTAGTACAAAATAATTCCGAAAGCATTAAGGAAAATTGAAAGCGTCCTCCGACATCGTCCGAACCCTTTTGAAATAATTAATAACTCCTTCTGTCCGCCAAATTCGCCGGGAAAAATTCGTCAAAATATTTTAGCTCATTTCTGTGGGCATTGTCCTCCACCCCGGGAATTAATTATCGTTGCAGACAATGGAGTTCCTTAATGGAACGACAGGTTTATGAATGACCGACAAGCCTTTCAGCTGCGACACGTTCCTCTCCTTTGACCCCTTCCGTTTTTAACGCGCGGTGAAATCGTCGTCGGAGTCGTGCTAAAACAAATCGAAAATGTTTACGGTTTTCGCTCAGTCTTCTCTTCCATGGTTACTATTTCTCCCTTCGGTTCATAATCCATTCGAGGGTTTACGATCAAACGTAAGCCGAATACCGAAGCCTGCAAGACGAAACCAACGACTCGTCGACGACGTTCGACTTCGCTTTCGTTACTTTCGTATACCTCTTGTAACACCGAGAATAACCGCATCCGAATAAAATGCACAAGAAATATCAGCAATTCCTGGGAGAAAATGACAAATTATCTCTCAGAAAGATTTCAAACGACGCGTAAGAATTTTTTTTCACGCGCTATTTATAAATTCGAGCGACATCGTTTCTCTAATCTCGAGTTTGCGAAAGTGAGAAGTTTCAATTTAGAGGATAATCCTTACGGGTCGCATTTAAGGTCATTCTATATATATCAAAACGTCGAAATATTTATAAAACTTTTCTCCAAACTGAGTGCGCCGAATAATTTTAAACTTTAACACGTGATTACGGAGGTTCTAATTCGGTGATATGATTCCTCCTCTACATCAGAGTTCTCCGCGATGGAAGGGTTAAATCATTGCAACTTTGTTATCTACTCTCTCGAGTTGCATCCCTCGAATACGCAGTTCTTTTTGAGCATCGGAGGGAAGCGCTGGGTCGAATCGTTACCAATATTTGACGTTTATGTAATCGCCTCCAGCCACGTGCGGATCCGTGTCAATCGTTCGGTAAACGCGGATAAGTCGAGAGATAAGTGGCTCGACTGGAAGCGGTTAATCGAATTATGTTTGTCTCTGTTTTGGTGATTAGCCGGTCGGAGGCGCCTTATAAAGCGACAATGAAAATAAACGCTTAATTAGTGCATCGATCGTAGCTGGCCACCCATCGACGTCGATCTCTCTCGGTTTTGTTACGCGAATCATTTCCGGGGGAATCGCATCCTTTGAGAATTTCGAAAGACACGGATTCGATCGGATGGGACGGAAATCATTTTGACTGGGGTAATTCTTAATATTCGGCAAATAGGTACCTTCACGACTCGAGAGGGAAACTCGAAGCACGAGTCTTGAACTCGGAAATTGTTTGTCGAAGTGACTCGCGACACTCCAGGTTATCGCGGCTCTCTAAATACTCGGCGCCAGTTTTTTTCTTCTTTTTCTCGAAAAGCAAGTAATCGTCGCCGATCGGCTCGGTGACCCAGGGCACGCAGAAATCACGAGCACGCCGATTCGTAAATATAGGACGCCCGCCATTCCACCGGATTCAACCCGACCGAGATAAAGTAGCAGACTGACTGTCTAACGAGGCTCAAATCGTTCTTCCCGTGTTTATCAGCCGACTCGTGGGGGCTCCCCCAAATTCAAATTTGGAACAAGAAGCTCTAAAAAAAAATGTTAAAATCCAAGGGAGTCGCGGAGAAGGCGAAATGTCGAAAGTTGCGAAGAGCCGAAGCTTCGGGGGCAGAAACTGGTGAAATTTTCAGCTTGGTCTCGAGATTACGACCACGTGGTTCCACGTTAGGCCGGAGGTACTAAAACGACACCGTGGAAATTTGCGACAATGGCGGCCTCAACTCTTCTGGGAACGATAAACCCTTGGTAGTCTTTGCCCCGGAGTGCGAGAACTCATTAACCGTTCGCAGAGTGGGGACTAGCCTCGAGATGGTGAACACCGTTTTGGTCCATTCGGCGGTAGTCCGGTATTCGATCGAGAGCTGATCGCTTCCGAAGCCATCGCGGTATTTTCGGACATCGAGAACAGTGTTTTCGAGATCTCGATCCGGGACCGAATCCGAGGACCCTCCTCCCGACGTCCATGGACGTCCCCAGGGCTTCCCTCGACATTTGCCGAACGAGAAGCCCCTGGGATCTCCGAGTCCTCCGATAGCGTGAGTATCTCCCACGAATTGGAATTTTCCCAATCGAATGAGTCGAAGATCTCCAAGGGGGACTTCCGACTAAAGAAACTCGCAACGTCTAGGATCAAACAGAAAGCCTAACGAGTGGGTACCGAGGGGAGATTTGTGAATCCGGCACTGGGTACAGTGTTTACATATTTATGCGAATTTAGGACGACGCGAAAGTAGTTCCAGCTCAATCGGAATAAATCGTATTATCGGTTCAAAATCGAGACCTTCGATTCGATACCCGAACTGGGGTTGATATAAAACTAAATAAATTTACCATAAATCTCAATCCCCGTCGTTGGGTAAAGAGTGAAGTGCGATGATCCGGTTTGAAGTGCAGAACGAGATAATCGCTGCAGACTGGCACGCTTTGTTATTCGTTACGTCCCGGCACATCAATCGAGGAGTAAACAGATGAATCCGTAGTAAACTGAGGAAAACTCTGGGAAAGCGTTGTCCGGGTCGGGAAAATTTTCGGATCCCGAGAGACCTCAACGGAGAAAATCGCAAGATAATGTTCAGGACGACAGTCGAGATTCTATTCTCCAGTCGATGATAGTTTCGGTAATAATGGAAATTAGTTGTAACAATTACTTAATCCCAAAGTCAATCCGTCAAAATGTCTATAAAAATTTTCGCGAAACTGGGCGCGCCGAATAATGATTTTGCTTGCAGATTCGCTGAACGAGATGCAGGCCATAGTGACCGTTTACGTGCTCGCCCTGATCGCCGGGAATATTCTGTAAGTGCGTAACGAATTACTATAAAACGCCCTTGTGAATAATTTCTAAAGATTAAATGACATTTCGTCGTAGCGATGCATATCTCTTCGAGTCAATCGACTTATTTTCTCAGGGTAGAGGCAATACAATAATAATCGTTGTCTCATCTATCGAACAGGTGTTCCGCTCATCCTGCACGAAGACCAGTGTGCGAGGGTTGCGGCGACGAGTGCGACAAATGCGAATTCGGCGTTACCAAGTCCGCCCTCTGCGGCATCTCGGAATGTCGGAAGGTGAGCTCCAAGGGCTTTAACTGAAAAGGGTTGTGATTTTTATTCGATTAAATTGACGTATCTTATCGAACGCGAAGACATTTCGCAGACAACGCGAGATCAAGCTAAACGTGAACGAGTGCCCACGTGGTTGGCGACGAGAGAGAAGCTAAGAGTAGCTCTCTTCTTTCCGACACCTTGGTCGTTCTAGAGTTCAAAACGAGGGGCTCCTCTCTCAGAAAAATTTTTATCACGAATTCAATCGGCTCCATCGAGTCGATTTCGCGCGTACCTGAGGAGACGATATCCGCGAGATGTTTCTCGATAACGACGATCCTCTCGATCGCAGGGTCCAGGAGAAGTCTGCGGGGGGCCCAGCAACTCCTGGGGCATCTGCGGGGACGGACTGATCTGCAGCTGCAACAGATGCGCCGGATGCAGCATCGACTCTCTGGTGTGCTTCACGAACATGACTTGCCTGCCTCATCAGAGCCTCGAGTCCCGACACATGGATTTCCTGAATCGACTCGCCTTCAAGTAAACTGAAGAGACGCAAGTCGACTCCGCGCCTGCATTCCTATTTATTCCATTCCATGAAGAGATCTCACTAGGTAGCCGATCAAATAATTGTGACCCTAAGTCGCTCATATTATTTTCCTTTTTATATTACCGCCGCTAGGTAAATTATTCGTTAGTTAAGTCGCTTCGAGCACTCCGCGTGTTTGGCTGTGAGTCGCATCGTTTCCCCCCCTTTCATTTTTCTACCCATTAAATCGCGTAACCTTAATTTCCTCTCCAAATCACGAGCAATCGGAGGCTGAGTGTGTAGTGCGAGGTAAGCGAGGGAAGTTCCGGTTTTTATTTTTTTTTTATTTTATTTGATACGACTCGACGTAGAAACCGCAAATTCGATGGGCTGAAAATCAGAATTCTGGTTAATATAGGGACGAGTGAATTTTACGTTTGCTCGATGTTGGTTCGAGGTTGACCTTTCCTCGAGACATGTTCTTGGGTATCCTTGGAATCTTTTAACACTGAATTTGTGGAGTCGAATTGAGATGATTCGCCGTCTCGTTGTCGGTGGGGAAGATCAGGAGGTAGACATAGCCTGTAATTGCGAGAATCTGCGATGTATTAGACGTAGACGATTCAGTATTCCGCGGACCAGAGGGTCCTTTTAACGTCCCGTGTACTTCCTCCCTTGTGATTAGCATGTTTAAGTCCTAGTCAACCAGTATGCATTTTTTATCGACGCTTGAAAGATCTCTCGGCCAGGCGATAGTCGTGCGACCGTTTTTCGTTTAAGTATTCACGATGCGCTATTGTGTGACCCATGCCGATCAATCGAAAGAAATAAATCTTGAGATAAGAACAGTGGATCCTTAAAAAAATCTTCGATTAATCCCCCGCCCCGATTCCAAGAGGATAACGATATTAAAATTCGTTTATAGCGATGCATCTTCTCGAGTTGGCCGACTAACAAATGATTCGTTTGCCTTTAAATCGCCCGGTGCTGCTATCGAGCAATTTAATGAACAAGCTCGGATAAAGGATTCCTTTTAGCTCGATCGGAATTGCAGTGCGCGCGTTTAGCGTTGTTACCCACTCGCTGGAATTTAAATTAGTACTCGATAGTTTACGCAATCAGCAGTTGATAATGGCCGAGCATCCGACAAATCTGGAACAAGGTTTGAATAGTTTTACTTGACAAAAGACACCGTGCCGCGCCAAGAAACTGAAATACCCGCAAGTGCGATTGCTCAAACGACGTATTTGAACGTTCAGATTTCAAGACCGGTCAATTTTGGGGAGCGAAGGGTTATGCCCTCAGGAAATCACCTAATCGTTGCCACAATTTTAAGGCCGACCGTCCCTTGTTACCGAATCGCATTTTTTTTTATCGTACGATATCAACGGCAATAGGTTTTCAAGGAAGGAAATCGTTATCACAGATTCTCGAGTGATAGCCCCTCGTTAAGGACCATGCCTCGAACCGAGAAATGGGTTCAGAACACTATTTACATATATTATGTCCAAGTCACTCGAAACCCATCCAGTTGCACAGATTAACGGATACATGTATGTGGTTTATTTAGATTACACCTTACGTATGATACAAAAGTATGTACAAATTGATGGAGAATGTTTAACCAAAGTCCATCTATGTAGATATATGTCCGTTTACCGCCACGTTCACGCGTGTACCTTTCCTTTAATGTACGGTTACATCTTCCTCCGTCTAATAGTTACGTAAAGAATCGGCACTTTCACTCTCCCTTAAATCTGTGGAAGGTTAAGAAGCGGCAAAGGAAACGTTAGAAAAATAGAAACGCAAGCAACGAGCGCGATCTCGAGATGCATTCCGATTAAGGCTCGGTCCTGACTGCAAGCCGATTGCCCCGAGGTCCGATCGCGCCCTTATCCTAGGAATGTCGCTTTCCACTAGAAGGCAGCCTCTTTCTCTGAAATTTCGACCGCGAGATCTATCGCAAGCTCTACCTAGGGGATTTCCTTCCACCCTTCTCAACTTACGCTGGATCGGCGATCCGACGAATGGACTAATTAATTCCTCAGTAAATTCTTTCCTAGTATAATGCACTTGTTGCATCGTCTTGCACTCCATCCGGTACGTCGGGAACTCTTCGACTTGAAAATTCTGGCGAGCACGTGTTCGCCGATTTTTTTCGAATAGAGTTGTTTTTTGCCATTCCGTTGCTAGTAGAATATTTTCGCAATTTCGTTACGAATAGAATACTCGTTGGAGATAGTACCTGCGGTGAGGCGGTCTTTGGTTAAATTCCAGGTTGTCTCCACGTTCCTCTTGCGGTTTGAAGGCACGTGCACGAGATGTCCGTAAACGTCACGTAGGTTCGAAGAATGGACCGTGATCGATCCGGTCTTTCCGTGACGTTCCGCATCCTGTCGCCGAAGAGATGGCCGAACTGGCAGACGATGAAACCCAGGAAAGGCTTGCCCAATGCGTTCTAACTGGGTCAATGCTGTTCGCTTCGACGTGCATCTACGCAGCGTTCTTGGCGACAAGCTAAAAGACAAGCGTTTGCAATTTTTAGTCATCCTTAGGAGTCCGTAAAGTCGACGCCTAAACGATTCGCCCGAGTCTTAACGTGTTATGAAAGTTTTTATCGGGATCATTCCGATTTAACAATACCTACACATTTGGACGTTTCCAAAACTCGACGATTGTTTCTACGACCAGATTTCTATGTACACTCCACGTTTCGATCTAGGTTCCACGATGATCATCGCCACGATTTCGTCATTTGCGATAGATTTTCGATGAAGGTCGCCTTGCCTGCCGGGCGGTCAATGAAAATTCCTACTTAGATTTCATCGATACAACGATACAAGCTGGCGAAGACACGGTATTCCAATTTCTACACTTAACATTGGCGGTCTCGCTGGACCATCGTGGCCGCGCAGACGCATCGACCGAACCGATTCGTCAGTCCTTCGATAACCAGGTGAACGGATTCCGTTAATGGAATCTCGTGACACCGAAAACTCGATTTCAAGTCACTGTCCGTTTTGCTTGAGAAGTTTCCTGGTGAGAAATCCGCGGAATCCAGCCTGAATCCTCGTGGCGGCAGCCTGGGCGTTTTGTTGCCTCTTCCTCACCAGGAAGCCGCGGATCCCGGCTTGAATTTTGGTCGCCGATTTCTCCTCCAAGGATGTCCTCGTGTCCTGGCGCTTCAGAGAGCGAGGACTCTCCGACTTTTGAGACCCTAGATCCTGGTCGGTAGGTTTCTTCGACTCCTTCAGCTGCTTGCGCACTCGATATCCTCGAAAACCAGCCTGAATCTTCGCAGCAGCCGCGTTGGCCTTCATCTCGTCTCGTGGAGATTCATTCATCGGTCCCTCCTCCGCCAGCTTCTCCGGCATCCGCGCTTCCAGGTCGGGTTGAGGTTTCCGGTTCGATCCTAGCAACTGAGCGAGACGAGCACCGATTAACAATTTGTCCGTTCCACGCCGTATGCGAAGGGCGGAGGCGATAACCCAATAAAACGTCCATCGTTGCGCCGAGAAAATTAATTTATCGAACGGAAGAAATATTTCGATAATTAAAAAAATAATTAATTCGAACATGCCAATTTAAAAATGCTTACTCAATTAGCGCACAAATATGTTACGTCTCTTATTACCGGTAGAACGTTGATACCATCGCGGAGTTGGATAAACTTTGCTAAATCTTCATTTTTCATCGGCAATATTTAGGAGCACCGAGGTTTTACGAAAGCCAGCTCATAGTAATTACCTCGAGCCTTTGCATATCAGTCCCTCGATCGCATTCGGCGGGTTTATCGCCTCTTCGACGTTCTCCTAGCACGGCGCGTTGCGTGAAACTGAAGCAACAGTTGCGCGGCGCGCGGAGTGTATGCCGAGGAGAACTTTGTGCGCAGGCGTGGTATCCGGTTCACAGATGTGCGCAGCTCAGTTGGCAGGAACTCTGCGCACCTTTTTCCCAAGCGGTCACGGTCCGATCTCTTCCTCTTCGTGTTTTCGCCCGCCAAAACGATCCGCCGATTGGCCCTAAGCTCGGATTCCTCTAGACGGCTCTTCTTCGTCCGCGAAAATGACCAATGGTCGTGGTATTTTCTGGGACCTCCGATTCGCTAAATCCACCAATCCGGTGAATACCGATCGCCAGATTTGACACTTTTTCGCCACTTCGGGCGACGCCAGGCGACTTCTTCCTTCTCTACTTGCGAGGTCGCGGCCGCCATCTCGGAGAATTGATTCCCGAGACCCTAACTGGGCCGGGCACAGTAAATTCATCGACTTAATGGGCGCTGATTGCACGAGGCGATTTGTTCGTCGAAGAGGACTTCTTGTATTCCGCGACCTGCGGAGCAGAGCGTCCTTTTTTCCTCTCCTTACTTTCCAGACAAGAGTCGCCGCTTAATCTCGGGATTTTACGTGCAGAGTTAAGCCCTATCTAGCTAGTTAAGAGATTAATTCTAGAGATTTAAAAAATGGCCATTGTATCGAGACACGTCAATATCGAGCAAGCGAGTCGTGAGCATCCCAGCTTAACGAGATGTTTTTTAGATCCGGCCCTCGACGTCGATAATAAACGTGCGTGCCGGCCACGCATCATAGTTACATCAATAAGCCGCTATTAATAACAACTTTATTCTTCGACCACGCGTGCGTGACTGCCATGTCAATAAGAACGTCTTTGAAACGCGTGTGCCGCAGATGTCGATGAAAAGCCCACCAATTATATCAGCCGTCTTTTCCATCCCGTAATTAATTCGGAGGATCTTCCGAGGGAAACTATAGTGGACCAGGGTTTATCCTTGGAATTTTTCGAAGGAAGTGCATCCGCCCGAAATAGGTCCTGCGCATCCTCTTCTTCGAGGTCCCCGGCGGTAAATCGGGACACCGGTTGGTTCATCAACGAGGCATTCCGAGGGTGACATAATTTTCGCGATGACGACGCTCGATGACGTCGCGACGATCCCGTGAGGTCTGAACGTTGTTAACCTCTGAGCGATGTTTTCACCGGTACCAAAATACGGACCAAGGTCCATTCCTAGGCTGCCTCCGTGCAGCTCTTCGTCATCCGGAATGCAACGCGTCGATCGAGTTACATCTCGAATGCGGACTGGCTCGCGATCAATGGCAATAAGTCGAAAGTTACGGGAAAAAGAAAATGACGTTGCTGGGGTAACGTCGAGCCTCGGCGACGAATTCTCGACCCTGACATCGTTTACCAAAAATAATAAAGCCTCATGGGCCTTTGCATGGGGGGACTCGAGGACAGTCGCGACTTCGTTCGCCATAAAGCCGAGCCATTGCTTGTCGCCACAAAAGTCGAGAAATTTGTGAAAGACCCTTTTTTACAACGTTCCTTTTCCCTCTTCCTATGATCCCACAATTTCGGATCCGTCACACGATTTATGGATTTATTAGGGGAAACGGCGAACGCAACCGTAGCCTCCTCCGATGGCATTGTGGACTTTGCCAGCTTCTATCGTTCGTTGTCGATTCATTGGGTGATCTTTTAATTTTTGGGGGAAAACGGAAAAATCGAGGGTTGGCGGAGGGCAAAACGCGAATGCACTTCGAGGCCTCGAATTCGAACGACGACTTTTACCCGTGGCACTGCCCGACCGAAATACCGAGCCTGCTTCGAAGGCATTCCGCAGTGACGGAGAGTCTCGTTGACGGTACATGGCCCAGTTGTACCCCGTCGCGATTTTTGGCAAGCGACTCTCGTTAGAGGATCCTGCTGCGTTACGTCGATCCGTCTTCCTCTGGATGGCCTAACGACTTGGACGGGAAGCCGAGCGGAAAAGAACGCAAGGCGACGTCCATTTGGGGGCGAACTCGCAGTCTTCTCGTTTGGCCATCTCCGCGAGGTTCCTGGGACCTCTAGGAATCTCGGCAACGCTCCAATTGATAGGCACGCGGGGCAAAGAAGTGCTTTTTAGTGATTTCTGCTTGCAATTACCAATTGATTTCCACGTGATTTCGCATATTAAAATCCATGATTGCCTTCTTTGGGGCTGGCTTGCTCCTTACGCTCCTTCACCGTGTTCTCCTTCGAGTCCTTTTCACCCTGACCTTCCTTGGCGGTTTCATCGTCGGATTTTTCCGACTTCTCCTCGATGCTCGTCTGAACGGTCTGCATAATCGTTATCGGGGACTGCAACCTATCGGCATCGAGTTGGCTCCCCTGTGAGGGGATGGAGGAAGCCAGGATCGACTTCGGGGTGTCGGAAATCCCCAGAATCTCTTTCTCATTTCCCAGACCCAACATGTCGTCCACGTTGAGGGAAATGCTAACACTGGTTAAGGATCCTTCGGGAACTGAAGCATCCTCTGTATTTAGAATGTCCCTCTGAGGTCCACCGACGATAGCCGACGTCCCGTCTCCCCCGGAATGCGCCGAGTCGTTCTTTTCGACCTCTTCGCTCTTCACCTTGGAGCCTCCATTGGAAGCCGAAGACCCATTCACGGATTCCGAAAATACCCTCGATCCGTCCCGCGAAAGTGGCTCGTCGAGAGAAATCGGAGTACTTTCCAAGAAAGCGTGCTCGTCGTCAACGGAGCTGGGTAAGCTTGCGCCCAGGTTTCCATCTGCTGTCGGATTGACTCTGCTTCCAACATCCAAGATGGAAGATGACTTGGACTTCTCCTGAACCAGACTCTCCTTTTCAGACCTGGGCAGTTCCTCTATGGTGACTCCCATGGGGGTGCCCGGGATCGCCAGAGGCTCCCAGACGCTCGCACTTTCTGCGGAAGTGTCGCTAGGGTTGTCCAGGGGCAAACTCTCGACTCCGCAGGTTGTCCGCAAGTTTTCGGCCAGGTCGAATGCGTTGATGGTCGCGCGGAACTTGGAGCTTCCTGGCTGGTCGACCCTGAGAGCCACGTCATCTTCAACGCTGGTGATAAAATTCAAGTAGCCGCTCTGTAGACTCGCCTCGTCCTGCGACAGGACCACCAGGTCGACGATACGGTCTGCATCGAAACCCCCGAGATGCACCAAGGGCACTGCAGCTGGGTCCAGGACGAATCGACCTATCACGTTCTCCGGACTCTTGTCGCCAAGAAGGGAGTCCGTCGTTTCTTCATCTCGGGGACCGTCGTCCCTGGAGTTCTTGACATCCCTCGAGTCAGGAGGGTCGGACGCAGAATTCTTGGACACATAGGACCCTACTGATCCGGATGACCCGGAAATGTCCATCTTCTTGGGCCCGATCTCGAAGACGGGCAATGGCACGCAGTCGTGAAATTCCCCCGTGTGTTGAAGTCTATTCTCGCTGAACGCTTTCCGCAAAGACGCAGTCGTTGCATTGGATGCATCCTCTACTTTTGGCCCTCTTCCATTCTGAGGATTTTGATGACTTTGGGTGGGTTTTGCAGCTTGATCCGGCTCCGACTCGTCGATGGGCTCCATGGTCTCCGAGTGGGTAACCTTTTCAACGGATCGATATGGATTATTGAACGTTTGTTCCGGGAAACTGTGTCGACTCTGTTAAATTTAGGTCCGAGGGGAACTTCGTGAACCATTGTCGACCAGTTTGGGTTCCAAGTGTTCCGATAGTTGGTTCACTGGACCAAGAGCAATTGCAAACATCTGATCCACGTTTTTTTTTTTTTTAGATCCCGTGAATCATTTTTCGAATATGTCTTGTTTTTTTTTTTCGATAGTTGTAATTCATTCTCACGGCTGTTAACAGAGTCGGCCGATCCGTCAGAACTACTGTGCACGAGATTCAAAGCTACTATGCATTAATGATGTATAATGGTGTAACGTGAGTAACGAGATATGCCGATTCGCTACATTCGATCTACAGGGTCAAAGGTGACACTATCGTTTATGGGTTCAGCAAGCTGTGCTCTAGTTTTTTCTTTCTCTATAAGCCGGCAACGTATCGATGGATGACTGAAAAGCTCAAAAACAGCGCCGAGTGTTCTCCATCGAGCTGGCTCAATGACAGGATTTAAACTTCTACGGTTATTCCGCCTCGACCCGAAGAAATATCGCGTGGTTCCGGGAGTAAGTACACGACAGCTGGTACCAACTGTTCGGACCGTTTATCGTCTTCCGTGATTCTTTTCATAGAAACCGCTTCTTCGATCGACCCCGATATGACTCCGTGCAATTACACATCTCGTCAGCCTCGCTTTCGGATCAGGAAGTGCCTGCAGAGCACGAGCACATCTAGGTCGCTCGCATTGGTAAAATAAATAATGCATCCAAATAAACACTGTACAAATCTTAAAAAAAAAAATAAATACCACGGATTTCCTACGTTGAAAATTAATTTCGCGTTGCCCCCCCGTCGAGGGTTCGAAAAATGGCGAGCACCCTCTCCACTTCGGAAGAGAAGTAGACTCAAGCTCAAACTTTGAAGTGCGATCGTTTCTCGAGGAGCGAGCCAGTTGTCTCTGCCAAGGCTTCGCCGCCAATTCGTCTTTTCCCTGTGACAGCTCGACGTTACTCTGAACTTCCTCCATTTATGTAATCCTCTATCTTCGGCCGTGCTTTTGTGTACATAACCCGGACGGCGGAGCTCGAGCGGAAATTTCAGAATCAAGGAAAACTCGAGTAGATACAAAAGTGGCGCCCGGAACGATTCAATTCGCATTTCCAAAGGATTCGCTATCGTCTCGAGGGAAGACCTCGCAGTAGTAACGCGCCGCGTATGGTCAGCCATTCCCTGAACAATAATCGGAAGAAAAATCGCGGAATCGTAGACTTGGCGATTTTCGTCAACTCATAAAATAAAAATGCGAGAGGAGATGACAAAAATTAATTTCGTTAATTAAATCGCCCCTATGGCAATGGATACTCGATTTTTCGATTCCGCGATACGACGTCGTTCGCCATCGGACCGAGGGGAACATCGATTACCTTCTATCGAATTCGCCACTAGTGTCATCCAACGGTCGAAGTCATTGCGCATCGCGGTAATGAGCCCCGTTAAGGTTCAATTGCACTCGCACGGGATAGGAGCAAAATGTAACGTAGGCGTCCATTGTTATTCTCACGAGTTATTGAGAAATTGCGTCACGTCCGCTAATACAAGGCCGTAACGAGCGACCTGTCCGTTTAACCGCAGTAATTTCCTACGCGGTTACATATCCGACATGTTCAATAACGACGGAGAAAGTGCAAACCTCTTCTTGATAAGCCTCCCCCTCTTGCGTCACAGGTCGGATGGAGTTTATTGACCTTAGAGAATGGGAATTAAAGTGGCACGTTGCATCGTGCAAATGTCACAGCCATCTAGTGACGGTCTCGTGTTTCGCCGGCCGGGATCGGTTTAGGGTTCAGATAACACGTGGATAGATTTTCCGGTGGAAAGATAAATTTAGAATAATTTGAGAGAGAGAAAAAAAGAGATGTTTGTATCTTAGTGTTGAAATATCGCGTCGACTGACAGGAATTTAAGGATCGCAAGGAAGGGTCGAGACTCGCCAGGTGAGCTCTCGGGTGATGGGCGATAACGAAAGTGCACTCCTTAAAAATACCGGCGTAAATCATGCACGGCCTTCGATTGAAATAGATTTCCGAGAGTATGTGCTTTTGTGACGTCACCGCTACCGGCAGCTCCCCCGCGAGGCGTCGCGGCGCGTCTCGCTCTCTAAATAAAACCGTCGAAGAGCTTCCTCCCCGATCAGCTTCGACTTAAATAAAGTCTCGAGAAAAGCTCGCCTAAAAAAAAAATCCTCCTTTCCCACGTACGATTTCGACTCGATCGACGATATTTCCCTATCCAAGAGAAAAAAGTTTCTCCCACGTGTCCGCTCCCTGTTTGATGTAGACATTTTAGAACGCTGTTCGGTGTATATTTAACCGCGGTGAGCAATATCGCCGATCGACGTTATTATATTATATTACGGCAAGGAATTTATTCCTGGCTCGTCGCGCTGAATTGTGCCTTCGAGTACGCGAATTACCCAGATGAAAGATGATCGATAGTGCGGGGAAGTCGCTAATGAACGAGGACAGCGATCGACGAGACGTTGCATTTCGTGCATTTACCCATGCTGGGGTCTATAACTGCGTACAGATTCCAGACTACCGTGTGCGTATCACGCGAAAATAATTGAAACGAAAGACGACTCACGAAGGTATCCGAAATGGTATCCTGGATCGATGGCACGCTGTCCAAGGTAGAACTACGTCGAGGATTGCTCTGCAAGCGTCTTCGAGTTAAAAATCCTCTTACACCTGAAAAATTAAATTAATTTCACCCATTAATCGCGACTCCTCGATTGGATTTTTCATACACCATGTGTACTCCATCGCAAGGGATACGCGCAGTCATTTTTCCTATTTAAAGCAGCAAGTAAATGTATGCAATTTTTTGCAGGAGTGACAGTGATTTATTGAAAAAAAAAAAAAGGAAGGAATAAAAATCCACCAACACGCTTCGTTATAAAGGAAGGCTGGAAAACAACGAGCGCTCGTGAAACTTTCTCACGCGAGGAAGTTAAAAATACAGTGCCTCGTACAATGGGCACTTTTGCATAATTTTAACTCGCCGACCCTCGGATAATTACAGGATCATTTAGGAGGCCGCCGTTAAAAATGATTTGTCTAGCCGCGAACAACCTCGACAAATCACATTTTGATTTTGGCGAGACAATAATGGCGTTTCGCAAAATTCCGACTCACCGGCTTGAATTTTGGTAGCTGCAGAGTTTAGAGTACTGCTCGTGGTTGTTGAGCCTTCGCTTCCGATGATCTCCGTTTCGCTTATGCGGCTTTCCTCCTTTTCGCTTTGAAGCGTTTCTTCGCCGGGACTGCTTCCAACTTCCGATCGTTGTGGCTCTGGTTCGATCTTGTCCGTTTTTCCCTCACCCTTATCGGGATGAACTTCCTTTGGGTCTTTTGCGCGACTTTCCGAGTCAACTTGCACCTCTTCGAGAGCATCACTCATTTTTTGCGAGCTCGCAAGGTCCGCAACTACTTTCTCTGACATCGAAACCCTATCCGGACTCGTTTCATTTTTTTCTATTCTCCGTTTCTCCTGATCCGGAGAGTTAACCGGAGATATGAGACCGTTTTTAATTTCAGAACCACGCGCAAATTTAATGGAATCGACATCAGGGATTTTTCGAAGTTCGCCAACCAATTCGGGCTTCGGTTCTTCGCTCGGAATTCCTCCAAGATCGGCGACTTCCGTTCCAGGAGATTTGCTCTTTGATTCCGATTGTTCCGTTGCATCTTTCCTCGCAGACAACTTCGACTCGTCTCCTGTCTGCGAAAACTCGACTTCCCCTCCCTCGTTCAGAACATTCGTCACTTTACCAGCTTCAGCGGAGACCTCGACCTTCTCTCCCAGGCCATTTGCAAACGATTCCTTTACCAATTCTTTAACTCCATTGCCTTGCGATCGATCGGCACCAATTTCAGGGAGCGTCCCATTGGTGTCTTCTCCAGCGTTACCGGTGCCATTGACAATGCCATCAGAATTTGGCTCTGTGACGTAGGTGGACACCTTTTTACAAGGTTCTTCCTTAATCTCGACCTGTTCCTTGATAATGGTCTCTTCCTTTACCTCGTTAATCTCGGGATCCTTCTCATCGGAGGTAGAAAGGCCAGCAAGAGACGGCGTACTATCCGTTTCTTGATGACTGGCTAACTCGCTTCGACGTTCCGTTTCGTCCTCGGACATCTTGAAGGAGGACACCGAAATATCCTGAAGAGAGTCCAGGTTTAATTCCGGGACATGCGGCATTCCCGATCCACGCTGGTCCATGAAGACGCTTCCAGATCTGTCGGTTATCGAGGATTCCTTGACCTCGTTGGTCGACTCGGTTGATCTCGCCTCGGTGCTCTCTTCGACTTCCAAAGAGTTCTCCGCAAATTCCGCCGTTTCCGGCGCGTTATCGGTCGCACTGGTCTCTTTGGCCTCGTCCGTAGACTCCGAGTTGGAGTTCCGCAGGGTGGACCACATTTCTGCACCCTCGGAAGAGTCCTTGATCCTTGGGGATGTTTTACTTTTGGAATTGTCTTCCACGATTCTCTCATGTGAACCCGGTCTATCTTCGCGACTCGCTTCCTCGCTGACCTCGTCCTTTTCCTGGATGTCCTCCAAAGTCGAGTTCACCTTGACTTTGTCCTCGGAAACCTCCTTTTTAGCCTCCTCGATCTCCTTGTCGTCCTCCTCGGCGATCTTCTGGAGATCCTGATGAGGGATGAGAATGTCATGACTAGCCTTAATATCGCGAATAAAGTCGATGTCGATTGTTGAGGTTTCCAATTGTTCAGGACGCACGACCTCGCCGAAGACATCCAAGGCTGATATTAAATTCTCGGGTTCTACTTTTTTTGGAATCTCGACTTTCGGAGATAGAGACACTTCGACCCCCTCTTCCACTTCGGTCTTCAAAGTCGAGTCTGGCGACTCGGTTTGTCTATCCGGGATGATCACCGTTGTCACGAAATCTGGGATTTCGTGAGGAGAACCTTCGGATAAAATGTACGAATAAGGCTGGACTTCAGGAACGGGTGAAATCATTGAAGGCTGAAATTCTCCAGCATCTTTCTCGTCGTGTTTTTTATCGACGTCTTCGCCCTCTTTGAATCCTGAATTTTTGACATCCGCTTTCTCTTCGACTTTACAGATCGCAATTTTTTCAAGAACGTTACCCAAAGGTATTATCTCGACTTGACTCTTGGGGTCCTCTTTCTCTAAAGGTAACGTAACGGGATGTAACTCTCCCAATTCGTTAGCATTATCTTCGGATACGCTTCTCGTACTTGAAGCGCAATCTTCCCTTCCGTCTTCGGAACCCAAATAACCGGAGTCCGATACCTTTTGCACGGCTCTTAAAGATCCAGAACCTGTCCTTGGAGTTTCCGAAACTCGAAGGCCATCGGCGAGCTTCGAAGTTTGAAGTGCAAGGTCTGCAAATTTCTCAGGAACCGGTGGAACCTCTTTCTGCATCTCCATGTCATCGGATGGTGCCTCTTCTGCAGGGATCAGAATACCCTCTATCCTCTTCTCGGTATCTTCGAGTTCCTGAAGTCTATCCTTAACTGCATTTTCCAAAGTCCTGGACGGTTCGGGACAGAGTATCTTCTCGATCCTCTTTTCTCCTGCTTCGACCTCCTTGAGTTTATCCTCGATTTTAAACCGGGCATCCAATGTTTCGGCAGCGTCCTTGAGCCCTACCTGAAGAACTTGTTCCGATCCTTCCTCGATCAGGACTTCTTTTCCATTTTTTTCCGAGCCTTCCACCTTAGCCACCTGAACATCCTCGTCTTCGCTCTCATGACCTGGTTCAGGTTCCAAGGAATCGGGTCGTTGAGGTACATCAAGGGTATCGGGAGTTACGTTCAAGCTGTCCTTGAAGACCTCTTCGCCTACATCAGCGATCGTCAGCTCTTCCAGCAATTTCCGGTCTACTTCCGGTGTCATCGGCTCCCTGGAAGTCTTCATCGGGTCCAGGACATTCGGGGTGGCCGGAGTCTTGCCCTCTCCTGCAGAAGATGGGGCACTTTCCGCGGAAGGTAGAAGAGGGAGCGTCAGATCTTCCCGTTGCTTCGCGGATTTGGGAGCTTCCGGGGAGATCGGCGGTAGAACCAGATTTCCGGAGTCGCTTCTGGATCCGCTTCTGGAGGCGTTTTTCGAAGGAACTTTCACGGCTGGCAACGAAACACCGGAACTCTTGGTGGCTTCGACAGGATCCGAGCCATCCGATTCCGACGTGGCTCCGTTTCGCCTGGTCTCTTTGGCCGACCTCGACCTTCTGGTTCTCGGGTTTTTCTGCTTTTCCGCGTCCTTCTGGGAATTACGAGTTTCCAACTCAGTTTCCGAGATTCCCCTGGCATCGGACGAAACGGTTTCCGAGGCCAAAGTCTCAATGCCTTCCAGAGAGTCGTTTGCTTGGCCCTCCTCCGGTGATCCCCTCGATCCGTACCTGGATTTCCTGGATCTATGGCCTTCTTCCGCGTATTCTGAATCCTCCTTAATAGTTCTTTCCCGATCCATCGATTGATCCGTATCCAACGACCTTTTAGCCCCCGTCAGAACTGCGTTTCGAAGGTCCTCCACCTTTTCTCTGATAATAGGCGCCGTTTCGTCGATTACCTCTTGCACCCTCTCCACATACGTGGGGGATTGTAGCTCTTCCAAGCTCTTCGCATTGGCGAATTTTTTCACCACGTAGTCCTTGATCCTGTCGGTACTCGATGCTCGCTCCTTGTTGATAGACTTCCTACTCGATGTGCCGGGAAGTCCATTCTCGACTCGATGTCCTTTGCTCCTTCTCTGCCGATCGGTCGACTTAGCCTCTGGCAGCTTCCTCTTCCGCTTTTGATCCTCCTCGGCATCCCTCTTCCGTTCTCTTTCCAAGGACCTCCTAGAGGACGTTCTCCTCGAGGTTCCAGCTTCTCTGGAGCGTCCGAAGTCGGATCTCTCCTCTAGTTTTTCGTTCCTCGCGTTTCTGTCTCTGCTGCTGATCCTGTTTTTCCTTAGTTCGGACTTGATGTCCTTGGCCAGCATCCCGGTGCTCCCAGGTAATGGTGGGACCTGAGAGTAGATTTTAGGCGTCGACTTCGTCCCAATTCTGTCATTCTCCTCCCTCGTTTTGGAGGTTTCTTCTCTTCTCGGATACCTCTCCGAAACTCTTCTGTGCCTGCTTTCCTGCGGTCTCTTGGACTCGTCCTTCGTCCTTGCTTCTCCGCTTCCTTCGGAGGCCTTGTTCTCTTTTTCATTCGCCAGGCCTCTTATTTCCTCCGAGCTCATCCTCTTCCCACTTTCCCCGAAGATGCTTCTGTGCTTCTCCAAGACTCTGGCCGTCTCGTCCAAGGACCATCTATTCGCTCTACGACCTTCTACCTTGTGCATCGAGTCTCTTTCGCTTCCCCGTCTTCTCAACGTTTGGTTGAACTCTCTTAAGGTCGACACCTGAGAATCGTATCGAGGGAGACGAGATTTTGCGCCGCTTCCGTACTGGTCCCGCAATCGTAGCAATTTTTCAAAGTGGTGAGCCGCGAATACGTAGATGTCTTCTGGACGTTGTCGAATGACTTCCCTGGTGAGGCCTTCCACTGCTGCAGCCAAGCCTTGAGGAACGCGAGGGGCCATTAGAATTCCCTCCGATGTCTTCAGATCCACCGTTGAGGTCCCCATTGTAGACAGAATCTGAGCAAATTTCAACGCAATCAATTCTATCTCGAGCGGGTCTAATAATCTTAAAACGTTCTCATCGGGAGACGTAAATTCTCGTCTATAAAAAACAAGCCTTGCAGATAGCCCGATGCGAATATGTGAACAATATTAAGATTTATTAAAAAATCGCAGTTTGGTCAGTGAAGAGCAAGTCGGGGTCGAAATTCTGTTCTTTCGTTTTAATCAAGTTTGAATGAGAGCGTTCTTAGACTCGTGCCTTTATGAATGGAAATTCAAGGTTTCCCAATGAACTGTCTACAAACTGCACGAGTGAATCCGCTCAAAGGAGCAATGTAGCTCTTTAGAATTAACACTGCCAAAAGTTTGTATCTGCTAGGAATCTGGGTAGTAAATTGTTGACATTAATCCCGATTGGCTCAGCCAATTGTTTCGGACGACTATTAAGACCTTGACATCGCTAATATTATTCCTGCTTCTCTGAGACCGTTTTCGATAAGTCCTCTAGTATTTTCCTCGCATCTTCTAGAGGATCGCGAAATATCCTTTCGTCGGATCTAACTTTCGTCTTTATGTTCGGCCAGTATTTATAAGTCCGCGGAGAAGAGGGATGGAGAGAGCGGGTAGTTCCCAAAAAGCGCGTGTTCGCAATTTGCGTCACTTGAATTTGGGCCAACTCATCCCGACGTCCTGTCGCAGCGTCGAAAAAAAGACGCGTGTTAAAAAAAAAACCCACCAAAGAACTAAACCGTGAGAGCTGAGGTGTAAAGCTGGATTTCTCGACTCCTTTTGCTAGCAGACGTCACTGGTCCACAAGATAAATTTCCACGAGAAAATTAAAAAAGAAAAGAATCGTCCAGCTTTACGACTACGACTATGATCGAAAGCATTTCCTCGCAACAAAGGATAAATTTAAATACACAGTCCAGATCGCACGGTAAAACAATTAGAAACGTAATAATACTAAATCCACAGCGGCACCGAGAAATCAGCTGATGGTATCATGCCATTACTTCTTCTCTGGTATCCGCCCTTGCAGGAAACGAAGAGTGGAGTACCCGACCTAATTGCAAATGTGAGAGTTAGTTAACTGGTTCACCAACGAAGTTAAGACTTTCAGGGAAAGGACCTTAGGTGGTGGTTTCCGTGGCTCGACTGAACCCGGTAGGCCGACTTCACCTTCGCGACGAGCGGTCGATGGTTTTCCATTGATTAGTAGGGTTCCATAGACACGCGAATGTCGAGTGTAGGGTCGCCGTGTGACGTGCAGTCATGCAAACGTACTCGTGTGCGTGCACGTGTTCCAGGTTCCGTGTCTGTGGAGTTCGGGAAAAAGTTCCGAGTCGGTGTCGAGGCCGACCCTGGAAATCGGAACACGGCATCTATCTCGACGATCTTCGAGAAGAAACACTTGAAAGAAAATCCCTCGCAACGGGAGGGATATTATTTATGTATGCTAAAAAGATTCAAGAGTTAGGGGAATATTAATGGCCGGCAGTTTCCGTTGAGCTTGCTTGGAAATACTTGAGGAAAAGTCGGGGTGTTGGAAAAATTTGTCGACCTTACTCTTGATCTCTCTCGGTTCTTCCGGTTTGGAAAGAAAATGCGACATCCATATAAATGCCCATATAATGGAAATAATTGCTTCGAGAGTACCTTAGACCTTGGTACCGACGAACTTCCCCTGAAATTATCGCAGTACACGCGGTCAACTCTATTAGGGTGGATATCATTGATCTTTACAATGCTGATTCTTATTTACGCATAGCGTGATTTTCAGTATTATTTCAAGGCGGCCTTCGAGCTTATCGATTTGACCAGGTTGATTATTTTTAAGAAAGTCGACACGACCTTCCGTACATATTATAGAAATTATATCTCAGAGTCGACACTAGTCATAACTTATCGCATAGCATTATGTGTCCCCATGACTTAGTTATTTAACCATCAGAACTTTAAAGTGTTCCGAAGCAACGATCGATACCTTCATAATCATGTTTGCATTTTTTTTTTTTATTTATACGCTTTTATGTAATTATTCAAATATGCTAGTTTAAAAAAAAAATAAAATTGGTAGGTGTACATGGTAGTAGAGTATCTTTGACTTAGAGGGTCTCCTCGCGTTTGATGATCTCTAGAAATCGTTCCTTATCAGTGGCATATTGAAGCAGATATTCGGATTCCAAGGGATGCAACGATCTTGCAGGTATCACGAGGCAGTGAAGAGGTCCACCTAGATTTGTTTCCTTCATTTCTTGGAGAGTAGATGCAACGATCTGTTGATCGTTAGAACCAATGCGCGCCAATCCCACCACCAAGCTGTCAGCTGAGTAGACTAGAATAAAATAAAGCAATCTGTTAATAAAACAAAGGATATCCAAAAATAATTCAATGTAAGCCTTTTATTATTATATATTTATTAAACGAAGTACATACCCATTTTCTCAGATTTTTTCTCAATTATTTTCAGTAACTGGTCGGCTGCTTCGGCTGTCGTCATAAACTTGGGTGGCATATATTTTATGCTCTTCGTCATAATGCTTTCCATCGTTGGTTCCTTTACCTTGATATCCAGAAGGCATAAAGTATGCAAATTTCGAGACCGATTGGCTTCGATCTTCTTGTAGAAGCTGTCAGGTTGCCATGTGTCGGTCCAATAAGGAATAGACACGACCTCTCCAAATGAATAAAGCTGCAGTCCGCAACATCCTACTGCATTTAGAATCGATGCATTGTGCACTATTTGAACGTTTATACCCTTCTCACGAGCTCTTAGAACGAGATCTGTGTGCGTAGTGGCTCCAAATGGATCGCCCACTACTAGGAATGCTACGTCTTCTTTTTCCGCATTTCCCAGAATTTCTTCTGCACCGCTCTCTACAAGTTCTCGGTCAGCCAGGATCACAGAACGATCATAGAACTGCTCCTAATATCATTATTTACCAAATTCAATACTTTGAATATCTTTACAATCGCACATCAAACAATGTTAAGAAGCATAAAAACAAATTATTCTGTAGTCAGTAATTAAATTTCCGCACAAGACTTAAAAAAATGAACAGCTATTACTATAAAATCCGTCATGTCAATTTTTCAAAGTAGAAACCTTAGTAACATTGCTCTACGTAAGAAAGAAATTGGTTTAACTTACTAGCTCTTTTTGCCCAACAGTTAATATTGACGTATATGCTTCCAAGTATACGCGGTCGCACTTTCTTATAATTTCGAGACCTTTTACACTGATATCATTAGCATCAGCTAATCCCAAACCAATCACAAACAACATTATCTTCCGAAACGACAAACAATTCGGTTTTTTAAAAATACAAGCTTCCTCAACGTGTTCGAATACCGGTCAGTGCAGGTTTACGTCGCCATTTTGCACGTCACTTCTCCGATAATAGCGCCACTTTTGAAACAATTGTTATCAAGTACGTTCCATGAATTATGCTTTATTCGTTAAATATTTTGCAATAGTACATACAGGATTATTCAGGCAATCATTAGTACGATTGATTAGATCTTATGAAATGTAAAAATCTCACACCAACCAGAAAGGCGTCATTCAGTCAGAATCCATTTATCCAATCCATTCAAATATTTTACATCCGCAAAAACCCACGGACCGGTACCGGTCGTGGGCCATTTGGTACCGGGGTACCATACATCGAGGAGTTCAGTAAATCATTTATATTTGTCTCCTCTCAAGTCTTAAATTTTATTAAAGTTCAACTTTGGCAGCACAGAAAAATTTTTTAAGTTTTTTTTTTCATCCGGTTTCTTTCTCTCTTTCACTCACTCTCTCTTTCACATATGTGCACTCACATATCATGTGTTACTTATAATTCATGTTATGCCTTATATCGTTGAATTAATAATAGAAGACCCTTAAACCTGTACAGTTAACAATACCCATTACAAATACACGAAATTAGTTTGCAGCATTAAATTCATGCTACCGCAACACCGAGATCGCGACGCCAAAAACAATTGTTTTTTATTATATCAATTATGTAAAAACTAAGTATTGTAAGCGTCAAGTATTGTAGGCAAATTTCATTGTGGGTTCAACAAATTCTGTAAAAACTAAGTATTCGTTCAATATTTTGCAATAGTACATACAGGATTATTCAGGCAATTATTAGTACGATTAGATCTTACGAAATGTTAAAAATCTCACACCAACCAGAAAGACGTCATTCAGTCAGAATCCATTTGTCCAATCCATCCAAATATTTTACACCCGCAAAAACTCACGGACCGGTACCGGTACCGGACCTGAATCTGTTATAGGTGATCGTTTCTTAGCTGTAGATTTCGGTTTCCTGGGACTATCTCCACCATGAGGAGTTGTAGTGTATTCTTACATCCTACGCAATAAAATGTGGCTCCATTGGAAAAGACTATTCCACGGAAGTTGCGAGGTGCTAACAAAAAGGCTGCTGCTATAGTTGCACCTGAAAGTAGCCCGCTTATGGTGAACCTCACTCCTCGTAGGTCTACCAAGACCCCAAGAAAATCACCATTAAATTTGGGCTCGCCTAAAATACATTTTGAAACACCTTTGGGAATGTCTAAAACTCCTAGAAAATGCACCTCGCAACTTCCGTGGAGTAGTCTTTTCCAATGGAGCCACATATGTAAAAGAGTGAAAGAAAGAGTACAACTAATAGGATTAACTGTATTTCAATGTTTAGTTTTAACAATACTTAGTTTTTACAGATTTTTTGAACCTATTATATACCTATTAATACAATGAAATTTGCCTTTCTACGTATTCAGATTACGGTTCTTCATCATCAGTTCAAATCGGCGATTTGTACGAACCATTTTTAAAAGTGATCTGTCTTCTTCCTTCCTCGACTCTCTGAAATTATAATTAATCAGTCAATGATGCATGTCACATTTATGATATTAAAAATATTGCTTGACTTATTAATAATACCTTAATTAATATTATTAAATTGATATTAAATATTACCTTGACTTGAAACCGGGTTTTTTCGACACGAGATTAACAGCTTCGTTTTTCCTTACTTTAAATCCAAATCTGTTGAAGGCACCGTTTGTTGTTTCAGTTGGCCTTGTTTCTTGCGAAGAACCTGATACCAATGGTAACCTCTCCTTTGCTATTAAAAGAACATAGGTCAACGTTAAAACGTTAATTAAGGTAATCACAATAGATTTAACAAACGCTTAATAACGTACATTTTGTATTGACTAAATTAGTATGGGAGGTACCACTTAAAACTACGTGTCGTTGTTGGATTCGTTTTTTCGCATCAATAACTGATTCCATTTCTTCAAACTTCCTCTGATGGATCTGAGCAAAATTTGGAGCTTTCCTGGCAGGGATTCTTCTTTCTAAAGAGAATCATAAAATAAAGGAAAATGTAAATGGAGGAATGTAATTTATCATTAAATAATTGAGACATACCTAATTTCTTGTCGGACAACATGAGAGAGTTTTGTTTAGTAAGTTTGGTCCTAGGGGTTTTTACGTCATTCTTTTTTGTTTTTGAAAGTGCATCGGAGGAGTTTGACCTTCTTCGAAGCTGTAGCGGTGTAGAACTTAAATTTCCCATGGAACTGGATCTCCTGAGATAACTGTCATCACTAGCCTTAACTTTTACTGAACTTGATTCACGACTCTTGGTTATGGAAGTATTCCATTTATTTAACGCACTGGGTTTTTTTTTCAACACTTGCTTCTGCCCCGGAGTGCTCACCCGTGTCCTAATTGCCTGTGAAATTGAGGTCCCAACCGTTGAATCTGGCAAAGTTGCGAAGCGCACTTTACAGTTTCTCTTGGTTTCTCTTTCACTGATATCCAAATTTGCCTCTTCGAGTGTTCTTTTTTTAGATTTCTTCTGTAAACTTGGAGTTTTTGGTTCCGTTATTTCATACGTGTCATCTTTGGAGCCTTTCTTCTCTGGAGAAGGTGAAACTTTCTTCGATATATCAAATGTTCCATTAAGTTCAGATACCTTTGAGCTATGAGTGCTGCTACTACTGGAAAAGATGAAACTTTTCATCAAAGGTTCAGACTCATGTTCTATTCCAGTACATTCATCTTTGACTACAGTTGGAATACATTGACTTGACGAAGTTTCTCTTTCCTGAATTAGACTCCCTGCTCTTTTGGGAGACGTATTTCCCAAAATGGATGAAAGGTTTAACGATCGTCGGATTGTATCCCGTGGAGTAGATGACATTAATGGATTCGCACTGTTTTGTTTTAATTCAAGAACTTTTCGTTTTACATTGTGTGGTAGTTCAGGTTTGGTTTCCGAAGTCGAGTTAGATGTTGCATAATCTGAACAATGAACTCTAGGACTAGAAACCGGCCTTAATGGTGTACCTGTATCTGTTATAGGTGATCGTTTCTTAGTCATAGACTTCGGTCTCCTGGGACTATCTCCACCATGAGGAGTTAGTTTCGAGACAACTGGTGTCGTTACCGGAGTCTCACTCAACCCTTTCATATTTGTCATGGATGAGTTAATCTTTAACTGAATATCAGGTTTCAAATAAGATATATTTGTAAGTAGAACCGTGGGGGTCTTCGATGATGCTATCGCCATTTTTGACATAGGTGATAAAGGAATACAAACATCACACAATTGTAGCGTCGATTCAGGATTTTTAATAGGGGTTAATTTGGGCGACTTAGCCTTTCTGACTTGACGTTTCTCGGACTTATTGCTTTTGTCTGAAGAACGCATCTGCTTAAAGGTGGGTGACTTTGACTTTGGCAACTTTAATACGATTTTAGGAAACTTAGGGAATTTTGGGGACAAGAGTTTCTTTTTTGAAGATGACACAGGACTTCCCTTTGACTTCCCCGGGCTTTTACGTGCTCTCATATTAACACCAATACCATCTACGAAGTTGGATAATTTATTATCATCTGATTCTTGCGACTGTTTTTTTGGAGTTTCTTTACTTGATGTTGTCATAACTGAATTATCTGACGTGGAAGGAGAATTTACGGTAATTGGTAATTTTCTAGGAGTTTTAGACATTCCCAAAGGTGTTTCAAAATGTGTTTTAGGTGAGCCCAAATTTAATGGTGATTTTCTTGGGGTCTTGGTAGACCTATGAGGAGTAAAGTTCACCATAATCGGGCTACTTTCAGGTGTAACAATAGTAGCAGCCTTTTTGTTAGCACCTCGCAATTTCCGTGGAGTAGTCATTTCCAATGGAGCCACATCTTCTTGCGTAGAATGTAAAAATACACTACTACCGTCATTGACAGTAGTATCCTCGGGGTTACTAATCTGTATACTTTGTTCAGTGACATCTTTCTCAGATGTGTACTTTAATTTTTTGGCTAGTGATTTGTTTCTGGTAAGTCTTTTAGAGGGTGGTTTTTTTTTAATCGACTTACTTTTAAATGTTGGTGTGTCCTCGGCATTGCTTGCCGCTTTGTGTACTCTTCTTCTGCCATTTTTCAGCATACCGAGATTACAATCTATTTCATTTTGATCGATAAAAACCCTGTTGGCATTTCTTTTCCCTCTCGATTTGCTGCCACCGATGGTATCGTGTGGATCTTTTTCAGGACTTATTATCGACGCACCCAAAAGGCTTGCCATGGAATCAGTTCCACCGATAGACGTGGGTTGACATTTCCCTGGGAGAGTTATAGAACAAATGAATAACGTATTCATTACATCTACATTAAATAACAAACTGCAGTAGGTAATTAACTTACGGGCTCTGGAAGTACGAGTCTCGATCGTTGAGCCCAGAGTTTGCATCTCATCGAGAAGGCTTGCACCACCTAAAATCAATTGTGTTTACAACTAACGTACACCAGCTATGCAGTATTGACTACCTTATGATAGAATTCGTAGGAGAACAAACAAGTTACCCTTCAAAATAACCTTCTTTGATAGCATTTAAAGCCTTATTAAGAACTTAAAAACAGATCCACTCGCAAGCCACGTGGAATTGAAAGAACGCGAGAAAAAATCGAGCCGGGAACCTGTCGATGTTGGGAGTAACTTTCTTCGCTCAACAGATCTTCCAAAGATATCGAAAATACCGGAAATTCATGCGAGCCGTCAATCGAAGTGCCATTCTTGCTCCATTAGCCCGCCCAAACACTTCAAGCTTTGCGTACAGTTCCTCACACGAATGCTTCATCTCGAACCCCTTAGAATTCGAAATCTTTCACTCACCTCTACGCGTTCGTCTCGGAGACATTGCGGCTTGATCACCAATTTCGTCTTTCGTTGTTGGATCGGTTCGCTTTGATCAATCACGATTTTCCTCCGGCTAGAATCGCACTTTGAGAAATAATTGCTTCTTTTAGAAGCTACCGTTTCGTGGCGCTGTTGTTTGAATCGAAGCGACTCGTCGATTCAAAATGGCTGTCGGGTGCGTTCTGGAATTGAGCGATAGAAATTCAATCAGACAGAATTTTTCGTATCGTAGCAGAGACAGCATCGTTTAGGATATCAAACCTTTTTCTTAAAACGTAATTATCCATTGAATCTATTATAACTATAATTACTACTCCGCTAATGGCGATTTTCGTGTAACTTTTGACCACCGGTCACCGCCATAGAATAAAATGTGCACGATGGGAGACCGCGAACAAATTTTGTAACTCAAGATTAAATAGTACCATCTTAGGATGGGGCCCTATGTTTCTGTAAATGAATTTCCGGTCTCTCGTATACTGACGCTCGATAACATTTTCTTTTGACACTGATCGCATGCGGGCTTTAAATATTATTCGCCAGAGGGCAGCAGGTGTAATTTCCAACACACGAGTAGGCCACGGTTCACATATTCATAGCCACTCACTCCTAAGATGAAAGACGCTCGTTCATAATGACACTGCTTGGTAAGCTCACCACACATGAATACAAATGGCTTCTAAGCTTCTAATACTTAAAGTATTTAGGCGTGTCCTTTATAGGACTGGCACAATAGCCAAGATAATTCGTTAGGAGCAAGTTATTGCAAGTTCTCGTAATTGATAAATACAAACTCTCCGTCAGTTGATGAATCTCTTATCTATAAATTATCATAATAACGATGAAGCTGTAAAAAGTAAAAAGTTGTCAAAAATCAAATTTAGTTATTTTCGGACTCAACCGTTAATTTTTTATAGCGGCAATTTGTATTGGTGGTTTCGCGAGCTCTTTTGGGATAACATCCGGGGCCTTGGTAGCCATTACGCCGTCGAAACGGACACTTCCTTTTCTCGGCGATTCAACGTCTTAATGGGCATTTTGGTATTTCAGGCGGAACCGGCGGAACCGGCGGAACCGGCGCAGCCGGCCCTGCGGCCGGGCTTCTGCGTTGTCCGCGAGAGGAAACGCAGCCGAGTAATGCGCGCGAGGCTTGGCTTCGCCTCACCTGCGTTGAAACCTGATGCGGACAATAAAAATGAGAACAGGTTACACGGCAGCACCCCGCAGCTAGTTCAGCACCGCGAGCCGTATTTAAAGACCGGCTCAAGGCAAGAAGTGCGGCCCTAGCAGCCCGTCCACGGAATGTCGACCCTTCGCCGAAAGAGCCCCGAAAGAGCCCCGAAAAAGGAACAGGGGATGAAGACGAAGCGAATCGTCTTTTTGCACCTCGAGCTGACCCGCCAGCTATTTATATACACGCTTTAAAGTCGCAAGGAACAATGGCGCGGTTTAATCGCGCCGAATTACAGTCTTCCAAAGTGTAACGAAGGTACGCATTTATACGGTTCCTCCTCCGCCTCGACGTAAAGAGACGGCGACTCAAAAAAAGTTCCGTCCGATTGCCTGGATGATTAATATTAATCATATTTTTTCTTTTCCAGACCCGAAGTTTTAATTGGACTCTGGTTGCACTTTTATTACGTGGAGGGGAGTCAGGTGGAGTCGCGATGGGAAATGGCGAAGAAATTGACCGACCTCGAGAGGACGAGTTCTCGATGGAGGATGCTGGATGAGATGATTTTTCTTTGCCAATTGGTCCTCACTTGCCGAATTTCTCTGGGCTTCTCAAAGGTCTTCCGCGAGTTCGTGGCCGAGATGGAGGATAAATAAGATAAATAAAACTAGGCTCACAGAGTCGTTACCCCTGGAGCACGCGAACACCGCGTTACGATCGGGACTTACCCCGGGCCTAGGAGAGGAGGCAGAAGTAACGGTGCCGTGTTCCGAGTTCCCTCAAGAAACTCGACACCCGAGGCGGCCGGAGAACGACTTAACCGACGCCGCGACGTCCCTCGACATTCCCGCAACGGGTCGACGGAGTTTACGCCCTGGTATACGGACGTTCCGCGGATACCGAGGAACGGCCATTGGACGTGCATCGGAGATCGATGTCCTCGATGTCCTTATTGGAGCACTCGGCTCCTCGATCGAGCGGCGTCGAGATGCCATCGACGAGCCGTCGATCTCGGCGAGGCAAGGCTCGCTTCGGCCTCGACAAATTTCAACCGGTTTTTCCGATCGCTCCTCTCGCGAGGGACTCCCTTTTCCCCTTTTGCCCTTTTGCGGCCGATCGAGGTACGACTCGAGGAGACCAGTGGAGTAGTTTCGTGAAATAATTACCGGATGCCCTTTTTCAAATAATTACCACTTCTTGGGATATTCGGGAGTACTTTCTCTTGGTACCGAAAACGAGTCGCCTCTGTTAACCCAAAGATCGGGTAAAGTGAGTAATCACGTGGTAAATTGAGTAACGTTCTTTTTTCTCCTTTCAGGTTTCGCTTTTATGGCGATCGAGAGCGGTGGTCCGGTTCTTGGCGTTGCGTCACCGAAACCCGAATTATTCACCGGGAGCTAAAGAGCGGTTTGCAAATTTCGGCAGACAACGTTATCTTCTGCGAGTCGCAATTAGGTTCGTAAGTCGTAAAAGAGAACATAGTACGGTCTCGCCGCACCCTTCTAGCAGCGTCGCGCGGTCTGCGAGATGTCGAAGAGAGCGAACGCCTATTTCGCTCCGGCGACGTAACGTCGACCGAACGTCAACGCGAACGCGAGTGTGCGTAGCCCACGCTTTTCAACATAAAACCGAATACATAAGAGCGTACATGCAACGACCTCGCGTATCGCTCGCCAACGCGCGCATTACGGGGACATACGTGCTTCGCGCGAATGTTTAAACTAATGGGTTCGCTCGGAAGTCCCGTGATATCGAGATGGCAAAGTCCTCCACCGGGAGCGTGAGTCGTAAACTCGAACAATTTCAGAAACGACTCGAACGATAGCCCGAAAGTCCCCCAGAGTCCCCGAGACTGCAAAAGTCACGTTTAATGGGACAGTCCGTTTGGCAATAACTCTTTTTTTCTTCCAGGACGCTTCGCCTTAACGACTCGTATCCTTCGGCAGATGAAGCTAATTCCATTCTTCCGTCGCTGTTAACTTCCATCCACTCGGAGGTGTTGCAGCGCCGATGATGGCTCCGATGACAGCGAGTTATGACAGCCATTAAGCCGTCGAGTCCCATGATGCGTTTCCAGGAGTTCGACCGGGACGGCGGTGTTAATATGTCCACGATATCTCGGCGTTTCCGCTCCGGCATGCCATGATTTCCATGAGAAACGGACTTCGGGAAACGAGACGAGGCTGTCCGATGGCCTCGAACTTCCGAAATCGAGAACCGAGCGAGCGAGTAAATCGGTGACCTCTTGCGCCCTGTCCTTGCAGTCGTCGTCGCGCTTATGGCGCGCATGCAAATGAAGGTTAACGGTAATGGGAGAAAGGATTTAGCCGCGGTACTGCAGGGGACGCGTCATTAGGTAGAAACGTAACGTAACGTAAAACGTAATTGGACCGGCAAATTATTCGAGCGCAGAACGATCCAAGGAAAAAAGACCGCACGATGTAGGATAGCCCTTGACAGTCAGAAAAATTTAAAGCAACAAATTACAACAAAAGAACGATAAATTTTCCTGGTGATTTTAATCGATTGTGCTAAAGTTGCGCCAGCTTGGCAGACATCCGTAAGATCGCAACACGTATAAAATTTGTGTCATTCCGCGAGGCGCGCGGCCTCGATAAATATTTTTAAATATCGTTTTCAACATTTAATGTCCGTCTTTTTGCACATTCGTCCGCGGGACGCGACGTCGGAGAACCTGCTGAACGTTCGCGTGCATGGTCGTCCGCAGGATTCTTACGTAATGGGTCGTAAATGATTTTATTTGCGTAGCCGGTGCGCGGAACGACGCTCGAGATTCGCGCGTCGCGGCGGACGGAGGAAGGCGTCTCCGGAAAGGCGTTCGCGGACTCGAGGAACGCGAGAGTCCCTTCGAGGAGTCTCGGAGAGGCTTTGGGAGCTCCTCGAGGAAGAGACCTCGCAGGGGGTCGCCTGCCTGTCAGGAAATTATCCGCAACAGTTGGCCCCGCTTGGACGCTACAATCGTAACAGGTGGTAGCGTCTCGCCTTTATGACCCACTCCGTATGCCACCTCGCCCGTCCATTTACGGCCATCTTTATATCGGTCATTGGTCGCGCTATAAACCTCAGCCTGGACCTTTGTACCGACACGCGTGATTTCTAGGTCAGAACTTTGTCACCGGAATGACCACGACAGCCCAGGAAACGGACACCGCGCTCAATGTCCGCTGGACAACGGTTAAGGGAATCTCTTGGCACTTTGCGATTGCACTTGGATCGGAGTTTACGGGTCACCTTTGACGACCGTTTTGAAATACTGCGTGGGAGGAAATCGGTATCGAGCATGGTCGTGGAAAGAAAGTGTATTTCTCGGGGCGGAATTCTGCCCGTTCGGCGAGGCCCTTCGTTCTCCGCATGCGTTCCTGTCAATGAAAACAGGCTTTTAGGTCTCGCCAGCGCGGTTAATAATCCAAACGCATTTAACCGCTACGGCACCCCGAGGAATTCTTATGCAACGCGCGGTGCAACCGCGGACCGCATGCGGCTCGTTATTGCGTGACCCGATAACTAGGAGAGCCTTGAAACCTCCCGCAGAGCGGGGAAAATGTCTCGGAGCCCGCGACATTTTTCTACGGGGCGATTCGGCCGCACGCGGAAAAAGACGAATAGAGACTGTGCGCGGAAATATCGGCCTAAGTGAAACGACCAAGTAATTTACACCTCACTCCAGGCACGAAATTGTCCTAGAATTAGCATAAATTATGCGTTATCGCCGCGCTCCGCATTTTGCATTCATAATGGACGCCGCGGCGCCGCCGTCATATTGAATCAAGGTGTATACGCGGGTGATTAGTCGCGATTGGCCCGATTTTAAAATTCCAATTCCGCACGTTAATGCCGCCATTGTTTCTTCGTCCTCGCTATTTACTTGGAAATTGGTGAAAACGATTCCCTTCATTGAGATTCGATTGCCTTTGATTACACGTGATAATCAAAGGTATCGAACGCGAAATCGCGTCTTGGGGAACATAAGAAATTTAGAGTCGCGAGTCCTGGCAGGGTTCGTCGGAGAAAATAGACGAATCGAGGGGAAATAAAAAGGAAGGAGATAAAGCGATGGAAACGGACGAGGGAGATATCTCGAGCTCGTTTTGTCGGTTCGGCTCGTAAGAATCTCTGCTGTCAAACGCGGTCCTTCATCATCCGCCGCCTCATCCCGCTTTTTTCCCCATAATTCGAAGTCCGAGGGAGAAGGAACGAGGCGCGGCCTACGCGAGGGAGAGAGAAGTTCGATACCTCGCTCGCGATCGCGAACGAGTTTCTCGCGGTTCGAACGCGCCCGGGAGATCTATTCCCGTCTTCCGATCGGGACTAACGAGACGTACACCTGGCCGCGGTCATTAACGAGTCGCTGAACCTCGGTGAGCGTGTAAAAGAAAATATCGCAATAGGCTCTCCTTCCAGGGACCCTTCCTGGAGGGGACCGGTCCCCACTCTCGACAGTCCCCTCTTCTTCCAGGATGCCGGCGGTATCCTTTCTCGACGCGCGCGGATTCTGCAAGACTTGCACAAAAAAAAAAACCATTGAACCAAAGATGGTTAATTCCGAATAAATGTTGCATCCATTTCATTCGCGTTCCTTCGAGTGAAATAGTTATTCTTGGAATGAACTAAGTTTTTCTTCGGTTCGGTGACATTTTTTTTTTTCGCAAGGTGGGCGCAATTTTTTCGGTTTTTCATCCTCGACGCGCTCACTGGGACTCCGGCCTGAGGAGCTTTGCCCCGCGTTAAATAGTCTCCTGTCACGGGACGAGAAACACCCGTACGTGTACTTGTCTGGGGTACCGGCACGCCTAGGTAAATACGTAAACGGGAGGAGGGAACTTCGCTCGGGTATCGGACCCAATCTATGTATAGGGAGGCTGTTCGGGCTATCGTAGGGGCGTAACCGAGCGCTCCGTACGTGCACGCTGCCGTGCAGAGAGTACCGCAGGTTTGCTGGTTTTGCGTATAGGTACAGAGGACATCTAAGGAGAGAGGAAAAAAAATTAAGGAAGCGACGTAACGTGAAAAATTAGCAAGAACTTTGAGAAGCGCGATCTTTCGAGATTCCCCGTCAAGGCGCTCGACGCTTCCTCCGTTTTAATTTCCGCCGGCTCAACTCGGTCGCAAACGTCAGAAATTAACTTTCTGGGGACCGTTCGAGACTCGTCGGGGCTAACACTTCTCTAATTTGATAAAACGTCCAGCCGAGCCCTTAATAGGTTTTAAGAGCGTCCTCGCGGCTCGCCCCCGCGCAAACCGACGCGGCTTGTGTGACGTGGGCACCGCGAGTGCCTTTGCGAGTCCCTGCGTCCACGCAGGAAACTGCATACTCCATTCCGAATTAATGCATCTTACGATCCCGAGTTTCAAATGACGCCGGGGGAAAAGGAGATCGAGGATAAATTTCTACATTCTCAAGAATACAAATCCGAGTGATATAAATGTATCACACGCGCCATCGCCTTCGATCCTCTGTACTCGTATTTATTATTTATTAGCTACCACTGTACCGAGCGTATGTTCGAAAGCGTGGATGAAAGAAATTACGATTTTTTACAGTAAAATGTGGGGAGAGGAGGTGAGATCAAAAGTGGAACTTCTCGACTTTCGGGGCCAGCGCGCGTCGCGTCGTTGGCGTAGTTTATCTCTCTCTCTCGTATCGATGGCGGCGGTGGTGGGGGTAACGTGGCAACGCCACGCTGGGATTGGCGGAGGCGGCGGCAGCACTCGCGCGCGTCAGTTGCGACTCGGCAGCCGCGCGCGACGTACGGTTAGTTTTCGCGTCCGCCTTCGGCGTCGTCGCGAGTATCGAGAGTGGCGCAGCTCGCAGGACGCCGGACGAGGACAAGACCGGCCTGCGGCGATCGTTTCGAGTTCCCCCGCGGTCGTCAGTGCGGAGAGTCGACCCGCGTGCCTCGGTCGGCACACCCGATGTCATTGCGGTTAGTGCGAGTCAGTGCGTACCAAGGAGCCTACGAGGAAGATTCGACCCCGTAGAGCGGATAACCTCGACCCATCGCAGCCGGGAGGATCGACGCGTCCTTCTGGGCCTCGGCACCGCGGCAGCTCGACGGAGGTGACCGCCTCGTGACTTTGCGTTTACACGTTTCACGTTTTCACATCGCGCGCTCCGATATCCCGACGCGGAGCCGCGGGTTGAGTTCCACTGGCGGCGTCGCGCCCGCAATTGAAATACGTTACGACTTGGCGGTCGGGGACTTATTAATTCCGCCCGGGTTTCGCGGATTTCCCGAAGCGGACGAATCGGTTAATTTCATCCCTCGACATAAGGAGACAACGACGGAAACGCGCACCGTTTGGCGCATTTAAATACGTACTCGTTGGGATTCTCTTTAAGGGGACGCGAAAGTGCCGCCTACAAAGTCAGTCGAAACTTTTCCGATCGAGTCTCGGAAATTAGGATTAATTCGGAAATGTCGATAAATCTCGAGTTCGTTGCGGGGATTCCGCCAGAGACGGCCCGGGTTGAGCGCTCCTGCTCGCCGTGGGACGGGTTTTCGACTCCGGGGGGTGAAGGAGGGACGAGGAGAGCGTCGCTGGGCTTGAACCTTTTTAGTGCCCTCGAGAGCACTGGGTCGGGCACTCGGACCAATCGTGACGCGCGATTCGTATATTTATGTCCGGAATCGCTCCGGCCGCTCCGCCGATTTCGGGCTTTTTCTTTTCTGGCCCGAAGCGAACTTCGAGGAACCGGGCCGAAGTCGGCCACGATAGCGCGATAAAAACGGATCCCCCGATTTATGGGGAGAAACCGAGGAAAAGAAACTTTTCTTTTCTTTTATTTTTCCCCCGAGCTTTTCGGCCCCCTCTAATTATCCTTTGCGTAATCAAAGTTGGAGCCGTTTTCGCCTTTATCGGAATTCTCCCGAGGTCTCGAGTGCGTTTACGGTCAGGTATGTCGACGTATTTTGGTTCGTCGGGGTAGGGAGTATATCGTGTTCAGGAATTCTTATTTACTCGCGGTAATTGACCGTCAGGGACGAACTCGCGGGTACGCGGGAGATATCCATGATAAGGAATCGTTGGAATCGATTGCCCGCGATCGGGAGTAATTTTGATTAGCGCGGATTTTTTTTCGACCGTGGCGAGCCTCGAACCAGTCATTTTACCTGTGTCTGGGAATTCTAGTTCTAGTGATTATTCTCTTTGCCGCTGGGCGAGGCGATCGGGGCGGGATGTGGATTTTTCTTAGAGCACGGATCTCGGAGGGAAAGTTCCCTTTGGCCGCTCGATTCCCTTCGGAAGAATGGGGGAAAAAAAAAAATCCCGAAGCGTACCGAGGAAAGACCCGGTTGAACTTTCCGCGGAAAGTGGTCGCCCACGGCGGAAGGAGCGACGGCACGCGAGCGGGATTTTTCCGCGGCTGTGGTTGAAGGAAGTCGATTCCGCGAGAGGGACGGATAGATCGACTCGACCTGGTCGCATTTTCATCGATCCAAAGAAATGTTTCAATTCCAACAATTATTTTACTCAAATAAATTGTCATCGTTCCGAATTAATCTTGCGGGAAATTTATTCGAGTACGTCCGAGGGAATTAATTCACCGTTAAGACGTCAAATTTACATAATTTTATTGCGGCCTTGTGCCTTAACAGCTTTTGAATTTCACGAGATCTTAAAACATTGTCCGTACTATGCGCACGTACGGGTCGCGGGGCGTCGACGCGAAGAGAGAGGGGCGAGAGAGAGACGGACCAAATGAAACCGGTAAGACCAGCCTTCCGGTGGGCCCGAGTCGAGTCGCGTCGAGTCGTAATGGCCGGTGTCGAATACGCGGGGCGCGCCTCGAGGGGGATGCACGAGGTGCGCCGACGACTGCAACCGGGACGCGCGAGGGATATTTATGGGCGCGAGGACGGGCGAGGACGGGGACGTAAAACGCGAAAATGTGTATATATCCCTCGCCGGCCGATGAATGGAGCTCGCACGGCAAAGCGAAGCGATCGACTTTGGCTACGAGAGCGAGGGAATAAGAAGCACATCGAGGAAAAGAACGATCGATTTCGCACTGGATTATCGCGGGCGTTCTGTAAAATCCTAATCGCGACGGGAAAGGAACCCGAGGAAATATAGATACCGGGGGGAGTGTATCTCTGTGGGGGGCGAAAAATCCCGAAACAATGGGGGAATCGTGTCCGTAGACTTTTCTCTACGCCCCCGAGTGCGGTCGGGGCAGCGATCTAGGAAACGGAATCGAATAAGGGACAAGTCCCGCGCGGTTCCGCCGCTAAGGCGGAGCCGGAGCTCCCGGGTCTCGAGCCAAAGTCAAATAGCACCGAAGTTTCCGAATGGCTCAATTAGCTCGGGCGTAGTGCACTTACGTACACACCCAGGATTTCGCTCAACCACCCCTCTCTTTCCGCTTCCCTCGCCGCCTCGATTCCGCGCGCGGGCACTTTCGGCCGCGATAACGGAACACGCGGCCCCGACGAGAATTATCGGACAAGTTTAATCGCGGAAAGACTCCGCCGCGATTTCATTAGGTCGAACTCTTTCCCCGAAGAGGCGGAAACCCATCGACGTGGGAGACGATTCGTCGCCGAATTTTCTTTTTCTTTTTTTTTTTTTTCATCGTTTGCTCTTGTCCATCGTCTAAAAATTGTTTGAGGGTAAGACCTCTTTGAAAAGGGTGATTTCGTGGAGAGTATACTCGCAGGATCCAGCTAACCGGTTAAAAAGACGGAGCGGTAAAAAATCGACGACGTTTCTGCCCTCGATCGCGGCGCGATCGATGACGCCATTGATCAAGGCGCGATGACGCGGAGATAGATGGCCGAGCGAGAAGTCGATCACTGGCATTTGAAAACAAGGCCTTTACGCGTTGCGTAAGACGCGCCCCGTTGTCTCGACCGCGTAGCTGACATTCTCGGGCCGACGATGCGCGCCTATCTCTTCCTTATCCACCGTAGGGACCCATCGGACTTAAGTACCTCCGAGAAGGCCTCGTTAACGAGAGGGGGAAAGGCGCAATTAAGGGAGACTTTATGCGCCGACCTCGCCCCGAATTTTCCTCGCCCGGGACGAATCGGTCTCCATTAGGGACTTCTTTTTTTATGTTACAATCCGGAGCGGTTCCTCGATTCGTCTACCTGGAAAATCACGCGAGCGCACGAGGGCATTTAGGCCAATTAGATCGATTCGAGAGAGAGGGAAAGAAGTAGGGGAAAAGGCAGAAATATCAGTCGCGCGAGTGGCCGGCAATATTTACCTAGGTGTATCGAGAGAGAGACTCGCGGCCTTTGCGGGCCGAGCTTTCCGATAATGATATGCAAGGACCTGGATAAATAAATGAACCTTGTCCCGGGTCGATCGCCTCGATACGATCGATCAACCCCAGCTTCCCTGCTCGCTCCATTTTATTTTCTGCCATTCGAGCTCCTTCGTGGACGGCGCGCTCCGAATTCGGCGCGCCTGGGAACCGCGCCCTCTGTCCGATCAATCCGGATTTCCGCCTTAACGACACGTAATACCGGGAAACGCTTCGGACAAAAAGTTTAGCTCGGATCGTACGGAAGGACTTCCTCGGGAAGCATTTTCCAATCCCACGCCCCGGTGGAGCAGAAATTCACGGCGAAGAACCGCGGGGTCCTCCCGCGAGGCGCGCGTTTCGAAAAGCGCGTCGTTAAGGGAGTCGGTCGCTTTCAGCGGGATTTTATATTATCTCTTTTTTTTTTTTCTCTCCCCGAGATCGGCCTGCTCGTTTATCATGGCCGGCGAATTACGAGGGCACCGGTGCTCCTTTTACGTAGCGGTTATCTCGTAAATGTGGCGTTAGGTGTCCGTGGACTCGTGCACGTATATACACCTCGGCTCTCCGACGTCGCCGTTAAAGTCGTTTCAAAGCGTCCAGCTGGCATACGAGGGCGGCTCGAGAGGGTCCCGTGATTTGCGATCCGACTTTACGCGGCCTCGGCTTCACGTAGGAATTACTTCTGTGCTTAAAATCCGTCCCCGATCTCGAGGACTGCGATACGAGCAACGTGGGTCTTGGTCCTGAAAATCTCATAAAAACGAGTTCTTCGCTCGTAGGACGGAAATTTCCAGCCACTGGATCTCGGGAGGGTGAGGTCCTTTTTTTTTTCCCCCGTTCATCCCGAAGGTGTTTCTTCCGATAAGATGAAATTAAACGCGCGGCGGTTACTCGTTACTCGGCATTATCGCGGACGGAGTACCACGTAAGGTGGTTCTCCGGTTTGGAGAGGAGAGAGGAGAGACAGAGGAGCGGGAGCGAGTCTCGGGTGACTTTTACTTCTAAATCGGGTTCGTTGACACGCGGCCGAGTCGCTCGGGAGAACCCGCTCGGTCATCGGCAACGGGCCTTTATCGCGGCCTATCGGGCTAGATGGAATTACGAAACCCCCGAGGTGCATTCGGAGATGCACCGAGTAGGTCGAGATAAGGTGCCGCGAAGTCTTCCCGGTAGAGCTACGGCATAAATAAGCACGGAGGGGTTTCTGAATGGCTCGAGCGGGATATATGCTGGGAGGAAAGTCTCGAATTAAAGGTCCGTAAGTCGTGGGTGCCCACGCGCTTGCCCACGTGTCTCCTCCACCTTCCATCGCGATACGCCGCTCTTCTCCCTCTTTCCGTCTCTCCTCTCGAGGAAATGGCCTCCTAAAACGGTACAAACGCGAGCGGACGCGTACACTCGAAAAATGCTCGTTCTTCCGAATCGATGATCTTAATCGTGATTTCAATCGAACGGGGAACCGCATCGAGGGCATTCCGCGCACCATAGCGAATCTCCGGATCAGCCCGAGGAGATGAATCGACCCGACCGACTCGGATTTTTCTCGGAATATGGTTGCTCACGTTTCGTGAGAATCCTCGTAATTTGCTAGAGCACGAAGGTAGGCCCCCGGAGGTGGTTACCCGAGTTCCCCGAATCGAAGGACCCCGCGGTACTCGCCATGGTGTTCCCCATAGACCGTGCCACGTACTCTGGAAACCCGTCCGCGGTTACCGGGCCCGGGGAAAAAGGAAAACGATCGGCGGAACGGCGTCTCGATTCGTGAGAGAGCGCCATTGTGGAGGCTCGCGCATGGGCGCGCATAA